TTTTTCAAGTACAAAAGAGAGTTGGCATACCTCACCCAGAACAACAATTTGATTGAAAGATACTGCTAGGCATTTGTGCCACTCCCAAATTATGCAGAATTGCTTTGGCGCTTATGGTGACACGAAAGCGTTGTGGATGTTCTATTCTGAGCAGTACTTCGATCATTTGGGGAAGCGCAAATAATTCAAACATATTCTTATTGCTTCTGCAAAAGATTTAACATAGAATAAGTGACATAAGATAATTGGGGCTTTGAGCAACCTGGTCTGGTGGGAGGTGTCCCTGCCCATGGCCGGGGGGTGGCACTGGGTGATGGATACGGTCCCTTCCAAACCAAACCGTTCTGTGATTCTTTGTCTAGCAATTTCTCATGCCGTGTCCAGTAGTTTTTTAAGTCCCATTCCGTTAGCTTAAATTGATGAACTGGCCTAATTGGCTTAGGTCCGGGTCTAGTCAGCAGTTAATCACTTTCCTGGAGCCATAACAAAAAGGAAACTTTGGCTACCTCATGTTTCAGTCCGTGCATAGATTGATTCAAACAAGTCATGGAACAAAACTTTGAGCATTTCTCCGTAATTCTTTAGGAGATTACTTTTTCATTTCAATATGTCTTGCTTTATACTGGTCGCTGTAAATGCTTAAAATACATTTTCACTGTTTTGGATAAGCAGTCTTTATTTATTTAAGACTATATTTTTAATGTAAAGTGTGTTCTTTTTCTCCACAGATAACACCTTACCATCCCATTTGGGTAAAAGTCAGAGTTATAGCGAACTGCAAGTTGCCCATCAGAATCTCCAGGTAGGAACTGTAATGGCCTCAGACATTTTGTAATGATCAGTAATGTTACAAAGATTCTCACTCTTGACAGAGAATTCAGAAATTACTAACTATATCACTGTCATCATCCACCTCTTCTCCTAAATTAGTTCACTGACTTGGTAAATGACATGGGTAGTGGTTAGATCAGATATTTGCTCGGCTGAAGGGAGTTTGAACACAGTGCTATTATTCCAAGAGTTGTGTCTTGTGATGCGGTGTTGGCATGGAGAGAAAACACCTGCAAGCACTGCTTTTCCTGACAGCACCTGAAACTATGCTCTTCACTCTGGGCATTCAAGAGCACTTGCCCTCTTGACTTGATCTTCTGTGAAGACCATCCCTTCTGCCTTTACTTTTCTGCTGCTGGTGACTCCCAATAGTTTATCCACCAGCAGGCTTGGGCCACTAACTAAAGAGCTCCCAAACCTGCATTGGTTTTATTCTGTAACAGCTTCTGTGCTTCTGCTAGATTTCCTGCTGGGACTGTCTTTTGCACCATCCAAGATCAAAAGAATTGTGCATATCTTTTTTCTCACCACTTTCCTAGAGGTGCTTCCCACTAATTGAAGAAACAATATAGCAATCTAGTGTTTAGGGCACTGGACTCTTTTGTCTTACAGGTAATAGCATTATCCAAAACTTCTGGAAACAAAATCCTACTTTTAATTGTCTATGCTGTTACTTGAACAGCCATGCAGAGTTGAATTCTGCATTTTGGAAGGCCAAGCAGTCCTGCCGCAAATCCAAGTAGTTTGCGTTAGCGTGTGAGGAAGCTGAATGTAGATGGCCATTAGGATACTTTTAATTAGTCAGCTATTGTGTAACACTATAATTAAAAACAAAACCTAAGCATATCTGCAGAGGAAAGAACTCTAGTTCACCATAAATCGGTAATTTCATGTGTTTCGAAGCCGTTTTAACATTTTTTTTCCTTGGTATAGAGAGAGCGTTCAGCACAGGAGAAATATGCACTGGAACTTGAGAGACGAGAACGTGCTCTAGTTGAGCGAGAAAAATCGCTTCACAGACGTGAAGCAGCTTTCGCTGCAATAAAAGATGCTGATGAAGATGTTCAGGCAATACTTGAAACTATGAAAAAGGTACAATAACTTACTTGGTGATTCTTATTGCTCCCCATACATTTTAACACTGGGTGATGGATAAGGTCCCTTCCAAACCAAACCATTCTGTGATTAACTCCAAATGCTGGATCAGATAGGTCATTTGTATGGCACGCTTTGGATTATGCAGACGAGTTGCTAAAACTAGAGCAGCTTGCACTTTGGTTTGAAACACCAGAGGGAGCAATGCTTTTCAAAAGTAAGTTTGAGGAGGCACAGAACATTTTAAAAACCTTAGAATCGAATGTTGACACATCTATGACTCAGAGTAGTGGGACTGCAAGAGAAATGACAAGTCAGGATATCAAGAAGTCTAATGGATCGACCTCAGGGACCCTGAACTCTGTATTTCAATTCCCAAAAGATGGAGTGACCAGTGCATCTGGTAACAAAGCCAGTCTTACTGACTTCTCATTCAGAAAGGAAGCTCAGCAAACCTTTTCTTCTGCTGGGTTTGGACAGTCACCCTTGAAGAAGGATCAATGGCAACGTAAGGTACGTTTAGTTCCAAATGAAGCAACTGCAAAGAATTGTGTATCATGCCAAAGCCCAAATGCAGATACGTGGCAAACACATGGCACCCCATCAACTGAATCTACTGCAAGTTTCAGAGCCACTGGTAACTCTGTGCAGGACAAATTTGGATCTGCCTTTGCTAAAAAAGAAGGTCAGTGGGACAGCAGCATGCGTTCAGTAAGAAATGAACATGTTGCCTCCCAGAATCCAAGCAAAATGAATACAGAAGTATCTTCGGTGACGGAGCACTGGAGCAGGCTGCCCAGGGGGGTTGTGGACTCTCCTTCTCTGGAGATATTCAAAACCCACCTGGACGTGTTCCTGGGTGAGCTGATCCAGGTGTTCCTGCTCCAGCAGGGGGATTGGACTAGGTGATCTTTCAAGGTCTCTTCCAAGCCCTAAAGTCTGTGATTCTCAAATTTCCTTTTCCAGATTCACAGATACGTTCCCACAGTTTTGATACTCCCCGGTGGACTCAACAAAAAATATTTCCTCTCCTTTTCTTGTGCTCAAGGCCACCGGACGCCTTTAGTTTTGACTTTCGAGCGATGCTTACAGCTGACTGTGTAGCACAGTCCACCGAGGGAATAGTTACTGGTTTCCTTGTTGTGTTGATTTCGGAGGGAAGGGTCTTCCAAGGCTGCAAGCGTTTCTTTTGAGGTTGCTTTTCATCCCTGTCCACAAGGTGTCAAGCGTGAGTCCACTCTGGCGTGTCAGTGATACCTGAAAAGATGGACTGAAAACGCGGAGGCCTGTTTTCATTTAAATTCACTTAAAGTGAATTAAGGTGAAGGTATGTGAAGTGGCTGGTAACCTTTAGTGACGACCATCTCCTGGAGTGTTATCTGGGAAGCTGTGGTGCAGAGGGGGAACGTGCACGGGTAAGTTCTTTTTAACTTCTCTCTTACAGCTCGGCGCCAGAACTATCAGTATTTTTTTCAGAACAGCCGACTTGCTGTTCATATATGCAGTTAGAGATGACTATAGACATCACACGTTTCTGTCACGCGCTCTATCTTCATCTCATGCTTTACTTCTGAGGCTAGCGAGAGCAACCCTTCCCTCAGCCTCTGCAGGGAACGCTGCTTACACAAGCATTACCCTGCACGCCCCTAGCGCACGGATTCGACCCGTGCCTGCGTTACACGGAGCTGTAAGCCAACAGCGAGCCTCTCCCCTGCTCGTCCCCGTTTCAGCTCCACAGCACGGGACGAGGCCCCGCCATTGTTCCCGTTAACCCCCTCCGCCCGCCCCGGCCCCGGCCCCGGCCCCTCAGCGCAGCGGCCGCCTCAAGCGCCGCCTCTTGCGCCTGCGCACAGGGCCCCGGCGAGGGCGGGCGGTGCCACAGCGGGTCCCGGCGCGAGGCGCTGAGGGGGCCGGGGGAAGGCAGCGGGAAGCCCTTGACAACTTTGACGTTTTTATGCAAATCCAGGTGGCCATCTTTAATTTCATCTCGTGTGGGCCCCTGCTTTCTAGTTGGTGCCAGAATGAACCCAGTTAAATTAGTTAAAAAAATAAAAATAAATTAGTTAAATTGTTTAGTTAATAATAATCTTTATTTAATTATTATTTCCCTTTAATTAAATTACCCTTATCTCAACCCGTGAGTTGTTCTTTGCTTTACTTCTCCCCCTCCTCATCTAAAGGAGGGGGGGTGAGAGAGCGGTTGTGGGGTTTAGCTGCCCAGCACGGTAAAACCACCACACCTATTGGTGAATGAGGGGAATACCAGTACGATTCTACATGATACAAAGTAACTTACAGAATACAGAGGGTTTGGTCAACAAATTTATTGAAAACCCTAAAACCAATAAATACTTTTTCAAGTACAAAAGAGAGTTGGCATACCTCACACAGAACAATTTGATTGAACGATACTGCTAGTCGTTTGCCACTCCCAAATTATGCAGAATTGCTTCGGCGCTTATGGTGACACGAAATTGTTGTGGATGTTCTATTCTGAGAAGTCCTTCTATCATTTGGCGAAGCGCAAATAATTCAAACATATTCTTATTGCTTCTGCAAAAGATTTAACATAGAATAAGTGACATAAGGTAATTGACAAGTTTCAACTTTACTGGAAAGATTTTACAGATTTATTATCTTTCAGTGAAAAAAAACATATTGGGAGCTTCACATAACTCTGTCTCTAAGCAGAAAGTTATCAATGCACGGTAAGAAAAATCTTGACAAAAGTCATCAAGAACTATGCTTTCTCTTGACTAAATGGTATTTACATGTAGTACAGTGGAAGATCAAGGAAAACCTGTAAAAAGATTTCCCCAGTGAGAAGCAAGATTTCAGAAACAGGACGTGTACAGAAAATCCACAATAACATCGAGGCAAATACAGTAATGAACTACTACAAAACCAAGGATAAAAAAATTAAAGAATATTTCAAGGTTCATTTCTTAAGATTTATGGCACCACCTGTGAGGTTGTCTTTTAATTAAACAAATTAAAAAATCTGGATTTCTGAGTACACTTTTAGTTTATTTCCGATGAAAAATATGATTTAAATTAGAGTATTTTACAGGAAGTTTTTTTTTTTTCCCCCAGAGTTCAATTTTGTTCCTAAGAAAAATCAAACAAAACCCTCAGTTTTGTAAATAACTAACTCTAATGTAAGCAACAGTTTAGTGTAAATACCTGCTTTTATAAATGAAACAATCCCATTAAATAATGCACATCAACGGAACTCAGCAGCATTCTACCACTGACATGCTGAAGGTCTTTGTTATAATAAATTAGTAACCAGTAAGCAACAGAAACCTATTCTGTAAAGGTTAACATTCCCCCAAAGTCTTAAATGGCTCAAGACTTTAAACCGTGTGTTGTTTTTTTGTTTGTTTTGTTTGTTTGTTTTGATAGAGATGAAAATTGACAAAACTGAAATTTAAGTCACATACAAAACAATTTTCAGAGGACATTTTTACCAAGTAACTCAGTAAAACCGAAGGTCAGGGGGAAGAAAAGAAGGGTTTTCTTCTAAGCATTCTCGTCATCTAAATAAATGAGGAATATATGTTCTTTAGGCTAGTTATTTTTTAGTTCATATTCTGAACTACACAGATATATAGGCAAATTGAGAGATTCATCTTACGTATCTGTGACAAACATTTTAAACATAATTGCTAACAATGAAAGTCCAGCATTATTTGTATTGGAGCAAATGAACGTCAAAACAGAGATGAGCTTTTTAAAAAAGAGAAAGGTCCCCAAGTTCAGTGATCTAATGGCAATTAACAGAAAAACGGTAGTAAAGGATTACTTTATTTCGGAGAGTTTCTGTAATATAAAACAAATCCTTTCCAAAATCGAAATGTCTAGCTCGCGATTCTGAAGCAATGCAGCAAAAGTATGGAAAAAGCGTTCATTACTGCAGTCTTCCAGGAAAATCTTTAAGTAAACTGTAAAAGAAAATAGTTAAAATGTTTAATCACAGCACTTGGCTCATGGAAAACTAAATCATTGATTTATAGTTTTTGAGGGTTTTTATATGCGCCTCATGCTGTGCAACCATGAAAACAATGTACTAACTGGGTATATTCTAGGCATGTGATGCAAAAATCAGGTAAAACCGAGAACAAAACCCACCCAAGTTCCTAAGAATTCTGATATTACCAGCACTTGTGGGATTAAAACAAGGCCTATTCCCTCGAGAACAAAGGAAAACAGGACACTGAGCAATTTTAAACTCAGATAAAAAAATCTTATCTTCAACATGTTTATTCAATGCTCCTTTTCTTATGATGACGTGAGGAGAACACTAAGCTATGCTAAAAAAACTGACAAGGAAATATTTTAAGCTGCTGCAAAATGACGTACGGAAATAGTACATGTAGACACTGATGACTAGACAGCTTTTCATTATCAAAACTGTCACCGTACCGTTTCAAGATAGGCAGAATCGTAATTGAGAGGTCAGAGTTGGATAAGAACACCTGAATATCAAAACAATTCCTGTAAAATGCTGGATAATTTTTAAACATGGCCATATAGTATAATCTTTTCTATTTATCCTGCTCCCCAAAACTTAGTCAATTCAGAATAAAGTAAAATCTGTTCCCTTGTGTTATTTCACTCTTGATTCTAATAGTACAGACTGATTTAGAGCAATACCATAAAGAACATAAGTACCGATTTAATAGGTCACAGAACTGAACACATTTGTTAGGAATCCAACAAAACAAGTCACTATTCACTGCACTCTGCCCTTAGCGTATAAACACACTTGGTATGCCCCAGGATATAGTTACTTAGAATATGCCATTAAATTAATAGTTATTGTAATATTATTCTACTTTTCCTGTAGAAGAAGGAGGTCCTACAATTTATTCCTATAAATATCCTTAAATATCTAAAAATGCCTTAAATTCCTTTTTGTAGGTGTAAACAAATACCATATTCTGCTTACTTGGGCATTTCTTTGCTGGCTTGTTCTTACTGGTCTCAATAATACTGTATTATTTTATTATTAAAAATACCGTCTTAAGGTATCTTAAAAAAACTTTATTAATATATATACACACACATATCCATACAGATACACTGTAAAATGTTTTAACTGTGAGGTTTATAAAACAATATAAAAAATATGCTGAGGGAATTTTACCATAAAGCAGAAGAGCCAAAGTGGAAATAATACCTCAAGTTTCACAAAGTTCAATCACATGAAAGCAAACTGATAAAGACATGCATTTAAAGAGATTTTTCCTACATTGTTTATCTATTCATTTTATATATTCATTTCAAATAAGCTTTTGCAGAATAGATTTTAAATCATCACAAATGTACAAAATAAGCATATAATTTAAATGCCTATCTGATGAACTAGAAGAATAAAAACTGTATATTTTTACATATTTTTCTGCATCATCTCTGCACAGATTTTGTTTTTATTAACTACTGTAGAAAAACTAAATTGGAATCTATCCTGTCAGGATTTGACACAATTTTAAATAATCTGCAAAAGCCTCCCATAGGAACCATAAAAAATTGCAGCATTTTGTAGTTACATTAACTTAACTTCATTGGTAGACTGTAATGAACAATGAGCAATTTATCACTGTTGACAGAACTCATCTGAAATTTACCCTCAAAGTGATCAGTCACTCACAGCATCAAGTCTCACCAGCTATTGTCATTCAGAAATTTCTGTTTTATAGCTAAAGCTCTGTCACCTCAGAAAATGAAGACTGTCAGGAACACCAGCTTGAAGTTCATGTTTTAACAAATTAACCATTACAGTTTTGCCTCGTTTCTAATTGCATGTGGATCTGCCAGGAGACCGGACCAACCCAACAGAGTGATGGAGAGTTAGCTCGTGGAAAAGTTACATAAGGACCACAGAAAAAGAACCAGTAACAACACTGAACAGCTTGCTGATGAGCTGCTGTCTCTTACACAGTCACTGGCAAGATTGGAACCATTTGCTGAGTTTAACTGATTCTCGTCGTCAACAGCTGGGCCTGGTAAGAGCCAGTGGTTATAGCACAACGGAGGGCAGGCGAGGTAACAGTCAGTGCAAAGCCCCTCGAGTGTGGATGCCTTCGTGGGTGACCCTGAGTTAAGAGAGCCCAAGGACAGGTCCAGCCCATCACCCAGTACATGTTGACCTCAGGATGGTATCAATTGTTCTTCAGCTTCCTAGATGTGCAAGACCTTCACGCAGCTATGACACAGGATGTACGGGAGGCCACCATCATTCTTAAATGACCATCACAAACATACACACACAAAAAAAAACAATAAAAAAGGTTAAAAATAGAACAGGATTCCTTATGTCACAGAAGTAAGTTGGACTGAACAGAAGTTTACAAAGATCAGAAAAGACCAGAACAAAAACCTACACCTTGGAGGCCAGGAACTACCTTTATAACAAGACAGATTGACAGGATTCTGGATGTGAAACACCTGAACCAAACAGGGATGGGGTACATGAAAAGCTGCGTGCCAGTAAAGATGAACAGCAATAAGACTATTAATTCTAATCTGTCATTAAGATACTACGTATAGATAGGAAACAGATGGTACCAATACCTGAACGGTTACATTTGACATTACGTTTTCAGTAACTGGATGCCTTATCAGCATTGCTGATGTGTGAACTAGCAAGGGAAACTTGGGACACCCACTGGATCAGAAATACCACGAAGCCAAAAGGAATGATACTGCTCTAAAATCTGAAAAAAATGAGTACTGAAACCAAGTCGGCCAACGGGCTTAAGGAATACTGCAGAATCTCTTATAATTTCTATCAAAGCACAGAAATGTCTGTCTCAGGCCAACAGGTCCTTTCTTCTCATGCAGCTTACGTAATTTCCCTCAATGTATGAGGGAATCTAGGTCTTATTTCTGGAATATGAGGACAGGAATTTTTATTTTTATTTTTTTACAGGAAAAAGAACCTACAAGAGGGCTTCAGATAGGTCCAAAAAGTATAGAACCATTAGCATATACTGCTTACTGTAACAACAGGTACATGCAGTTACAGGAAGAGGCAGTGCAAAGTATTTGGTATTTCGCATCTGACTCATCTTTCAGCCTGGACAATTAAAATTTGAATCCATAAAAATACTTCACAAGAAAAAATTAAAAAATTAAGCTATGAAAAAGAACATCTGGAAAAAAAAAAAAAAGCACTTTCTCCTCACTTAGTTTCTAATCACATAAGCTGTAACGGTAATATTTTTGAAGAAAAATACTGGAATACTCATGTAGACTCAGAAAATTATTCCAGCAAATCGAAAGAATGCTTAGGGATTGCATATCATAGAGGAAAAAATTAGACTTCTACTCTTGTTGGTCAGAGGCTGTTTTTTTGGGTAACACGTTTCCATATTTTAGCACAAGATCAGCTACTTTCGACTTCATATTTAAGGCTGCATAACAATACAGCTTTAAAATTGTGCATAAAGTCCTGTTTTAGTCTAGCACAGAGAGACCTCTGAATATTCACAGCTACCTTCCAGTTTGTTTTTAATAACTTGTTAACAAGAAACATACACAGGTATGAACTTATGATTTCCTGTCAACGATACTACTTGTCAACATTAACAATTTCTTGGAAAATATTAACTATATTGGAAAGGAACAGACTCTGACTATAACATGGACATGGGCAATTCCTATACCAAAGAGAAGGCTCTGCATAAGACTTTATATCCAGTTGCTGAAAAAGAAGTTCTCAATCATATGTCAGACCAATTAAGCATTAGTCCTCCTTCCCTGGTTTTGCATATCTATCTATCTATCTATCTATCTTCTCTGAGAAGCAACATGGCAAAATGTGAACTTGTCACAATTTATCTCCATTATTCTTCCAAATCTAGGCATCCAGCAGATCGAAATGACTACTACTAGATAACAGAACATGTACTGTTAGTGGAATTTTGTTTCAAAGTAATGTCAGATACCATCAACCCTGCTTAGGTTTTTCTTTCCCAGTTACTATACCGATCAAAATTATGATGATTAGAAATACTTTAGTGTAAAAAAAAAAAATAAACAAACTAACCACACGGTCTGAAAGGATGAAAACAACATCAGGTAAATCTTTCTGCCACTTATCTCACTACAAAATGCCTTCTAACTCAACGTTGTTCCATCCCAAGTCAAACACGCTTTCTGTTTTTGCCCCTATAGTACATGGTAACAAAATACCCCAAGCCAACAATATACATTTCACAAATAGCAGCAGTCCCTTCTCCTTCCCTTTTCTGTTCCAAAAAACAATGAATAATTTTTATTTTAAGAAAATTAACAAGGATTGTTCCACATGACACTGGAATGGCTCACTACTTGTGTGTTCATCCAGATTGTTATCAACTGATTCTTTGCCTGTGTCACCTGGAAAACCACTGTGAAGGAGACTATTAACCCTTTCATAGGACCACACCACAGTACAACTCATTGAAACATAACCATCCCTTACAGATGTGCCATTTCCAATTACTTTAAAGTGAAAAATGGCTAGGGGTGAGCTGTTCACATTAGGGGGGTAAAAAAAGATAAAAGTTTTTTTATTTTATTATTATTATTTATTTATTTTTTTATCTCCACCTGCTAACAGGATTTCATGAAATGGCTGCCCTGGCACAGCCTTACTTCAAAAGAAAATTACTCATTGGCAAAACATCAGCAAGGGAAACCAGTGGAATAAACAGAAAAGCTAAACTAAACATCAAAAAAAATCACACCACTAAGAAAGCAACCAGGACAAGATGTAAAGCTTGGATGCTGACAGTGAGAAGAGACGGACAATTCAGAAACATACTTTATATCTCTAATGAATTTAAATGACACAAATGAATACTAATGCTAGATCAGGTTATTTATAGAGAAGCAGCACGTTATTTTTGATTTGGTATTTATGCTTACCTCACCTACTTTCATCATAACTTTGTATGTATTTTTTTCAATTACTCACTTTTATCGTTGTTCATGGCCATCTCAACTAATGCATTAAGTGCAATAAAAAGGAGACATTTTTTGGATATAGTTAAGTGGCTTAGTATGATAGGCACACATCGGTATTGCAAAAATAAGATCTTTCCTTCATCTGTCTTCAAGTCCACGCAAAGGGAACGAAATGCCTGAGTCAGGTAATTCACTGAAAGATAACAGAAAACAGGGAATAAAAATTATGTAATCACAGTTCCATTAGATGATCACAAATACATGAATATTTATCCTAAGACTTACTGTTGCAGATATATACTAATTTAAAAAAAAAAAAAAGTTAAATGGCTGAAAATATTAATTTTATTTACTTATTTATTTAAATGCATTTTCTGCCTATTTTTGTTCCTTACAAAAACTGTTGTGAGTGGAAAAAAAGACAAGTTACAACTCACAAATTGAGCAAAATATATTTGCAAATATAACACCTTTCTAATCTCTTCCTTAAGAGAGAAAAGAAATCACAAGCTGCATAGTTTGGGACTATATTGGTTTCAACATCTGGGAAGCCTCTAATAAAGGAGTAAAAGGCTAATTCATCTGAATAACTGCAATTACTGTCATGACAGCAACTATTCACATTCCTTTCCATAAAAAGCTGTAGTTTAAGTTATATATGCATCTACGTTATATATGCATCCACGTTATATATGCATCCATTTTGGAGAGCACTAAATTATTCAGAGAATTTAGATTAAGTGAATCAATTCAGTTTTCTTAATTTCATGATGTCAAATCTTCCTCAATATCTTGGAATAGCATTGATCATCTGGAGCACAGAAAATTAAGAGTAAGGGAAAAATTTATCACATAGCAAAAGTTTAATTACAGTGCCATCTGCTGGATATTAGCATCTTGAAGGGAACAGGATATATATGTTTAAACTGAATGTGCTGCTTTGTCATCGCTAGATCATTAGACATGTGGTCAGTGATGAACATTCATACACGGTAAGTTTCAACATAAATTTAACAGGTAATTTTTTCCCATGTTCTATAGGCTCGCAGTAAAAACCGACCATGAGAAGCTAAACTGATTCATTCTGATCAACAGCTTTCATCTGCTTACAGTTAATCTCTGCAATAAGTACTTTTTTTGTATTGTAATTCATTTGCATCATTTTCATCAAACATTTCTAGAAATGTGAGTTTCAATTTCAGGGTAATCATGCTTCACCAAAATATTCTGACTGAAACTATATGATACTGAAATTGAAAATACACTGATTCTTCCCTCCAACAGCTGAAATACTGTATTTGTTTATTAATGGTGACAGGGTGGTCTTCCAGAATGTTTAAATCCTACTTATTCTAAGTACTACCAGTATAAATACTGCACAGGTCAGTATTTTTGTCATCACTTCAAAGAAAACGTTTTTTGTCTTTTCAGGCCCTGTTTGTTTTTAAAGAAACTGCTGCTGAGAAGAGATGCTACAGCATCCTGGAAATTGCACAAGTGGAGTAACTCTCATGAACTGAAGCAAAAGTCACTAAGAACTGCGATATCTCCAGACAAGTACGACCTCGTTTGCTTTTGCCTGTTAACAAAATACATTACTATACTGCATCAGCATATGGTAGCATTCTTCAATGCTGATCATGTTTATGGGTAGCCACTTGCAGTGACAGACTTGGTAGGAGAAAAGGGGAGACAGCAGAGAGGTAAGAGCTAGATAGAGTATGAGCTTTACATTAAACTTTGACAAAGCAATGAAATTCTAGAACTGTTCTGAATTTGCTACTGATTTCGGTTTACTGAGGAGCAATTAGCTGTACCATTATATGCAGTGCAGATCTTGACAAACAAATCACTGCTACGGTGATTGCTTGAGAGAATTACCAACATCTCTTTTCCCCTTTGTCACAAAATACGTTGATCTCACTGACATAAATAAAGCATATTAAAATGACCACACAAATTATGACATGAATAATAGCAAGGTTCATACTTGCTTCCCTATATTATGCTTCATCAGGTGGTAAAATTCAACTAAAACATCCTTTACTACTAAAGCATTACAGATGCTACAGTATCATTGAACTGCTGCATTTTGTACATTTGTTTTTTTGTCTGGGCACATACCTGAAAATAAGATTTAAAAAAAAAAAAAAAAAGAAAAAGATAATTTAAAAAAGACATAATAAAAACCAGAACTTACTTCGTTTTGCTGTTCTAAGCACAACTAAAGTTGACAGAAACCTCAAAGGCATAGAGGAGCTTTTAAAGAAATGTGCAGGGTTTGGTTTACTCCGTGTAGACTTTTTAGTCCATTTTTGCATGCTTCCCTTTTGTACTGCGCCTTTGAGAATAACTTCTGCAAGTCTCTCCATTGTTGCTGTCATGCTTGCATCCTGTTTCAAACAACGTGCACATTTAGCGTAAACATTAAAATACATGAAAATCCTGTCTGCTAAGTACGTATGTTCCCCTAAGGATTAAATATTAAATAGCAGATGTCATGACCGTGTATTGCAATATAGTCTGTACATGGGATACTACCTTGCGTTCCACAAGCAGTTGAACAACATTAGCACAGGGCCTAGTCAACACACACTTCACAAAGAAACAAGGTAGTCAGGGCCCCTGATATGCTGACATTATTTAATTTGCCTCTGGTTCCAGAATAAAGTCAGTTCAAACTCAGCTTTAATCAGTGCTGCCTACTACACTACCCTCTTTTGTGAAGATGCCTGAGATGCCTGAAGCTAGGTCCTACAAAAGCATTTACAGAACTAAGGTCTAAACATGACCCTTAAGAATACTGTACAGGTAAGATGTATTGGACTTTTCAAAAACCTGTGCAGAAATATTACTTCAGAATCAAACTTACTAACATGCTCATTTAAAATACGTTCTCATTAGCACTGGAACCACCAGCTTAGTTCTATTCAGTTAGACACTGAGTAGAGAACAAAGAAATCAAAATACCTTTGCTACTTTGCCACACGTTGCCACCAATTTCAACAAATCTCATGCATAAAGCGAACAAAAATATATTTCTTTTCCTAGTTCACAAGTTTTGTAAGCACATATGTAAAATACCATTTCTGAGATGCTACACACTACTGCAACAAAGATCACATATGTGTGCAAAAATATGTTTACAGACACGGTGCAAAATATTACAACGAATGTGAGAAAGTTAATTTGGTGAGAATTAGTTTTTCATTTGCTATGTATCTGTGGTAGGCATTTATGCTTTGCAAAGACAGCAAAGTTTCTTTTATATATACTCCCTGAAAATATCTACTTTTCACTGTCATTTATAATACAAAATACCTCTTGGGAATTTACCTGACTACCAGTGTCTATCTGCCTTAGAGACCAGTAGATAAATTGAATCACAGACATATGTAGTTTAGGATCCACAAATGGCATCCACTGGAACTGTCCAGTGACCATAGGCAAAAGCTGTAAAAATACAGAATGGCAAAGTTACGTGCAGTATACGAACTTACAGTACAAGCTAACCACAAGTAAAAAGCAAACTAAGCAAAACTAAACCAAACTAAAATCAACGTATTCCCGGAGTTTAACAGACTACATGTACAAATACTCACTGGGCAGATCTGGTACAGGTAACAGAATTATATACTGAATTTACATTTTACACGGGTTTACACAAAAAGTGGAAAGACATTGTGTGAGCTCAAGCTCTGAAGTCTAATACCAAGGGCTACAAATTTTAGATAGAATAATAATTAAACAAACAAACAAACAAACAAACAGAAAAAGCAGATTTCCGGAACGCTTCACTGATTTCCAAGCCTCGGTATCCCAAAAAAGTGTTACAAGTATAGCACGGTATCATCTTTTATAAGACATAACTTGAACTTTTAATACCTAGTATCAGCACTAAAATACTTTAAATTAGATGTGTGTATCTCCTTAGGAAAAAGGAATTACATACAGTATTACAGATAAAACACGAGATAAATTATCAGCTGAGAAAAGTGACTTAAAATAGAAAGACAGGTGGAATCTCAAGGTCAGACTGAACACTACACATTTCCTTAAAAATGATCTGTATAAATATCTGTATGAAAAATTATCTATTACATCTCACTGTTGGAATTAATACTGATGGATTAACTGCTGTTTTCTTTTAATTCATGTATTCAAAGCGTGTGTAAAACAGGCCGACCTGTTACACTCAGAAATAATACAAAGAATCTTAACATTTCAACCCAAACAAATTCAAATGCCTTTACCTTCATACAATTGTCTAGAGTGTAGTTTTCTTTAGCACACTGAGGTTTCTCACTGCCCTCTCTCTCTTCTTGTATTTCTATTTTGCGAAGGTGTTGGTCTGAGATCCAGTCCATAAGAATAGTTAAGGGGTCGTAAACTTTTGAATTCGATAGTAACTGTAATACATCCACAACATCAGTTATTTCAGTTTTCAAGTCTATGATTTTCTAAACCACAATACCAATAGACTAAAATATACGAGTACATTGGTAATACGCACATGCTTTATTTTGTGCTTAAACAAATGTTTATGAAAGCCTTGGGAAGAGATTTTCACATACAAAATCACTCTATTTTATAATTCTAACTAAATGGATCATAGGAGAAAGAAAATATTTAATGATCTGTGCATGATCCTCATTTTAATACATTTAATACACTCCTTTGCTTTATTTCATACAATCTACTTATGCTAAATTTTAACTGTGTAACTAGCATTGTTGGAAGAATAAAGACTTCGTGAAATTGTCATTCTGTCCCTCTATTACAACTGTACAGAAAAGCTCTGTGAAAGGTATCCAGAGGTTCCTGAAGACATACTGCACGAACATCTCTCTAAAACCTTCACAAGTTTTCTTGTATCTACCTTCAGACAACTGTTCTTCTCTTCACTCAGAATTCTAACTACTGATACTGCTCATATATCACTTGCGACTAAAGTACGCTAAAACCTACGTACACAGAGAAATATGTTGGCTATATAGAGACAGTACAGTTTTAAGGAATCTGATATAGATCAAGTAGAATGGTGTGAAGATCTCTTTCTCATTTCAGTTTAGCCTCTAGCAGGAGAAAGTCATTACCAGTCAGGAAATGTTGGCAGAGTACTAGCAGAGGACTTGCTACCGACTGGAATGACATGGAGACAGTATTTCATTAAGTGATGTAAGAAGGTATTTTAAGGAAAACAAGGTATCCTTTTGGAACTATATATGAATACTGCATTTATTCTTTCCCACATTAAAGACCATTTATCCAAAGTATAACAGCAGTACAACCATCTCTGGCTTATAAAATTAAAATTTGTTATTGAACTTCTCCAACTACACTTCAGCTGGTGTTATTCATAAGGACAGTGTTGTACTGTAGCAGGAACCAGAATAAGTTTAAGATTTGCTCTGTGCAGGCAGAATATAATTTTAATTTATAGTTGAGAGATAACGTGAGAGGAAGAAGAAAACATAGTTGAGTAAGTAAAAAACATATACATACACAATATAAAATTCAAAAGACATTTTTAGCAACATAATTTATTCTTTCACCTGAATATCTGTTTCTCCCAATACAGCGTCTACCTATTCCTACTGTAATTAATTCACACACACAAAAAAACCAATCATTTTATTTTTCTAATTTCTATCATTTTCTAATTTCTAGCAGGTACATAATGTTCTACTGCCTGAAGTCTTTCAAACAGTTCTTTCTGTTTGAACAGATTCACCTCGCCCAACCAATCCTTACACTTTTTGATGCTTCTGTCTGTTTTTCCTCCTTAACAGGTACACGTTCTTGCACCACTTCTGTATCTTTGGACTTTCGTGCCATTAAAATTTCATGCTTCTGCTACAATAAAATGTAACAATGAATTATATTTCACTTGTTAACTATAAAGGAAAAAGGTCCCTGTAAGAAGAAACCTTACTTGTAAATCCTCTAAGCGAACTTGTAAGCGTCCTGCTCGATCTTTAGGGATCTTTTTCATTTTGTTCACATTACTTAACTGAAAGAATCGAAAAACATTCAAATATCCAAAGATTCAAAACTCACTTTTTGACTCAACCATCGCATTGAAATCATTTGATGTGATTGCTAAATAATTAAAAGTTCAATTTTTTTCTTCTCAGTATGGGCAGTGATAGAAACAAAATCACTGTCCACTTTCTCAACAAATCACGGGATGGCCAAGGTGGGAAGGGACCTCTAGAGACCATCTCGTCCAAGCGTCTTGTTTAAACAGGGCCACCCAGAGCAGGCTGCCCAGGACCATGTCCAGGCAACTTGTAAAGATCTTCAAGGACAGGGACTCCCTAACCTGTCCAGGCAACCTCTGCCAGGATAAATAAAATAATAGTGGCTCTTCATTGACTTGCAGCCCAGCCTTTCAGCTTACAGGGGAAGAATAAGCACAATACCTCTTTAGGTATATAGGCAATACATATTTGATTACTTTTCATCAAGAAGTGACACAAAAAACAGAATGCATATTTCAAGAATGGTCTAATGGCCTTGGAAATAAGAGAGGATGAAAGTTTTCTTCTCTGAAGAATGACACTGTTACTGAGCATGATCTGTGAGAAAAGAATATGGGGCAAACTATAACCGCCATTTAAATATAAGTAGCATACTCTATGGATACAACAAGCATCCCGATCATCATGTAAGTCCTCTATGAATACTTCAGTTTGCACGAAAGAGAAAGAAAGATTTTACTGAGACTAGGAAGCAGATGATTTTAATCATACTCAAGAGCATCAGAACTGCAATTCACTGAAGGAGCAATGTTATGTTATGTTATGGCAATGTTATGGCTTCAGGAAAGTGATTAACTGCTGACTAGACCCGGACCTAAGCCAATTAGGCCAGTTCATCAATTTAAGCTAACGGAATGGGACTTAAAAAACTACTGGACACGGCATGAGAAATTGCTAGACAAAGAATCACAGAACGGTTTGGTTTGGAAGGGACCGTATCCATCACCCAGTGCCACCCCCCGGCCATGGGCAGGGACACCTCCCACCAGACCAGGTTGCTCAAAGCCCCATCCAGCCTGGCCTTGAACACCTCCAGGGATGGGGCAGCCACAGCTTCTCTGAGCAACCTGTGCCAGGGCCTCACCACCCTCTGAGTGAAGAATTTCTTCTGTGTGTCTAATCTAAATCCACCCTCTTTCAATTTAAGGCCATTCCCCTAGAGTCCACAAATAGTTAAATACCCAAAATTCACAGATAACTGGAGGGAAGTATTAGGATCTCCTAAGGAATTAAATATTGCAAGCCCAACTGCATGCTGGTACTACATAAGGCAAAGATTATTGTGATGATGATAGCAGAATAGCAGAAATAGAAACTTGGGTTCCCCAAAAAAGTAAATCAGAAACATCTGGACCTGATCCTGGGCAACTGTGTCTAGGATGCCTGAGCAGTGAGTTTGGACAAGATGATCTCTCGCTCATCTTGCAATCTGCTCAATAAGCAAATAAGCAAGTAGGAGCTTAATATTCAAACCACTTTAACTCAGGACAATAATGACAGTCATGACAAAGAACTTAAAGAAATTCCCCCCCCCCCCCCCCCCCCCCCCCAGTGCTATCAGTTTCTTTAACTACAACAGCAGTACTGAAGGTGCCACCAAATTGGCACCATATTAAGTTCTCTGACTCCCACTTTGCTACAGTGCTTCTAATGCTTCAGAACTGCTCATTCCTCCTTTCAGCCAATATTTTCAGGAAACTCTGGACAGAAACAAGCTGTGCATCTATGCAACGCTGCCTCCTACAGACAACAGAGGTGGCAACAAGTTCTCCTGAAATTAAGGTGGGTTCATTCTGGCACCAACTAGAAAGCAGGGGCCCACACGAGATGAAATTAAAGATGGCCACCTGGATTTGCATAAAAACGTCAAAGTTGTCAAGGGCTTCCCGCTGCCTTCCCCCGGCCCCCTCAGCGCCTCGCGCCGGGACCCGCTGTGGCACCGCCCGCCCTCGCCGGGGCCCTGTGCGCAGGCGCAAGAGGCGGCGCTTGAGGCGGCCGCTGCGCTGAGGGGCCGGGGCCGGGGCGGGCGGAGGGGGTTAACGGGAACAATGGCGGGGCCTGGTCCCGTGCTGTGGAGCTGAAACGGGGACGAGCAGGGGAGAGGCTCGCTGTTGGGTTACAGCTCCGTGTAACGCAGGCACGGGTCGAATCTGTGCGCTAGGGGCGTGCAGGGTAATGCTTGTGTAAGCAGCGTTCCCTGCAGAGGCTGAGGGAAGGGTTGCTCTCGCTAGCCTCGGAAGTAAAGCATGAGATGAAGATAGAGCGCGTGACAGAAACGTGTGATGTCTATAGTCATCTCTAACTGCATATATGAACAGCAAGTCGGCTGTTCTGAAAAAAATACCGATAGTCCTGGCGCCGAGCTGTAAGAGAGAAGTTAAAAAGAACTTACCCGTGCACGTTCCCCCTCTGCACCACAGCTTCCCAGATAACACTCCAGGAGATGGTTGTCACTAAACGTTACCAGCCACTTCACATACCTTCACCTTAATTCACTTTAAGTGAATTTAAATGAAAACAGGCCTCCGCGTTTTCAGTCCATCTTTTCAGGTATCACTGACACGCCAGAGTGGACTCACGCTTGACACCTTGTGGACAGGGATGAAAAGCAACCTCAAAAGAAACGTTTGCAGCCTTGGAAGACCCTTCCCTCCGAAATCAACACAACAAGGAAACCAGTAACTATTCCCTCAGTGGACTGTGCTACACAGTCAGCTGTAAGCATCGCTCGAAAGTCAAAACTAAATGCGTCCGGTGGCCTTGAGCACAAGAAAAGGAGAGGAAATATTTTTTGTTGAGTCCACCGGGGAGTATCAAAACTGTGGGAACGTATCTGTGAATCTGGAAAAGGAAATTTGAGAATCACAGACTTTAGGGCTTGGAAGAGACCTTGAAAGATTACCTAGTCCAATCCCCCTGCTGGAGCAGGAACACCTGGATCAGCTCACCCAGGAACACGTCCAGGTGGGTTTTGAATATCTCCAGAGAAGGAGAGTCCACAACCCCCCTGGGCAGCCTGCTCCAGTGCTCCGTCACCGAAGATACTTCTGTATTCATTTTGCTTGGATTCTGGGAGGCAACAGGTTCGTTTCGCACTGAACGCATGCTGCTGTCCCACTGACAGTGAAAATGTATTTTAAGCGTTTACAGCGACCAGTATAAAGCAAGACATATTGAAATGAAAAAGTAATCTCCTAAAGAATTACGGAGAAATGCTCAAAGTTTCGTTCCATGACTTGTTTGAATCAATCTATGCATGGACTGAAACATGAGGTAGCCAAAGTTTCCTTTTTGTTATGGCTCCAGGAAAGTGATTAACTGCTGACTAGACCCGGACCTAAGCCAATTAGGCCAGTTCATGAATTTAAGCTAACGGAATGGGACTTAAAAAACTACTGGACACGGCATGAGAAATTGCTAGACAAAGAATCACAGAACGGTTTGGTTTGGAAGGGACCGTATCCATCACCCAGTGCCACCCCCCGGCCATGGGCAGGGACACCTCCCACCAGACCAGTTTGCTCAAAGCCCCAATTATCTTATGTCACTTATTCTATGTTAAATCTTTTGCAGAAGCAATAAGAATATGTTTGAATTATTTGCGCTTCACCAAATGATCGAAGTACTGCTCAGAATAGAACATCCACAACGCTTTCATGTCACCATAAGCGCCAAAGCAATTCTGCGTAATTTGGGAGTGGCAAAGAGCAATGCTGCCAGCCTAAGCACAAATGCCTAGCAGTATCTTTCAATCAAATTGTTGTTCTGGGTGAGGTATGCCAACTCTCTTTTGTACTTGAAAAAGTATTTATTGGTTTTAGTGTTTTCAATAAATTTGTTGACCAAACCCTCTGTATTCTGTAAGTTACTTTATATCATGTAGAATCGTGCTGATATTTCCCTCATTCACGAATAGGTGTGGTGGTTTTACCGTGCTGGGCAGCTAAACCCCACACCCGCTCTCTCACCCCCCCTCCTTTAGATGAGGAGGGGGAGAAGTAAAGCAAAGAACAACTCACGGGTTGAGATAAGGATAATTTAATTAAAGGGAAATAATAATTAAATAAAGATTATTATGAACTAAACAATTTAACTAAGGGGAAATAAAAAGGGAAAGGGGAAAAGGGAGGGGAAAAGGGAAAAATAAAAAGAAGGGAGGAAAACAAACAGATAAAATAAATGAAGGCTATGTGGAAGTGCAGAGGAAAGAAATTACTCTCTGCTTCCCACAAATGAGCCATGATTGACCACGTCCTTGAAGCAAGGCCTCAGCGCACGCAGCCGGTGTTCAAGAGGAGGACCGATGTTTTCCCAAGGAGAGCCCACCCCTCTCCTCTTCTTCCTGTTTCCACCTTTTATTGCTGAGTGTGACATGATATGGAATATCCCTTTGATTGGTTGAGGTCAGCTGCCCTAGTGATGTTTTTCTCCTCACTTTTTGCCCGCCCCCTAGGAGGGTTAGAGAAAGGCCCAATGCTGTGCCAGTGCTGCTCAGCAATAGACACAACACTGGTGTGATAACACTGCTGTTCCAGCTACGAGTACAGAGTACGGCACTGTATGGGCTGCTGCCGGGAAAGTTAACATTCCAGCCAGACCCAGTACAACCTCCACCCCTTATTCCATAACGTTTGTGTCACACTCAGATCCCCATATTTTAGCATACAAGCATTCTCATCATTATTCCTGGTCCTTTAACAGGACAGGATTAATAGGCAGGTGTATCTTTTCATTCCACAGGTCTTTCCTGGAAAATGTTCATAAGAACTGTTGATGATTAGGTCTTCGTCTGCCAAAGTGGCCACTCAAGGCAGGTGGAGTTGGATGTCTGGACGCCAGCACCAGCTTAGCTCAAGTCCTTGTTGCACTGCCCGGCTCCTTGCGAAGTTGACCTGTCGTTGATCCTACAGCATCTTCCTACAACGTATAACTTAGATTACAGATTAGTTTTCTCTCAATGTCAAATCTCCTTGAGGCACACACTTGATATCCCCGTTCTTTTGCATGACCCACCAGGTATACCCTGGTCCTTGGGCGAAGACAATCCCACGAGTGGGTTTGCCTTTTCCCGAGGCAGGAGCAACCCACACTGCCTTCCCCATCCACCTTCCTACATGCACTACGGGAACTTTAGCTCCTTTCACAGTGTGTAGGGGTTTTGTTTCGGCAGGACCAGCATGGCTGTCAGACCCCCTATTGTTAACTAGCCAAGTGGCTTCTGGTAGATTTGTGTCCCCTTGTTTCCACGTCCCAGCACCCAATGCTCGTAACACAGTCTTTAACAGTCCATTGTACCTCTCAACCTTCCCAGAGGCTTGTGGGTGATAAGGGATGTGGTACACCCACTCAATACCATGCCTCTTTGCCCAGAAGGTAACAAGATTGTTTCGGAAGTGACTCCCATTGTCAGACTCAATTCTCTCTGGTGTACCATGACACCACAATACTTGTCTTTCCAGGCCCAAGGTAGTGTTTCGGGCCGTGGCATGGTTTACAGGGTATGTTTCCAGCCACCCAGTAGTTGCTTCTACCATGGTGAGTATGTACCGTTTGCCTTGGCGGGTTTTGGGGAGTGGTCCGATATAGTCAATTTGCCAGGCCTCACCGTATTGAAACCCTAGCCATCTCCCCCTGTTCCAGGGAGATTTTACCTTCATGGCTTTCTTGACTGCAGCACAGGTCTCACGCTCATGGGTAACCTGTGTGATGGCCTCAATGGTCAAGTCCACCCCTCGATCACGAGCCCATCTCTAAGTGGCATCCCTCCCCAGATGTCCTGATGTTTCATGGGACCATCGAGCTACAAACAGCTCACCCTTACGTTCCCAGTCTAGGTCCACCTGAGCCACTTCAATTTTCGAAGCTCGATCCACTTCTTCGTTGTTCTGATGTTCTTCAGTAGCGCGACTCTTGGGCATGTGGGCATCTACATGATGTACTTTAACAGCCAGCTTTTCTACCCGGGCAGCAATATCTTGCCACAGGGTAGCAGCCCAGATAGGTTTACCTCTGCGCTGCCAGTTGCTCTCTTTCCATTGCTGCAGCCACCCCACAGAGCATTTGCCACCATCCATGACTCAGTATAAAGATACAATGCTGGCCATTTTTCTCTTTCGGCGATCTCTAGGGCTAGTTGTATGGCTTTTACTTCTGCATACTGACTCAACCCACCTTCCCCTTCCATGGCCAGAATAGCAGAAATAGAAACTTGGGTACACAAAAAAAATAAATCAGAAACATCTGGACCTGATCCTGGGCAACTGTGTCTAGGATGCCTGAGCAGTGAGTTTGGACAAGATGATCTCTCGCTCATCTTGCAATCTGCTCAATAAGCAAATAAGCAAGTAGGAGTTTAATATTCAAACCACTTTAACTCAGGACAATAATGACAGTCATGACAAAGAACTTAAAGAAATTCCTCCCCCCCCCCTCAGTGCTATCAGTTTCTTTAACTACAACAGCAGTACTGAAGGTACTTCCTCACTGCTCATCAGAGGAAGAATGACATTTCAAAGGCCTTTAGTCTACTGACCATCAACATCAATTAGCATGTTCAAAATAAGTACACAACGCGATGCAAATTGCTCTTCAGCAAGCCAAAGTGAAGACAATAGTTATTTTAACAAGACTAAGATTTAATTTGTAAAATTTGACATTCCATACAAATATGTCATAACACAAATACACCCAAAATATGCCAGTGTCTGAACTTATTTAACATGCAAAAAAAATCAATTAGAACACATAAAAAACAACCATAAGCTGCAATTTTACATTTATACATCAGAAGTGTCCTTTTTAAAGAAGTGGAAATAATTAATCAATAACATCTAAATACTGATTTATACTGCTAGAACATCTGTATACTCAAAAGCCAGAATTCTATATTTGCCCACAGTCTGTAATGACAACTCTTCCACTTACTAACCCGTTGGGAGAACCAAAGGATTCGATCTTTTTCACAACATCCATTCCATCTTTCACAAAACCAAACACCACGTGTTTAAAGTCCAAGGCTTCTACTTTTTTGAGTGTTATGAAGAACTGAGAGTTATTTGTATCCCGACCCCTATTTGCCATTGACAGCAATCCAGGACCCGTGTGCTTCACTTCAAAGCTCTCATCTTCAAATGCGTCTCCATAAATTGACCGTCCACCTGTTCCATCATGGTTAGTTATATCACCTCCCTTAAAAAAAAGGCACAGCATTTACTTTCAAGTCCCAAAGAACAAGATCATCACGAACATCATGATGTTCGAGAACATCGACCAATAGCACAGTTACATTCTTTCCAAAATAGAGTTTTTGTTCAAAAAACACAGGTAAAACCTCATTCTTAGTTATCACAAGTACTATAGTTACTTGGATATAAGGCTTTCCACCTTCAGCAGATTTGCCATTTGTATATTGCTATCCATTTCTGAATTTGGAAACGATTGTGCCCTGCCTTGAGGGATGTAGCATTATGCAAAAGCATTATTGTAGCATGTAAGGAATTCAGTTTATTTTACCTGTTTTAAGTCATTATACCTCCTACTGAATATTTGGAAGACTTTTAGGAACGAAGGGAAGGTATACGTGAGCAGATACCGATCTCCTATGCCTTCAGAAATTATGGGGAACTTGCTCATGCTACTAAATGCATGCAAACGTTTAATAGCAGTGTTGCCTACATCAGGATTCACTAGCAATGCACGAAGATATTGAGAACTGAGTATTTTTAGGACAAAGCCACTGCATGATACAAGAAATAGGAGACCTTTTAGACTGAAATTGGAACATCTAAAAAGATGGAATATTGATTTTGCAGTGCAGGTCATCTGAAATGTAAAGTGTTCATCAAAAGGTGGAAAGTAAGCGTTCTTAGCAGGTGAGCATATGGAAGCTCCACTCTGTGGAAAGAGACAGCTCTGAATGTTCGTTTTGGGAAGCCTTACTTTCCTTGCTGCTTCTGTTCAGCAACAGGCCCCTTGTCTGTGGGAAGAAGAAATCTCTATCTCCATTATTTCTTCTACACTAAAATGGCAGCACTAACAGCATCAGGCAGCTGACAAACAGTTAAAGAGCGCTCAGCTTAGGGCAGCATGTGCTGCTTACACCTTTGCTTGTCTCCTTGTAGAGAAAGGACAAGAAAGAGTATCTTGTGCTCTAGATTCATGGTGCCACTGAGCACGTGCTATCCTGTGATTTTTGTAGTGGTACTGTTAGACCAGATGGGTTTCATTCCCTCAAAAAGTCTTCACGTTATGCTTACCTGACACACAAAGTCAGTAACTATTCTGTGAAATCTGGTGTTCTTGAATCCAAATCCTTTCTCTCCTGTGCACAGGGCCCTGAAATTTTCAGCTGTTCGAGGGACAATATTTGAAAACAGCTCCATGGTTACACATCCTAAAGGTTTGTCATCAGCAGAAACTTCAAAATAAACAACGGGATTGGTGTCCTTGGACAGTCCTTCTGGCAGTCTGTTCTTCAATTTGGAAATGCTTCTTTGGCAGCTTTCAAATACATTCTTGAAATTAGCAGCTATTTGTGGATCTTTAAACTTAACTGCAAGTCGTTCTACTTTTAGCTCCCCATCTGAAAACAAATCCAAGAACAGGTTTCTTTAGCTCTAATTCAGAATAGTAAGATACAAGTAGCTTTTGTTTGGTATAGCCTCCTCAGAAAAAAAAGCCACACAAAGATACTTAAAAAGTGAAAAAACACCAAAACAACCCACCTGCATAATCCGTGGCTGTCCAAATTAAAGCATTGTTTGATGTATCTGAAGGTACTAAATTCATTTCATTGGTGATTACATGGTTTGCACACACTTTAAGAACTTGTTCCCTTCTCATTAAGACTCTGTAAGATGTCTTCAGAGTATTAAATAGGATCTTTATCTCTCCAACACCACGCTCCTTCCACTGAGTAGCATCTCTGTCCCACCTGTACAGTTTGGCTCGCTCTTTGAAAAGAACTTCTTCATCTTCTTCTCCTGATTTTACTTCCACCTAGAACACAGCACAGTAGAGTACCTATGATTTCCCAGAACTGCTGTCACCAACAGAATTACATATTACACACTTATCATGGTTCTGACATATTACAATGAGAAATTATTTCATGTTTTCCTTTCTTGAATGGTTTTGTGCCGACAGCTCTACAGATATTCATCATGCACATAAATGAAACGCCCAAGCTTTTCAGAATTTAGGAGCCCAATGAGCCCCAGTGTTTGAAATGAATTCTAGCACTGCAACACTACTTCCCCGTGCTGCATGAGGCTTTACTTTTTGTGTGCATTTCTCTTTTTTACGAAAGCTATTGAGTGTTTTGGCATGTTCCCCCAAAAAATTTTGTATGTGCCGAATGATGTGCACACTGAGAAGTGAGAATACAGTACTACTGGCATTCTGGGCATTACCTTTTCAAGATTGTTAAAGAACTTAACATTTGCATCTGAACAGAATAAATATCAACTGTGAATAGTACATTGAGGGCTGACAGCTGTATTCCTTGTTACTTTACATATGTGTATTACTGGTCTCTAACACCCTTTAGTTAAGGCATCTTCCAAAGATATGGAAGACTTGAGAGAACTGGAGAAATAAGTGACAAACAAACTTTTCTGAAGGGAGAAGTGACACTGAAGGAGACACGAAACAAAACATCAAGTAAGGCAAGAAAGAAAACCACAGGAGTCCTAATATGACAAATGGATGAGGAAACGCACACAATATTTTTTTTTTTTTAAGAAAGAAGGAAAGCACATTACAAACTACAATCAGATTAGCTGTTCAAATTAAAGGATACCACATATTGTTTATTTGTGCTGTGGTAGTGTTCTTTAGTAATTACATTGATCTGTAATTAAATTTTATTATTTACAGAAAGACAGGCTATAACCATATCGAACTTTTTTCACCTTGTTCTACGCACTAAGGCTAAATACCAAATCCAGAAACAAGGAACTGCATCAAGCCTCAAAAAGTTACAGAAGACTACCTAAAGTTAAGCTTTACTGAAGTTTAAGGCTCTACTTCTTGAAAAACTATTTCTTTTCAAATTAAAAATAATCGTTTCCTTAGCTTTGTGCATTTAATTGTGCCACACCTTTAATGTTCAGTGATTCTAGAAATCTCTCACCTATCTGAGAGCAAAAATTTCAAATTGGGTGGCTTTCAGAGAACTGAAACTACAAGTCACCAATAGAAAATCCTAACTGAGTTGCATTAGCAGTGACAATTGTTCAAGTCCCTCCCAACACACCTTGTTTTTCAAATACGGTGTAACGAAACAATTTTACTTTTTAGAAGTTACTTGTACAAATTTTCATGATCTACACTGAGTGAAGATATAATACCCTGAAATTTTGTATTATTAACTGATGCAACTGATACCTTCCCCCAGCAGAAGTTGTACCAGGATTTAAAACAGCACGAGATTCTACACAGGCAGCAGACAAAAAAGGACCAAAGCACAACAGATAGGAAGCATAAGTAGTCAAGTAAAGCATTTTTATACGTTTCCTTTTTTAGCAGATATGCTTATCTTAATGTTCTTTTATATTCTGGAAGTTTCTTTACCTCTGGTAAGGAAACAATGGGCTCAAAGTGGATATCATCATTATGTACGACTTCATCACCGCTATCACCTTCATCTTCATCTGCTTTTCTCTGTGGCTGTGCTCCAAATACGGTTGCTCCAGTATTTGCCCATTTGAAATCTTTATCTACAGTTAAAGAGACTTGCATTTTAAACGTTTTGCTGAGAAATACAGTAATTTGACAATATGCAGAAGCTTGGTGCACAAAGGTATTCTGTATGAAGCAGAAGTCCTGTTCAGTATCCATCTCAGAGGCTTAACTCACCTTTTGACCCAAAAGCAAAGTCTCCAGAGCTTCTGGAAGCCAGATCTGCAAATGACAATTCTGAGGTACTGCTGAATCCAAGTGAGATGATTTTGCCTTCTATCAAACAAGATGGGAAAGTCAAATGCTTTTCTAATCCTCTAGGGAAAACACTTACAATGTCATGTAGTCAACAAGAATAAACTGGAGAAATCTCTACAATACTCTTCCTTTCCCATAAATTAAGAGATATTAAGTCTAAGTTAAGTTCAGTTTGATAATCGTTCGCTTTGATTTATCACTTTGATAAGTAGTCACACAGCATTTAACAATAAACCAATATCATTGCTCTGTAGCAGTCTCATCTGACCATATTAGAATTTGAAACACTGAGATACTTGCATTCCCCTTCATGTTTTCACTAGATTAATACTCATGCTTCAAATTCAATATTGCTACTACATCTGTCCAATGCAACAGCTAGATTAGATGAACTGTTCTACAGAAAAGCATACTTAAGCTCCTAAAAAAAAAAAACAAACACAACATTATAACTACCGTTGACTTTGCCTTGCGATGACACTGAAGAAGCTGATTCACTTTCTTTTTTATTTGTCAGGTTTACAGGTTTCTCATCACCTGCTGGTAAACTCTGCCCTATAGGAACGTTGCCTGTGGTGGAATCTGGCTTCACATCAGCTGATGGAGCTGGTACTTCTTTAATGGCAGGGACTAAATCGGTAGAGCTGGTAACTTCATCGTCCTGAGAAGTTGAATAAAGAGTAAAGCAATAAGCAAATAAGCAAGAAGGAACCTAATATTCAAACCACTTTAACTCAGGACAATAACGACAGTCATGACAAAGAACTTAAAGAAATTCCCCCCCCCTCCCCCCAAGTGCTATCAGTTTCTTTTACTACAACAGCAGTACTGAAGGTGCCACCAAATTGGCACCATATTAAGTTCTCTGACTCCCACTTTGCTACAGTGCTTCTAATGCTTCAGAACTGCTCATTCCTCCTTTCAGCCAATATTTTCAGGAAACTCTGGACAGAAACAAGATGTGCATCTATGCAACAATGCCTCCTACAGACAACAGAGGTGGCAACAAGTTCTCCTGAAATTAAGGTGGGTTCATTCTGGCACCAACTAGAAAGCAGGGGCCCACACGAGATGAAATTAAAGATGGCCACCTCGATTTGCATAAAAAAGTAAAAGTTGTAAACAGCTAGGGAAAAAAATTTTGTTGGAAGCTTTCTGACAGTTTTATTAGTTCTTTTTTCTGACGCTTACTACACATTGGACACAACTTTACAAGAGACCCAACTACCTTTGAAGCAGAATGCTTCCGCAAAGACACAATTTCTTTGAAATCAATTAATTCCCGCATACATATTCACAGGGATATTTCTAGCCAAAGCTGTTTATATTAGGAAAACAGCTGCACCTTCTTTCTCTCCCTGACAAACTTCAGGTCTGAACCTCAGTTTCTGTGTCAAAGACTTGAGGCACAGTCAGAGGAGTCAAATAACTTTTCCCCTAATACATGGTTTTCTTCCTCAGAAAGTGAAAAGTGTCAAGTCTTACAAGTGCGAAAATACTTCTACAAATTCAATGACAAAAAGTTCTATGAAGACTTAGTACATACATCAGGAGTTGTTTTCTTTTCCTGAGCAGTAACACATTCTTCCTTCGGTTTTCAACTCAGTTTTGCCTGTGATGTCTCCTGCAAAAAAATTAGTAGAAGAGAGCTGGTAAGGCAGCTAACTACTGAGAGAATTTGGGGCAACTATGTTATCAAATAACATCGTGATACACAGGACAACGTAAAGTAAGACTTCAAGAACTTTTCAAACAGCAGCATTATGTCTTCTACACTTGTATTATTACTACTGAGACCAAATACTTTTTTCCTTATTGAACAGCAGTAATTCACATGCTTATAATCTAAGTCTGTAGAATTAATGAACATTTACAGCTGCAGACAAGGTGTTTTTTTTTTCTTTGTTTTTTCTTTTGGTCTTTCAAAGGCATCTTGAAAAGCTCAGCTGTCTGTATTCAGAATAAAGACAGAAGTTTCCAGGTAAGAAGACAGTTTGATGTTCTTGCTTAGAGGCCCTCTAAAAATGGGCCTAAGTCTTTTTTCTTTTCATTCAGGTACTACTAACTGCTAACAATTCAACATACTGTGGTTAAAGATGCATTTTAAGCTGCAGCTTTTCTGATTCCAGTGCAAGTATTCCTAAAACTATCTCAGGAAAAATCAAATTAACCTCAGAGCCCCGGTGTCCTCCAGATTTAGAGCTTAAATCTCAGTATAAAAAAGTTACCTCTTGTCTTTTCAGACGTATCTTTTGCAGGACCTTGTGATTTCCTTTTCCCTTCTGGATAGAGTCTCCCATTAAGTTTTTTAACAGCTGTTTCATAGTCTTCATCTTAAGTATAGGAAACAAATGTAAGTTCTCAAACATCCTCCAAGTACAGAGAAGTCTGTTAAGCCCTTCAGACTCACAAGCCTAGCGAGCACACATAACTTCTGCTAATGTTTAAGTTTTACTCACCAGCAAGTAAGCCTTCACTTCCTATTTTGCAAGTGAGCGCTTTGGTGCACTTGGTTCTTTTTCAGTCTAGATGTCTGGTATAGATTTTCTGAAAGCATGAAACCTATTTCTTGTTCATTTTATTAAGAGTACCACTAAACAGAATTGGGAAGGGAGATGGAAAAGCTTTTGTATAAAATCAAGCAAGCCTGGATCTTTGTGGGAGGCTGCTCATCATCTCCTATTTCCCGTTGAGTGAAACACTTCAGAACTGCAATTTAACAAATTGCTACTGAGTAAATTAAGAGGAATTTAGTTGTATACAATGAGAGTTGATGTAAAATAGTCACAGTTTCTCTGTTAAGAATTTAGTTTAGAATAAAGAGAAGCCAGTCCACCATTCAGGGAACCTGAGCACTTTCATTTTTGATAAAGGCTGCCTCACACTCGACTCTAAAAATACTAATAGATACGCCTCTTGCTCGAATATTTAGTCCTACCTAACCAACTACATTAGCAATGAGCGTGAGCACCCATATAGCCCCAATGCAAATTCCTTTTTGTCATTCCTGGTCCTCCCTTGTTCTGTCTTGAAGACCCAAGTGTACATCTTTGGCACAAATGACGATAACACAAACATTACTGCCCATTGTTCCAAACCAGTATTAGAGTGTCTAGTGGTTCTAATAGTATTATACCCTTTCCTGACAAAAAGGCAATACAAAAATCATTTTTTTTCCTTACCATCATCCTCCTCACTCACATATCCAGGCTTATTCTTATAGCAGAAGAATGTTGAAGGTAGTTGAAGAAAGCCAGCGAGAGCTCTCTGCTCAGGGGTAGGTGTTAACTCGTAAACAATTATAACCTCATCAGATGGAAGATCATCTTCTGGCACTGTCTTCTTCTCCTCAGCTTTGTACAGAAAATGAACAAAGCATTAAGACTACATTATTTTAGAACAGACAGCAACATTATTAGTCCGACACTGCCGTTATTACAGAGCTGAATTCATTCTTAGGTGGTTAGAAACATATTCGGAGCCTACATGTTTTTATTCATCCACAGGAAACAACAGTTAAAGTTACAGAACGCTAGGACAAAGCATGCTACAACTTAAGAATTTCTAAACTACATGCCAAACTACAACCTGTTTTATTGCCTTTGAAATTCAAGCCTCAGATCAGGAACAAACCTGCATTTTTATCATGTTACAAGGATTATTTATGTCCTTACATCAAACAAAATAAGGTGGTAGAAAAAGAGCCATATAGGTGTCATTCACAGAGAGAGAGGAAAAATGCAGGACCGAGAAAGAAAATGTAAAGCCATCTACAGCAACATGTACTATTGAATTGCTTTAAGTCTTTGAAGTTCCAGAAAATATTACATAGCAACTGAGCAGAACTTACGTCAAATTATTTACGAGAAATTTGAGCTTTTTACTAACTAATCTCAACTTATTACCATAGCAGCTGCTACTGAAACTTTTAGTGTTTTAAGAGTAATCTTATAGCTTCATGTTACTGGAATAACAAAATACTGCTATCAGCCTGAAGTTTAACTAGCTTTCCAGCAAGGACAAACACTACCGCTGATTTTATTATACAGCTGCTTCTGCTCTCCAACATCAAGTTGCCTGTTCCACTTTTGCTGAATAAACACTGCTAATCAAAAGGTTAAAGCTAGTAATCTCACATCTTTATGCATAATAGAATGGAAGCAAAGAGGAAGGATGTATCAGTTTAAGGGTCACATGTGGAGTTCCTTTCACTTGTTTTTGTTTAGAGGGGTAAATTACGAAGTAAAGGTTTGAGAGAAACACCTTGGTTAACTATGAAGAACTACCCCATAAGCACATCAATATCCATATATGATCTGTTTCCAAGAATTATTTGATTGCTTTAGTAAGTTAGCCCACTTGATAACATGGTAACATACTGCAGTAGAGGTCTGCATTAAGATGTTCAGCAGAATTTAAAGTGGGACTCTCAAAAGCTCACTGTCCTTTTCATCAGAAAGTATTTGCCAGCTTTGTGGCACAACATAGTCAAGCTGGAACCTAAAGCTTCAGCTAAGAACTGATCAGTTCCTGAGGAATACTGATTTTCCTGCTCAAGCATTTTGACATTCATTTCTGCAAAAGATGACATGGAGAGATGATAAATTTAGTGTTCATAGACATGCCCCTTGATATTCTGGCACAACGGACATATTAAAATATAGCTGCTTTTAAAAGTAGCTTTCCCATTTGTATCTTCCAGCAGAATAAAGGAACCTAAGTAGTACTAAAATAAAAGCAGCATTCGAAGTTCTAAGCCCCAGTTCAATTATAAGTGCTTTTGCAGTGTTGTGTGCTTCACATTTGTCCCAGCTCATTGATTTCTAATCAAAGGGAGTAAATCACTTCAGGTTCCTAATATAGCAAAGAGAGGTAGCTCAAACTCATAGCCAGCAGACTTATAAAGGCATCCTTTTAGGTCTTTTTTTTTTTTTTTTTTTTAAGGTCTCGATAGCTCTTCTGAGCCTGTACAAGGTAAATGCAGGATAAAATTTTTGAGTAACGAATTTCTAGGTTCCTATCATGATGAAGTTACATATGATTTCATATTTTCTCCAAACCTCATGCAAAAAAACTCACTAACCCTAGCCAATTTAAGGGTTAGTGGTATTATTGAGTACTGTGTTACAAAGGTAGGCACATATGATGCCTGCTAGCACATGCTTAACTAATCTGAATGAATAAAGCAAGTGTCTCACTTTGGTTGAGTAAATATAAAAACTGGATAAAACAAATGTCAAGAAGTCAGTTCAGATCAATACCCAGGTAAGTTCTTCACACACTGATCAAACACTGATTAAGATCCCAGCAATTCAAACATCCACTTGAAGTGACAAAACACTTCAGCAACAGAAAGGATTACAACATGCATTTGACTTCAGAATATGAAGAATGAGCGAGATGTTCATGGGATCACTTAAATCAGTTTCTACTCAGCCTCTCCACAAGTTAACTGTGCTTATTTAAAAATGCTGCAAACACATTAAATGTATCTTCACAGGCTGCGATGAAAACAGTGCCATACACGCATACAGTATATTCTTAAAAGGCTGTTGATTTTGGGACAATACAACTTTCTACTCAGTGAAAGAAATCCACACAATTGCTAGTATATGGAAGGAACAGAATAAAGAGCAATACCACGTGCAACAGCTGGAAGCAGTTTCACTGATGTATTATATTTTTGCTTTTATTTCAGCTTGGATATAAAGATCATGTAGACATAAATATCCAGCTAGTCACAATAATTTTGTTTTATCCCCCCCCATACATACCAGTGAGTATCTGCTAAATATAAAAACACTGAAGTTTAAAACTTAACACATGCAATTGATGTAAATATGAATTAAAATTGTTAAAATACTTGAGAAAAGCTCATGAAAAGAGCTGAAGAAAAGAAAAAAATAGTTTTGCACCTCAATGGAAAATGACTTATGAGGTTCAATTTCTTTTGAACCTTGTCCTAGCAAAACTCAGAAACCATTCTCTGGGAAGATGTTCCCCATGAGAAGCTCTCAAATTATATTTATGTAGATGTGAAAAACTAATTCAGACAGGACTTCTTGAAGTCATTTGCTATTAAGCCAGTCAGAGCTCAAAACAAAACCAAAAGCTACACTGAAGGTAATATAACCCTATCCTAGTTATCAGGAAAGCAGAAATGAACTGTCTGAAGTACCAGAAAAGCATATGATTTTTTATTTCAATTCTTTAAAAACACCTTCCCTTCTCCCAATGGAAATACAAGATGTATTCAAGGCAGCAAGAGTTCTTGCATTTAGGCATTAGCTCAGAATGCTAATTCACTTCACTTTATGGACATTCAATGATGAAAATAAAATCAAATTATTAATAGACTTGTGGATGCCTAAAAACACAGAACATTTGACTTTCAATCAGATATACAGAAAGTGGACAGGAGTTTAGCGTTTGAGTAAGAATAGCTACTCTAAAAATACTAAGCTGGAAGAACAGTGTTTGAAATGACTTTCTGACATTTTTTTTTTTAACAGTCTAAGACATTAATTTTAGAAGACTATATTGTGCAAGCTGCAATAAAAACTTGTTTTTGAAAATTAAACTGCCCTTGCATAACTGCATTAGCTCGAGTATGCTTCCAGCAAGCATAACTTACAAGAAGTACTGTTTTTAACATCTTATGATGACACAATCAAGTTGTAAGGTGTAATTTTGGTTAAGGGTTCTGGATGTAAACAAGGTGGTTACATCAGCAAAAGCTGTTTGGCTAACTAAGGTGGACTTCATATTACACATGAAGCACGTGCATATAAGCAGTAGCTAAATTTGGCTCTCTCATCTCTGCCTACGCCTTGTTTTTAAGATTGCAGAAGTTAACATTGATAATAAGGAAAGTGAATTAAGCATTTCCAGCACAGAGCTTGAATATATTTAAGTTTTACTGGTTAACATGTCTAGAAATCTTCAAGCATATTTCACTGAAATGGAAGACCTCAGGTAGGAAGAGAATCACACTTTAAAAATAACAAAAAGAGAATATAATTCCTTTAGTAAAAGAGAATTTTATAGATGCGATGTGTGTGTGTTCAGTAAAACTGTGAAGAAGTGCAAGGCAGGTTTCTGAACACCCTGGAAAAGTAAGACAAACAAACATGCCAAAAGCATGAAAAGGACCATCCATCGTGCTCACACATCAAAGGCATTCTCTTACCTGACAAATAAAGTAGTCAGACACAGAATTTTAAGTACTCTCTTCCAGCATGCATGCTAATTGTAAGGATTACTAAGCCAACTGCTGTGCTACAGTTGGGTTACTGTCCATGCCTGCTAAAGTGTTTTTATCACACATTTAGTGCAGCATGTAAATACCTTTACCGTCAGGTTGCAAGGAAGGTGTGCTTGTCCAAAAGGCCATTGGATTAGATTTAAAAAGGCTAAAATTAAATCCTAAAAAATAGATAGTTTGGATATAAGTGTTTAACTGTACTTATAAAGGGGGAGAGGGGAACACTTATCTAAGCTTTGGAAGCATTCTGTACTAGCTACGTGTCACAGTAGGAAAATTCATGTTTAATGCTATACTAGCTTACCCTACTCACCTGAATAAACCACAGCTAACATCTCTGCCACCACACTTTATTATACTTCAGTTAAGAAACAGTTTGTCTTCAGTAAGTCTGAGACTAGAATGCAAATTATATACTATCATCTGGTTAAACAGTCTTGGAACGGTAGGAAGCTAACCCATCACAACCCCTCCCTCACTGCCCCCTCCTCAAAAGAAGGGGAGAGAAAGTACGCTGGAAAGAAAGAGAGGTGTATTATAGGGACAAAAAAGTTGTGTGAGTAGCATTAAGAGATGACTGCTTAATAAGTTGCATAGCTGAAAAAAAATTATTAGTTCAAAGGACACTCACCTTTTTCCAGAATTCTAAATGAGAAGTTGGCAGGCCCATCATGTGCTGAAGTAGCCAAGTTGTCTACCTTGCCGTCTCGAGGCTTCTGCAGTGCACTGGAGCTTCTTGGTCCAGCTGCTTCCTTCTGCGACGCTGGAATACTGCCTTCGCCTTTTCTTGGAGGAGTGAAGCTGAACCCAAAGAGGGAACCAGTTGCCGAAGTATTTCCAAATGTGAACGTCTTTGACTTTTCATTACTGAAAATGCTTTTGACAGATTCAGATCCAAATACGAACTTCGGAGGAGAAACCACTGCTTTTGTTGGCGTTTCAGACGTGCTCGACACCTCTGAGGCCTCTACAGTTGTATCGGAAGTATCATCGCCATGGCTGAGGTCGGTTCTTTCTCTAGTAGTTTCTTCCAGTACAGCTACAGCATTTTTACCACACGGAGATTCTTTTGGTGTATTGGCACGAGAGGAAATGGGTATTATCAGTGTTCCTTTCTCCTGGGCATTCTTTGCCTCATCAAAAATCTGCTTAAAAGAGTCCGCCACATCTTGCTGTTTGAATCGTACAGCTAGAAGCTCAACTTTCCGTTCTCCATCTGCAAAGTCACACGCGGTCCATACCCACACTCTATCAGTTCCTTTCATTTGTTGCATATTCATATCTGGTGTTATTCTGTGATTGGCGCAGAGTTTTAGTACCTGGTCCCTTCTCATTACTATGCGCACTTGTTTGTCGTCATAGTTCTGCAATATCTTGATCTCCCCAATACCTCTCTCTTTCCACTGATTAGTGTCTTTGTCATATCTGTAGAGTTTAGCTCTGTGACTGAAGACAACTTGCTCGTTTTCCTCACCACTGGTCACCTCCACGAGGTCAGGCAGAGGTACCACAGGTTCAAAGTACTGCCCATCTCTCTCCTCGTCTTGAGTAACATCAGAATCTTCATCTGTGCCTACAGACGTTCTACTCTGGTTCTGCTTGGAAGGAGATTTGGATGGGCTCAAGGCAGATTTAAAGCTGAAATTAAAGCCTGTAGTAGACTCTCCAAATCTAAATAGATTTTTCCGTACAGGGCTACTTGCAAGAGGTGATGCATACACGGAGCTGCTTACGCTGTCATCCAATGCTTCCTCACGCAAATCACAGTTATCCCATTCCAGAGCAGGCCCGGTACTTTCAGGTTGGGGCTTTACAACCAAATCAGAAGTACTGCTGACAGAAGCAGAGTTGACATTTTCCTCCTCTGTCAGTTTAGCTTTGTCATCTGTCAGAAATGTTTTGAGATCCTTTAAGCCACTCTTCATTTCTTCTGCTTTCTGTATAAGTTGAGCTGTCCTACCTGTATCGACAAGTTTGTGGGGTGTCTGTAGTGGTATATCTAGTAGTAGCCTCTGACATTCTTCAAACTTCTGTTTGAATTCCTCAGCCTGCTCTGGTGTTTTGAATTTTGCTGCCAGCTGTTCCAGCTTCGCATCACCATCAGAGAAGTCACTGGCCATCCACATCCATGCTTTGTCAGAGCCAGAGAGCTGTTTCAAGTTCATTGTTGTTGTTATCCAGTGATTTGCACACACCTTCAGTACTTGCTCACGTCGCATTAATATTCTTACTTTGCCATTAACCTCGTTTTTCAGAATCTTCAGGTTGCCCACCCCACGTTCTTTCCACTGGCTTGTTTCTGCATCAAACCTGAACAGTTTCACTCTTTGTGAGTATAGCACTTTCTCATCTTCCTCTCCTGTGAACGGTTCTACTTTTTCAGGCATCTGAACTATAGGATCAAAATGGATATCATCGCTATCCTCAGTTTTATACACATCATCATCTTTCTCACCAACATCAGCAGAGGTGCTTGCTTTGTGATCCATTTTAGAAAGCTGCGAAGAAAACAGCTTTTCACCTGCACCTGAGAAGCCTTTGAAGTTAGGGTCCTTTTTGCCAAATTGAAAGCCTTCCCCAGCAGTACTTTTTGCAAGCTCGGCAAAAGTGCTGCTATTTTGGCCAAAAACAAACTCAACTTTCTCCTTGCTTGCAGTTTCTTGAGATTGAAGGGAAATTCCACTATCTGAAGGCAGTTCCTTTTTGTTTTTTTCATCAACATTTGCTAAGAAGCCAGCTGTACACTCTTTGGATGGATCATCTTTCTTAGTGGCATTTTTGCTAGGTTCCTGTATGCCAAATTTAAATCCACTCGATGGCACTGACATTGAAAAGTTAAATCCTTCCTTTGCAGACTTTGCTTCAGAATCAGCAGGAATTTGAAACGTAAATGCTGGTGTCTTGCCTTCCTCAGCATGACCAAACTTAAAGCCCTTTCCTAAGAAATCACACTTAAAACCTGTTCCTAGTTGTCCTTTGGCAGGTTCAGATAGTTTACTTTTCAAATCAGAAGTCGATGCTGCTGAAGCATCACTAACAGACTTAGCAGATGGATTTGGTGTTTGACAAGCTACACAGGCTGGTGAAGAACCTTCATTCCTTACAAGACAAGTATTACAATCCCACTGGCCTTCCTTTTTAGCAAAAAGCTCAGCAAACGTATTCTTCTGTGGCTTAGTTGCATCAGCAACAGAACTGAGGCTGGGAGCAGGAAGTGCCTGAACGTTTGGTTGACTTTGTGATACAGAGTTCAGAGTCACAGATGTATCAACATTTGATCCTAAGGTTTTTAAGATGTTCTGTGCCTCCTCAAACTTACTTTTGAAAAGCATTGCTTCCTCTGGTGTTTTAAACCGAATTGCAAGCTGCTCTGGTTTTGGCAACTCGTCTGCATAATCTATAGCGTGCCATACAAGTGACCGATCTGACCCAGCATTTGGTGTTAATTTCATATCAGGATTTATGTAGTGATTCGCACAGATTTTGAGTACTTGGTCCCGTCTCATTACGAGACGGAATTTGCCGGAAACTTTATGCTGCAGTATTTTCACGTTGCCAACACCCCTTTCTTTCCATTCCTTACATTCTGCATCAAAACGAAACAGTTTGGCTCTGTTGCAGAATAGCTCTTCTTCATCTTCCTCACCTGTCTTTACTTCAACCTTGTCAGGGAGGGGCACCACAGGATCAAAATGAGGACCATCATCATTCTCGTCTCCGAGGGTGCTTCCTCCCTCCGTTTCATGACTTCTATTGGCCAAATCAGAAGTTGAAGTCATAAATAAAGACTTGTTTGGTTCTTGGAAATTAAACATTTCACTCTTCTCAAAAGCTAAGTTTTTATGTGCATTCTGTGCCACGCCTTCTGTAAAAGGAATGCCTGAAATACGTTTATTGCCAAAATTGAATGAGTTTCTTTGACCAGTTGTGGGGTTAACTGCTTTTTGCTCGGCATATCTATCATCTTGTGAAGGTTTATCAGATGTCAGAAGACCTAAAAGGCTTTCACTGCTGTTAAATCCTGCATTAGCAGGCTGTACTGCAGCTTGTGGAGAAGAAAAGGTAAAGTCTCCATCATTCGACTTGAAGTTAGTGTTGAATTTAAAACTTGTCTGTGCTGGTGTTGGCAGACGTGGTTTTGATCCTTCTGCTGTTCCTGGCTGTCCAAATTTAGATTTTGGAAATTCAATGGGTTTTGATTCTTCAGGTTTTAAAGGTGTTGGTGCAACCGAAGGCTTTGTGAAATAGCCAGGTCCGGGGAGCTGTGGATTTGTGCTTGCCTGTGGAACACTGTAATTGTAGTAATCACTAGTTCCATGAGGAGAAATGATCCCAGGAGCAGTCAAAACGTAAAGATGTGCCATATAGGTCTTGGGGAAACACACATGCGGAGGTGTTTTGCAGAGGTGGTGTATGAATTGGTTGTTGATAAGCATATAGATGTTGCTGAGGTGCAAGTCTGTTCATGCCATAGACAGGTGCCTAAAGAAACAGCAGGTGACAGTTACCTTTTTTTTGTTATGATGACAGAGAACAAGGTATTACTATGCTAGAGCCCACATCGACACGCACTCTTAAGAACAGTGCACATTTTAAATTTAGTTTAGATTTAAACTTATGAGCTTACCTTAAATTGATTATTTTAGATCTTGAATGGCATCTGAAAATAAGCACTAAAGAGGAGCAAAAGATGAACGGGCTCTTTGGTGTTTTTGAGGCTTTTTTTTTTTTTGATAAGCAAAATGCTCCTTTCCTATACTACTTTTGGGAAAAAACTTAAGTGCCATCACACGTACCCAGCAGGGGACACACATTAGCACATTTACAGACCTGTTTTGCCAGCCGCTCTGCCTGATCCCCACATTAAAGAAAAAGCAGAAACATCAATCATCAGCTACCCCCATTTTAACAAATGCTATCCGTGGAATGTAGTTACATTCGACTACAAGCAGTCATCCAAAACAATCAAAATCACTCTTTTCTGTAGACCAGTAGGAACAGCTTGAATGGATACATTCATCCTTACCTTTGTTGGTGTTACATTGGTTGCAGCAGTTCTGAGAAGATACTGAGAGTTATAGGCAGGTGACTGGCTATAGTAAACGGATGGGCCAGTAGTAGCAACTGAAAATGAACACCAGAAGAGGTTATATCCAAATGTAGTTGTTTTGAATGGATTTTCCCCAGAGATCAGTTTTAGTTGTGAACCTTAAAACATTTCTGCTATATTTTATCAAGTCTACCTCAGTTTAGCTAAGTGTTTAATTAAAAAATCAGCAACAACTTACCTGTTAACGGAGCTTCATGAAGATTTTGTGCTCTCTGATAGCTCTCTGACATGGAGTCTGCTCCATAGCTTTCACCAGGCCACCGATGAGATGATACATTCGAGTTGGAATTATTGTGTTTCATTTTTTGCATCTCATTCTATTAAGACAGTGTTTCGATTAGGAGAATGTAACTGCATATACAGGCATTTGTAGAAGAAAGCATAAGGAGCAATACCTACACTAATTACAATCGTGTTCAAGCTCTGAAAAAAAAATCAAGAGGTGGCTGCTGGAATAACCCAAGATCTGTTTATGCTATACAATATGCTGGGAGTGTTTTCTAAAGCCAGAAACAAAAATCCCAGAACCAACTGGATGATACCCAAGCTGATGAGAGAAGAACTTTCTGCACACACAGTCCTTGGAAGGTTTGCCTCCATACCCCTGACTGAGTCCCAAATCGGGGTTTTTAGGCAACAAGTGCACTCATTTTGCACTCATTTTAGGTAGATGTTTACAGAAGATATTGTCACCGAGTTGGTGGCCTAGCAAGCAAGCATTAGTTCATGCTAGGATCACTGAGTCCTTACTATAACAAAAAGATGAGCTGATCTGCATTGAACGTGGCGACAAAGTTGTTTACCTTTAAAGCTTCCACTTGCTGACAGATCATTTGCAGTATAGATCTGTGATCTTCTGCCCACTGAGGGGGAGTTTTAGGAGAAAACTGGGGAGTGGAAGAAAAGTTCATTTAACCTTTTGAATTTTTATTCAAATCTAACACTTCCCTAAAATAATATCTGGCTAACGTACCTTGTAGCTCTTAGTCGGTGAGACAGAGAACTTATCAGACAATGGAGTGGAATGTTTCACTTCTGATACTACAGCTGGTGACAGATCATTTCCAAAGGCAAGATTTCCCTCTTCATCATTCTCTCCGAGTTCCTGACTCACTGCATCCAACATTTCCCTCACGGTTTCAACAGATACCGGCAGCTAGAAAGTTATTTGAAACGCAAGTCATGATTGCATTCTTCCTCAGAGGAGGAGACTACGTTTTGATCTCTGGTTGAACAATTCACAAGGTTTTCATTACAGAAACACTGTTTTCTCAGCAAAGCTCTAAATCTATTAAAGTTAATATAGCAGAACAATTCACACAAGCTTTGATTTTATTTGGAAACTACTAATCTCTGTAAGAAAATAACAGGCAAAAGCTATTTGTTGGCAAAGAAGCTGTCAACCACAGAGTACTGCATGATCTGGTATCTTACAGAAGTTTGCCAGAATCTGCTAGCCCACTAGTGTTATGCGGGTCATTTGTCACATGTGAAAAAATGAGTTTAACTTGCCTTTAAGTAAAATCTGGTCTAAAAAATCTGACCTGAAGGCAAACGGTTTCATTTTAAAATAGTAAGATAAACCAATGCACCTCTCAGAACAAGCTTTTAGGCAAGAAGTACTTACTTTCTCAGCTACTGACATATCTGAGGAGCTTTCATCTAAGATCTTCATTAGATAATGCTTGCTTTTAAGAAGATAGGCTTTGTGTTCTTCTTGTTCTTCTGGCAACATGGCATCATTCTCAATCTCCTCTGCCTTTCTTTGAAAGATCTAACAGTATGCATGTTAATGAGAATCAGCCAGATTGCAAGTGAAGAAAAAGCATTTGCAGGTAATGAAGTTTATGAACTTACTATAGCAAGATTCCAGTATGAAACTGGATTCTTAATAGCTTCAAATGCTAACAAAGCATCATCAGTTCTGCCATCAACTGCGTCCAACGTTGCAAATGCTATACGTGCCTCTTCTTCATAGACTGTAACCTGCGAGACCTACAAAGCAGAACATGAGTCATACCTAACTCAATACTTGGAACAGAAAGTGCATGTGAACGTCCACTAAATAATCGGGCAGCTGGAGGTTAACGATATTACTAATTTTTTATTCCTGTAATACAAGGAAAACACTTTTAAAATGAAGTTGGTACTAAGGGAGTTCAGAGGCTTCCAATCAAATAGTTTTAAAACTAGAAATAAAGTTATAAGGAAAGATTCCCCTGCCTTTATCAGACACGCACTTACTACCAAATAGCACTGTTAATAACACCAGAGAGCTATAGAAGGCAAGAAAATCCCAACCAACGTACATATACACACGTATACATTAAGATTTTTGTGATATGACCCCTCTTACTTCAATTTTAGATTAATCAATCTGTACCTGAATGTCAATGCTACGGAAATGTTTGAAGAGAGGTTCAGTAGGTTCAGGAATACTTCTCTTCTTTTTGACTGTTTCCAGCATAAGCAAGACTCTCTTCCAGTAGTAAACACTTCGTCCAATGTACTCCTTCTGGTCATAAAAGGAGTTAAGGCTAACGCCCTGTTGAAGAACAGGGAATAAAGGCAGGTCACCTCAACAAATTCAAACCCAATGCTATTCATACATATTGTTCTCTGACCCAGTAAGATACTAGTTATCTTCTCTAATACTTGTGATAAACTTCAGGGGACCTCTCCACAGAACTATGTAAAGCCACATACTGGTAGAAAATAGCACTACAGTTAAAAGTAGCACTAAGGGAGTAGTGAGGGAGAGAGAACTCACTAGGGTGACTAGAGCAACTAACTTAACTGATAAAATTAACCACAGTTCTCTCATCTGATTTTATTTACTGTTTAGTTCACAGAAGAGAAAAAACACATCAAATTATACATATTTTAAAATAATCTTAGCTTACGGTTTTTTGCAGCGTTTTTGCCCAATGTATAATTAAGGCAGGTTGAAGGCCATGTTTCTCCAGTGCTCGCAGAGTACTTATTCCATGCTGTACTACAAGCCTCAGTTTTACTGCTGTTCCTGGTCTGCATATCAGAAGAAATATTCCACAATTAGTGTTCCTTATTTTTTCTGTTTTAGTCCTACCCTACACATCTAGCTTAGAAATGCATTATTAGAAATTAAAACCCCATTTTTAGGAAGTTCTTAAGTGTCTCAAGTCCCTCCAGCAGTAAGACTTCAACATCCAAAATACATCAAGAAAAATGAATTAATTTTATACATAATCTATGGGGATCAATTCATGATACCCTTGCAGAAGCTACTAAAACCCCGGTTTTGGATATTTCCAACCTTAAAAAGCCTTACATTGTTTTTCTCTGCGTAAGAGTACGAACAGCATCCCACCAGGCTCTTTGCTTTTCAGTATAGAGCTGTTTGCACACTGGCAACGGTAAGAACTGAGGCTGATGTGCACTGTAGAGAGCGTTAAACTTCTCTTGCAATTGTAAGTTGCTAGTGAATACCACTCCAAGCAGAAATACCTATTTTTGTAAAATCAAAAGATAAATAAGTAAAAGGTATTAGATAACAAACTCTTAAACTGCATAGTACATCTAAGAACTGGGAAAATTTACTTACTTCAAGATCTAACAGGCAAATGGATTCAGGAGCATCTGTCTCTAGTCTTGATGTTTCTTGGGGCAAGTGAAAAATTTGTTTTAGCCATCTGCGCACTGGGGGGAATGCTGACATCAAGATCCACTGCAAACAAAGCCACACGAGGTGCTGGAGACTACCATTGTGCATTCGAACGGCACCTATGCAAAAACAAAGTTGTAGGAAGTTAATACCTGCATCCTAGTTGAGAAGACTTGTATCTGATCGAAGCCAGATTTCGTTAAATGAAAAGTAGAGTTTTAGTATATATATCACACTGAAGGAGCTTCCTAGCAGTCTCTTCCCATCTTTTTGCCTCCATCTAAGCTGGAAATAAGCATTTTAAAAATAAGACATAGCATGAAGTGATTTCAGTATCTATTTATATTATATAAATATCTTCGGAAGAAGCAGCATCCACTTCATGGAGCGCACAAGCTAAGTGTATTATGGAGATAACATTTCCACTGAAATGCATAAGGATTTTAAATTTTAGCCTCTTCATTTCGAGGCAGCAGATTAAACTAATGTATTAAACAGGAGTACTGCAGTTTTTCTAGTTCTGTAATGCTCGTGAAATCTCTATCTTCAGCAATGTTAAAATAACTTGAACACAGTTTCTAACTTAAAGCCAGACTTTTTTTTGGCCATTATGTTTTTGCACTTATTTCCTTATCAGGGAAGATCTGCAGAGGCTGCATGCAATACACACAGACTTTCGTTGTTTTAAAACACATAACAAAAAATACCATAAATAAACTGCTTATGAGAGGTTGTGGTAGTATAAGCTTTTAGTTATTTAAGATAAAGGACTGTAAGCCTTATTGTCTAAAATTACCTAAGAGAGTTAGGTAGTATGCACAACAGATTTAACAGCCTAAAAGTTTATAAAAATTATCAGCCAGGTAAAAAACTACTAGTACTCTAACCTTATTACACCAAAATTCAAAGCCAGACTTCATCATCAAGTCAAGTTCCAAAAAGGAGAAGTTTTTACTAGTTTGCAACTCCTCCTAAAGTTACTTTTTTTGTGTGCTCATAAGCCTGTATTCATAGGTCACATAGGAAGACAGACCTGCCTTCCCATTGACGCTTACCGATGTCCAAACACAAAGAGCTAAACAGGCAGCAGCAAATGAAAATGGATCAGAACAGACTAGAGAACACAGAAAGGATAAAGTAGGGAAGTATGTGACAGATTCTTAAGAACCGAGCATAACAATACTGCTTCTCAGCAACATGTTACAGCATAAATTGAAACTCCTTACATATCACTCTTTTGGAGTGATTAGGGCCATACTAGCTGTTCAGTGTTGCTATCTGTCTCTTACTGCAATACGAAGTATTTCTAGAAGAACCTCTGGTACAGTCATGTTTATGCTGAGTTTCAAGAGAGTAACACCTCTTACCAGCATCATATTTATGAAGTTCCGCTTGCGCTGGTGCTTGCGTACTGACATTTCCGATATCCTCTGTACCAAGGAAAGACCTCTCTCTGGAAACTCCACTCTTGAAGAGATGATCAAACAGTGCAGATGAACCACTTTTGTTTGCCAAAGATTCCACTACCTCTGTCAGGAAGTCTTCCTTGCCGTGGCTCAATTTCAGCAGCATATGACCTAGAAAACAAAAACATCACATAGATAAAGAGTGAACTTCACTAAGGAAAGTAATATTTGATACAGTGGGCTGTTCTTGCTACTGGAGGCTGAGAATCAAGATTTCCCCTTATGAATCTCACAAACTGCTAAGTAATATCCTCTCTGTAATTAGGTCAGTGTTTCAGCACATAGGCTCTCTAAGCCTTTAGTGACACCAGTCCCAAGGCATTGGTTTTCCTGGAGAACTGGATTTACAGAGTGTTTTTTTCTTTTTTAATTATTGTTCTAGGGGCATTGCAACTGTATTCAAAATAAGTAGCTATAATACAAGTCGGAGTTGATCTTATCAAAATTCATTCTGGAACAATTCAACCTGATGTCTACTGTTCTGTTTTTTTTGTTTGTTTGTTTGTTTTTTCTTGTTTGTTTTCATCTAGGGGCTATAGAGCATGTAGATTGAAAGCCTGCCTAAGCTTAGCAACAGAAACAGCAACCCTGATGAACAAATAAGGGGATGGAAAGGACAGAGAAACAGTAGTATTTTCTTTTATGCTTGGGCTAACAATACTTGTAAAACAGAACCAGCAGGCAGAAGCCATTTTCATATTAGGAAGTGCTAAAAAGTTCAATTCTACTTTAGTGTCCTGGAGATAAAAAGAAAAAGCTCACTTGAAAAGAAAGAATGAAGTCTGCCACCATGCTGAAGAGGAGGAAGAAAACATTAGATGTCAGGATCAAACTACTGTTTTGCATTTTATATGTAGTCAGAATCCAGAGAGTATTACTGCGTTTTTCAAGACACAACGTGTATTCTTTAACAAGAGTCACTTGACTCTTAAAGTAGCTATTCATAAGACTAAAATGGAACTAAGGGATTTTAATTATTTTTCATTACCAGACTGGCTTTTCCGATCACAGGCCAACATTTCCAGCGTATCTTGTCCAGTATGCTCCCCTTTTATTAGTTTTGACTTTGGTTTAGGAACCTGGTGAAGAATTGTTATAGCTTCTTTACTATACAAAGCAGATCACTTAAATTAGTCTCAAAAGTTAGGAAACAAGCACAAAAAAAAATAAGAAAAATGCACCAATTCTGAAGGTACTATATAACACATCCTTGGAAATATAAGATATGGACAAATGCATCTATTGCAAATAGCACACTTTTTTAGTTCTGCTGTCTAAGCAAGAATATGGGAGTTACTCAGTTCATCCTCTTCCCTCCTTACACCAATAAGCTTACTATTCATTATGTTTTCAGCTGTATTGCAGAAAAGAACGGACTGCAGAAAATACACTCATTAGCCTTTAAGAGCCAATTTAATTTACTTTTGACAAGAAAAGCAGTTGATGATACACTTTTATTCTAGTGATATCACTTGAAATCTTTTAAAGAATTGTGGAATAATAAGATTTGGTGAGGAGGGAGTCTTACAAACACTAATTAATTTTCAGAATACAAATGTTTAACAGAGCATTCCAAGAACCGCATCAACTAAAGGCATACACTAAAAAACAACTTACCTGGAAACTTATCAAGTAACACAATGCTGCCAGTTCACACGCCTCTCTCCACTGTGCCTCATTCTCCTGAGCCATTTTCAGTAGCAAGGTTCCTGCATACATGTATAACTGTCCTTTCATTTCAATGAAGGTACGAGATAACTCGTCAGTCCCATTCACATAGGTTTTCACTGAGTGAAGTACACGATCAAGACTAAAACATAGAAAAGACTCATTCTGAGCAAAGGCCTAGGAAAAGCTAGAGCGTGATTTGGGGCAGTGTTATTTAACTGTGACTCGAGTAACTCGAGTTAACTAGAAGGCAGAGGAACTGCCTCAAACTCCTCAAGCTCTCAACTTTGTTTACTGAAGTAAAATTCACTTCACTTACCAAAAGGACAGACCAAAATACAGTTAGACTGGTTCTTCCACATAAGAGGTACTGCAGCAATCTGAATAGCTGCAGGCCAGTAAACAATCTCCACTCAGGAGCAGCTTTCCAATGAACAGTCGACACACTCTTTCAGTAACCTAACAAAACTATAATAGCTGTTAACATTGCCACGATCTAGAAGTGCTTCAGATCTAAGTACCCTGAAGGACTCTAAGGAAATGTTAGAAGAACGACCACATGTTTATGGTCAACGTTAGGGGGGGGAAGAAAAGAAAACGTCTTTGGACATTACTTATTCCCCAACCATTGCCTGTATTGCTTCATATACTCATTCAAGAAGAGCAGACTGAAGAACATTGTTTTTGTTTTTAAAAAAAAGGTAACAATCATCACCTAAGCAAGGAACAAAGCTATGACAATAGAAGTTAGTGAGAAACGGAATCACAGAACTGTAGGGGTTGGAAGGGACCTCAAGAGATCATTGGGTCCAACCCCCCTGCCAAAGCAGGTTTCCCTAGAGCAAATTGCACTGGTGGACATCCAGATGGGTCTTGAATATCTCCAGAGAAGGTAACAGAAAGAAGAGAACGTAGATCTAAGGGAACATAGCTCTTCATCAAAAAATTGGCTACAAACGTTGTTTTGCACTGCTTCACCTGTGATGCAGACGATATGCCTTGAAACCAGCTAGCCCTGAAACACTATCCAGTTTTCTCTGAAGGTGAATGTTCTTACTGCAGGCAGCTTCCTCCCTTCCCGTTATATTATATACCTAAAATTTTTAATTATTCCAGCACGTATTGCGTTAACTTGACCAGGACAAAGCTGATACACAAGCATCTGGGAAATTTTAAGGAGGTAGATGCTGAGGTACAGAACATTCTCTTACTGAAGGGCAAGAAAGTAATTGACCCACGATAATATTCAGTCTTCCCCATGGTTATGGGCTGACTACTCAAACAAGACTTATGGCTTGGGGCTCAAGCCTATTAGGAACCTTTCTTTCTTCTAAAACAGAGTCTCCTCTCCCATCCACAAACTGGTTACACAATGAAATTGAAGCTTGCTTTGCGACCTAGAAAAATACATGCCATTCAGTGGTTTTTTTGTTTTGCTTTAAATACAGAGAAGTTAAAACAATACCTTTCGAATGCACTTCTGCATTCTTGCATGTCTCTAGAAGATAGCGTCACTTGAAGAAAGCTGCAACAGGCCAGCAGATGATCTTTCTTGATAGTTTTCCAATTACTTTTATCAGACTCCAAGTCTTGTACAGATTCCAGGTATTCCTAAAGAAGAAGGGTCAGAGGATAAGGAACAGTCATCCTTCCATAAAGGCAAAGACAGTACTTCTCCAAAACAAATCATTATCATTTCCTGCGTAATCTATTTCCACTACTGAGATATTCTTCAACAGCAAAATTCCAGGGAACTATTTGCCTGAACAGTTTGGTCCCTGAAATTAGACACCAAACAACTCCGTAACATTTAACTCTAGGAAGAAAACTCCAAGGAAGTACTTTGTAATTGGAGTGGTTCCACTCATTTGCATTTGAAGGAGTTAAATCACTTGCAAAGTGATTCTGATTAAAAAATCACTGTCAGTGTAACGAACTAAGAGACACAAACTAGTTTAAAGGATATGGAAGATAATTACAACATCAAAATATGCTTATACACCTCAAATGTCTCTATGACACAGGAGCACCATTCCAAGCTTGACTGCAAAGGTATTTTCTTCTTTGCTTCCTGACAATGGAGAACAGCATCTCTTAGCCTACCATGTGAGCGGTAGAGTGTAACTAGTCTGATGTTAATGTAGATATCATCTGGTCTTGCATAGAGCTCTGCTTGAATCATGTCAAAAAGTTGATTCCATCCATCTTCACCTTTACAATCCAGCAACTGCTCCTATTGAACATGAAGGCAACACATTAATATTTCATCTTGCATGTGGGCCTTTTCAACAACTACATTAACAGACAACTCTTGCCTCCACCACACAAACTACATTACTTAAACTATTAAAGCTGAAAAGCTTCCAGTTATTACGAAGCTTAATGAAACACTCAAACATTTAAAATAGGGAAAAAAAATCAGAATTTGTCTCTTATGGATGGTATGTTCAGCTTGTGAAACCATTTGGTTCAAAGGCAGCATACCCTGCCACAGAATAGCCTGTCTAAAACAAACATCTTAAGACTAAGTGTCATTGCTGCTGTGTTACACAAAACTAATACCTGTGCAAAAGTCAGACTGTGCGACTGAAGGCTTTTACGCAGCAATCGAGAGTTAGAGCATTCCTTACTTTCTGCTCTATTTAATCCAAATTTAGAAAACAAACAAGCAGCATAGAGGGCAAGGAAGTCTGAGTTCTCAGGCCTGATACCTTCCTGCCAGTCACACAATAAATAGAGAACTGCCTACCTAGTCTTAACTTCTTGGATGTGACTACTAACATGATTTTCCTGCATTTTTGAAGACTGTCAACCCTGAAACCTTGACAAGTGTACGAAAGCCTGCAGCTGCAGTTTTCTTGAAAGCTAGACCGAAGTGTCAAATGGCAGAGAAATTAACATTTCTTTAAATAGAAGAATAGGAAATCTAGAAAAATAGAATAAATTCTAGAAGAATTACATCTAAAGAATATTAATTCCATTAGATTTAATACTCAAGATTCTAAAATAATTTAGCCAGGAAGTTTTACAGAAAATGACACGGGAAAAGTGCTCCTCCAGTCAGATGCTAGAAGCTCCTGAACGTCACAGAACAGAGGTTGGAAATTGGCATTTACCTTCAACTTGTAAACAGCAGGGCTTCCAGGAAACAACTTAGCAGATTTTTCAACCCAGTATTTTGCTCTTTCATCAGTGATGGCATTATTGCACAGTAACTCCGCTATCTTCAGTACTAGATCTTTCTGCATTGGGTTCAACTCCACAGAACGCTAGTTTTCCCCATGCACGCACACAGGAAAAAAAGGCAGGAAAAAAAAGGTAACTTGATCTTGCAATCCACACAGAATGGGAAAGAAAATTAAAACAGCCATTGAAAAGACACAGGTATTCAAATTAGACAGATCTATTAGTAAATACTTTTTGAATGAGTTAAGAAAGACCTCAGTTGCTAAATGCATCACTAGTCTACAGCACCCAGATACATTGCTGCAACTCAAAAGAGCAAAAATTCAGAAAAGAAAGAATTTCAAAGGGAAAAAACGCAGAAGCCAGCTACTCTGCCCCCACCACCAGCTATACGCAGGCAGCTGGACTCTTATGTACCTTTAGTCTAACTCCATATAGACATTTTTGAAGAAATGTATAATTAAGTCACACACTACGACAAACTGGGATGTATTGGCAGCAAAACTTTTGAGCACATCCTCTCCCTCCCCAAAACCTGAACAAAGGCATTCTGATGGTGAATTTTTCATTGGGCAATCATATAAATAAATGTCAATTATGTTCGCCCTGCCCCATCTCACACCCCCCCAAACAAGCAATAAATACGAACAACTAGAAAACACCCTAGGTCTAGTCTTCCAGTAGCAACTAGATTACTGCTGTCACCTGAGCCCTTGCTAAGAATCTGTGACTGCTGTCAAATTCCCTAGTCCAAAGGGCAATGTAAGATTTAGTAGAAGAATTTAGTAGCAGCTAGCACAAAGACCCAGTCTAGGTCACAAAAGAATCATCTTAAAAAAAAATACTGATGAAGCAAAACACATCAAATGAAGAATCCCCTCTGCAGTACGTCATATACACCTTTGGCAACAGAAAGCATACATATTACACTTTTTCCACAAACGTGTTTTCTTCTATGCATTTAAGAAAAGTCCAGAACAGAATGATTTTAAAAGTCCCTTTACAATGGATTAAAGCAGGACATCGGAGGTTGGTGGAGTACTTACCCTGTAACATCCAAAAGCTTTTTCTATGTTGTCCTCAGCTTCATAAATTTGTCCAAGAAATCTGTGTGCTTTTGGATCTCTCTCTTGCACACTGAGGTATGTAGATATATACCTATGGAGCAGGAAAAAAAGGATCAATATTCCTCAATAATACGAGTCCCTCTGTCCTCCCCCCGTCCCCCCCCAGTCTCCACGGAACCGGGGCAGGAATTTAACATGTGATACAGGAAATGCAGTCATGGTTGGTTCCAGATACCTGGTCTGGACCTTAAAGTACAGAACAACATTATTTTTACATGTACAGACGCTACTTATTTGCCACCAAGTATTGGTATTTATTAAAAAAAAAAAAAAAAGAGATAGAAACTGTAACTGTAATTACTTCATAATACAATGGAATAAAAGCCATTTCAAACAGCAAGTTTTTCAATATCACGTAACTAATTATCTAAGTTGCTGTTTTATAAAGATTTAAACAGCACTTGATACCCACATCTACTGCTACTGTAAAGCAGCATGATAGTGATCTTGATTTCTCCAGTCTACTTCATATTCACTTAGCTTTTCTAAAGTACTTTAGAGAACAGAATAGCAGAATACAGCAACGCGTATTACCTTTTGGCAAGTTCATATTCCTTTACTTCAAAATACAGCTTAGCAAACAGGAATCCTTTCAACGACTTCTGAACGGAAAACACACAACAAGCACATTTTAGATGTACAACACTTTCAAAGTAATTGCATAGGAAGACCCTTCTGATACTTTTTGAGAGACTGAATTTGATAACTAGTTATCAGCTCCAGTCCGCTCCTCATACCCAAAGTTTTGTTTTTGAAAGATGTGGGATTTGGAAAACAATGTTTTTCCAGTAACTGGCCAAGGCTACTAACGTGAAATTGAGGTTACTGGTGAAGCAAGCAACAAGCCTTAATACTTGTGACATTTCACAACCACTTCTTACTGAAGAGTGTAGAAGAAGAGAGTCTGCTACATTTAAAGTACAGCCTGTTTTTTTTCCCCAATGTAACAATGCTGCAAAAAGAACCCCTAAAATCTGACAGAGTAAACAAAAAAGATGGTACTTAGTCCTGGTCTAGTACATATCACTCACAACTGTTTCAATATAGGTAAAATGTTTTCTTCCCACCTAAGAAATCCCACCTACTCTCAGTTTATATACAAAATGCATCAATACAGTAATTTATTTCTGATGTCATCAGTCTGAGATAGCTTGAACACACTTGTTCTGGGGATGAAAGATGAAAGGTATTTAAGGAGGAATAAAACAAGGAAACAAAAGTGAGAAAAAGCAAAACAGAAAACTGAGCAAGCAAGAGGGCAAGAGATGGGAGAAGCATGGGCAGGAGGAAATGAGTCAAAGGAATGAGCTAGAGAACTACAAAGTCACAAGCAAAAACTTCAAGGTAGAAGCTATTTTTAAATATGTATTTAAAATCTGAGCTCCCAACATCGGATCAAAAAGCAGGTTTTGTCTGTGAACTCCAAACTACGGGAGGTAGTTAGGCCCAACGACGCAGAACATGAATCAACGGTCTGCATTCGAAATACACTCAAATTGCTACTCCCCACCCCTCTCCCACCCCCAAGTGATCTATGTAAAACTTTAAGTGAATTTAAATGAAAACAGGCCTCCGCGTTTTCAGGTCCATCTTTTCAGGTATCACTGACACGCCAGAGTGGACTCACGCTTGACACCTTGTGGACAGGGATGAAAAGCAACCTCAAAAGAAACGCTTGCAGCCTTGGAAGACCCTTCCCTCCGAAATCAACACAACAAGGAAACCAGTAACTATTCCCTCGGTGGACTGTGCTACACAGTCAGCTGTAAGCATCGCTCGAAAGTCAAAACTAAACGCGTCCGGTGGCCTTGAGCACAAGAAGAGGAGAGGAAATATTTTGTGTCGAGGCCACCGGGGAGTATCAACACTGTGGGAACGTATCTGTGCACCTGGCGGCGATGCACTTGACGCTGTCTAGCCCAAACAGTGCCCAAGTCGAACCCACAAAGTCACAGGACAGCTTTGCTGCTGCAGCTGGGAAAGGCACCAACCAAAGGCACAGCCCCTGCACGCAGTCCCTACCGGATCACGCTTAGCTCGGGCACATTCACGCCGCTTCAAAGCGACTCCGAGCGGCAGGCCGGGATCTTTCAGGATTAGGGCCCGCTGAATCGCATCAGGCGGCTGAGCGTTTCCCAGCTCGAATGGGCACGGGTGGCGTTTGTCACCCCCGGGCCCGCTGGCTGACAGGGAGCGGAGCTGTGCGCCCCCAGCCCCCCTCGCTCGGCGCTGTCGCTTCAGCGAGCGGCCGGCCAGAAACCTCCACGGCGCCGCACGGAAAGGAAACTGAAACTTGAAGGCGGCGCGGCGCTTCGTTTGGGAAGGAAAGTACCTCTCCCTCGCTCCGGCCCCGAGGAAAGCCCTGCTATAAAACCCCTCCTGCCCGTGAGGCGCCGCGGGGCAGGGGCAGGGGCAGCCCCAACCCTCCCCTCACGACGCCGGCCACCCCCCTAGCCCCCCACCCCACCCGGGACCCCACCGGGACCCCCCCGCCTCCCCCCCGCCGGCCAAGGGAAGCGGCGAGGCCTCGCTCACCTCTCTCAATGAAGGCGCAGAGGCCTGCACGGACGCGACATAGCGCTCCACCTCGGCCTTGCTGCGCCTCAACATGGCGACCGCAGCAGCGCCGAGCCCGGCCGGGCTCCGCTCCGCTCCGCTCCCGTGCCGCGCCGCCGCAGCGCCACAAACAAACAGCTCCAGGCGGGGCAACGGCCGCGCCTCAGGAACGCCGCGCACGCAGCACGCAGCGCGCTACGCACACTGCGCACACTGCGCACGCCCCCGCCGAATGCGCAGGAGCCGTTGCCACAGCGCGGGGAGGGGAGGGGCGAGGCTGTGGCGCATGCGCGGGGCGGCCGCTGGGGCTCCCTGACAGGGCTTTTAGGAACGGAGTTTGCAAAGGGTCCCTCAGAAAGGAGCTGGGAGCAGCCCTGAAGATGCGCAGGCTGCAGAGTTTGAGACACGAGCTGTAACTTATTCTTTTGGATTGATTGGTTTAATTTTGTAAGCCGTAAGGCTGTCCCCGAATGGTGTGATATCTCTGTGGACAGGCTGCGTTAAAAATTCATCCCCTCCTCAGTCTCTAGCGTCCCACTGACATGCTCAAGTTTCCTGCTGGACCTAAGCACTACCGACATCTCCACAACTCCTCCCGCCTTTATAAAAAAAAAAAAAAAAATGATAAAGTATCCACCTTGTTTCTGTAAGCAGCAGCCACCTGACACCCTGCCGGAGTTAACCCTCTGTTTTATTATTTGCCCTATTAATGGGGATTTCTTTACTCATTGGCTTTAATTCCATAAGAAGAAACAGCATTTTTTTCCCCTCTTCTTTTTAAATGACGAGGATTACAAAGTTTGTCAACACCTGCCAGGCTGAGGATTAAAAGTCTTAGCGCTGGTGCAGAGGAGAATCTGAGAGCTGGCTCGGGAGTCACTGGAGGAAATCTTTGCTTTTCGTGATGTGAAATTGCCTTCATGCAGACCAGGTCAAGCGCCTTGACGCTGGTCAGCATCTCTGTGGAATTGGCACCGTGTTGTCCCCAGCGGTTGCAGCACCAGGAGGGTAGCCCGCCCGGCAGGACAGCAGTTGACCATATTCATTGCTAACCTTACAACCAGACCACACTCAGCTTGGCTCACTACATGTTTTGATACCTTGGTGGGAACTGAGCTCAGGATTTGCCGCTGCTGGAGGCAGGAAGGCTTTAGGCTCAGCTCCTTCCCCCTACAGCTACATCCATTGGGCTTTCTGAAGCGCTCCCTACTGTTATTCTAAGCAGGAGCTTCAAAAGGAATCTCTCTTCCTCGTGCATGATTGATCCCATGCAGTAAGAAGGGGGCAAAGCTGAGGCATCCATTCCGAAATCCCAGGCCCACAGCCTTCTTTGAGAGACCTAGTAGGGGTCACGGTTCAAACAACAATAATAAACTCAGCCTCTTTAAAGAAAGCATGTCCAGCTAGGTGAAATATTTATAATGCTGACAGGCCAGGAAGTCAGCTTCAACACTAGACCGGCAATTATCCAGGTTAATTGTCTAATTGCTAGCTCCCTCCCTGTTTTGCGCTGCTTTTCATAATGCTCTTGATGACAAAATCCATGGGTATTATTTCAATGATAGTTCACTCTGAAGACAACTCCCGAGGGAGCAGTGTGAATTTGGGCAACCCTCTGCTGGAGACAGGACTCCAATAATAAGAATACAGAAAAAAAAAAAACAAACCACCAACACCTGGAGGGTGATTAAACACTGTGACATATTGCCTACAGAGGCTTGTGAGATCTCCCTTGGAGATACTCAAAACTTGGCTGGGTATGACTTTTGCTGTTGGGGCAGCTTTGAAGGTAGACCTGCCTTGAGCAAATGTTTGGACTACCTGGCCTGTAGCAGCCCCATCCTTCTGAAATATTTCTGTGACGGAGCAGGCTTTGAACCCCGGAACGCTTGGATGCTCTTAGTGCTACATAGTGGGGTCTGAAACACTTACACTCCTGTTAATGACACAGAGACCACCACCTTGGTGCTACTGCACGATAGCGCAGTCTTCATGATCAAGAACATGGAAACACAGCAAAAACCATGGAGTTCGGGCCACAGGGTTACTGTGGAGCCTGGAGGAGGTGCAAACGAGGCTGCCACATTCTGGGATATAACCACACAAGGCAGGCCATACCCCTTGGGGTCAGGGGCTGTTTCCACCCACAGTAGGGCTGCGCATAGTCAGTGGAGCATGAAAAAACTAGAAGAACTGAATTACAATTTAAAGGAAGTATTGCTGAGAGTGGTCTCCCTGAACCCATGGCACAGTCCGAAATCCCAACGGTGTTATCAGGCTAGTTATATAAACTTTTTTTTGGGGGGAAGAGGGCTTCTCGTCATGAACACAGTAAGGACTGCATTCAGCTACTGAACTGTTACTGCACTGAATAACTACATACAATAATAACAAATAATAACAATCAAAAAGACCTTACCTAGCACTAAACTATAGGCTTGAGGTGAAAGCCGCATTACATTGAAAACAAGAGAGAAAGATGTGGTAGGAAGGTATGCATTTTAAACTCAGACAAGGTATTTTCTTTAGGAAAACCTCCTGACTGTGCCGATTCAGAAAACAGCCAGAAGAACCAAGTTGTTCATTACGAAGCAAACTGCAGTTTCTTTCTTAAACCTAATAACTAAAGTGCATACATAGGTTAGGTGTATGTCTCCTTTAAATCAGGATAAGGAAGTATTTACATAGTCACAGGTAGAAGCATAGGGAAGAAAGGCTGCCTTGCTGCTTTTCCATCCATCTCAAACACTCATTGAAGAGAGCTGATACAAGTCTTAATAACATAGCCTTTATTGATGACACTGGAAAGATGTTTTGAAGCAACCAGTTTTCCATAAACAGGAAAGGAAATTTTGCTTGCTATGATGTAATTACATAAAATCTGTGTAAGTCACTAGTATGAAAAAGAAAAAACAAACACGTGTAGTTGGTAACACAGTACCATCAGGAATTCCTGAGCAACTGCATTTTCAATAGAAAAGGGAAAAATAAAACAGGTGTGCATGAACAGAAGTCGACGGTATAAAACAATCAGGTGTATGTTATAAGGAATTCTGATGACTTGTGAACTCAGTTCTTGAGGATGACTAAAGAAATAGATCCTAGCAGGATCAAACCACATATATTTACACTCACAGTGTAAAAGTAATATTGCCAGTTAATTGAAATATGCATTTCCATTACTGTTCTAGACGTTAAAGAAGCTAAGAAGCTAAATTTAAACCTCAGGTGTTCACATTTGTAACAAAATTCCTCTTGCATCCTGAATAATTAAGGCAAAGTATGTTATCTTTTGAAAATACCTTGTATATAGTTTTTGCATAAAAATATGAAATAAAAATAAAACTATATATATATATTTAATGGAACACTGTTATGTATGGTCCAGCAGAACAAGGCACAAAAAGTAAATACAATGCAAAAGCATATATAAAAGTTAATGTGTTACTCTGAATGGAATATAGCAAAATTCAAGTAGTTCTGAGTATGCTCATTTCTTGCAGTAGGAATATAGACTTCATACAGATATTTCATGCTAAGTCCGATGTACAGATTCATCATGTAAGCACAAACGATCAGAAGCAGGTCATTTGTACAGTGACTGTATCTAGAAATAAGATACTTTTCAAACCATCTGAAACCAGGCTCCTTAATGAGACTATTTGACCTGAAATCTGGGCATCTTTGTTTTGTTTTGTTTTTCCATGAGGTGAGGTATGTTTGGTTTCTTGCCCTAGACACTCGAAGTTTTATATTCATGCTTAATCTGCACATCAATACTTTCATTAATATAAATGACACTATGTGTCCTTAACATTGGACATATTTGCAAAGTGTGTCTTTGCAGGTATTCACAAGCATATTCTTCATCTAAAATTCCACAGAGATTACTGTGCACAGTGGCGCACTTGTACCAATTCTACTGCATTATCAGGGTCTGAAACCTTTCAGGTGAGTTGATATTTAATTTAGTCTATAAGTGTGGTCTATTTATCAACAAAAAAGTATACATGTACATGTACAGAGAATGGAAAATTTCAAAATATCTCAGTCTGATTGAAAGGCATGCATCATAATCTATTATCTCATTGCAGCCTCAAAGTCCCTCCCCACGAGTAAGATGTATAACATTTCCATAAAGAACAGGGAGAGCAGAAAAGTCTTCACTTCCTTCCCAAAGTTTCAGCTAGTTTCTTCAGTCTTTTCTTCAGCTCTAGAGGAAACTTCTCATAGCACTTTTTGCAGACAGGCTTCATATCAAATTCAACGAATTTATTCCTAAAATGACAAGGTAAAAAAAAAAAAAAAGAAAAAAAGACATTTTAATGGCAAGGATATTGTAAAAAAAATAAGTATCATGGCACACGTACACAGACAAAAAATTAGAACTCCAATTTATACATATCTATGAAGTTACTGCCACAAGGTTATATACATTGTAGACAGTAATTACAGTACTGCATGCGAGTTATGTAGCCTTTTCCCAAGTGTCCATATTTATTAGCTGTGTCACTTACAAGGCCTTTCAAATCTCATTGCAGACTAAACATAAGATAATGAAATAACATTATTTTGAGTTGCAGTTGTGTTAAAAATATTTTGGTTTTGATTGCCATGAATGCATGCAAAAATTTTAAATAAAAGCATCCTTAGCACTAACCAAAGAAGAAAGGAGCAGAGGTGGTGGTGAGAAGGAAAAAAAGTTTACAGACAGATTGGCTTTTTCTTTTTCTGCTTCTCTTTATCCTTCGCCTCACGTTCCCGTTTGGCAAGGCGTCGCTTAAATTCATCTGGCATTTTCTCATAACAATGTTTGCAGACAGGTTTTAGATCAATTTCAACAAACTTATCCCTTTGGAGTTAAACAGAAAAAATAAAGGGACAGAAACGGAGGAGAGTTAAGAAGATATAACTGAAGGAAGAACTGAACAGACAGCTGAAGAAGATGTGAATTAGTAAATGGAGCTAGAGGAAGAAAGGCACAATTTTCTCAATGCTGATCATATGTTTTTTGTACCATAACAGTTAAACTACAGCAACATCTACACTGTAAAGATAACCACCGATACGTTTTGAAGGCATCACACCTATCAATAAACTTACTTGAGTGTTAACTTAGTGTTGCAAGTTGAACAAGCGAAACAGTTCACACACCATGCCTTATTCAGAGCTGACACAACTAGAGCAAGGGAAAAAAGAAAGGAAAACATTAGCATTACAAAAAAAATATTTTAAAAAATAAGCTGTAATGTTCACGAGACATGAAGAACAAGCATTTGATTCATATATCCAGAATTGAGGCCTGTAACAATAACATGGCAAGACTAGGAAGGCACATGTGAATGCTGTGCAGTGGGACCATGAAGTGTTGATAAAGCTGTCTCTGATGGCACACACAGCACTATGGTCACCAGCAAGACCAGTTTAACAAATTTTTGACTCTCGTTGCTTGCTTCTACCTCATCTCATAGCATGCTGACCTCAGGCAACTGTTTTGTGAGGCCATGTTTCAAACATGACCAGGAGACTTTTTCAGCTGAAAAGCAATCCAGCAAAAGGGTGTTAAATGTTTTCATTCTGTTTCATTCCCCAGATCCTGCTCAGACTGCAGTGCCATCAACTGTAGCACTTGCCTGGTCAAAGAAAGTAACATGACCCAGGAATCAGGGTAAATCAGGTAAATCAGGGCTATCAAAGTGGAAAAAAAAGTTACGGACTAACGAGATAAATCACTTTATCACGATAAACATGAATATATTTTTATTCTTTGTTTTGGAGAGAAAGCATTTTCTCTTTGTTCTGTATCTCACTTTTCTGTTCCTCCTCTCTTTCACAGTACACCTTCCCAACTTTCCTTGCCAAAACTTGCTTCTCTTTTTAACCAAATGTAGAGGATCCAAGGCAATGCAATGCTTTTCTCCTAAAATGCAACATTTTGTCAGCAGCAAACAGAAACACAACATTGTCATGCAAAACTTTTTTTTTCCTACTCTATTGGGCCAAGCACATCCACAGAAGAATAGCATACAGTTATTCACCTGCTTGCCAAAATAATACTAAGCAGATGAAAGTCTTCGCTTATAAGTAACCTCTCCAATACAGTCATAGACACTCTCTTGAAAAACTGCTGTCACAGATGTCTGTTTCAGCAGAGAGAGGAAAAAAAAAAGGATACTCATCACTTGTGACAGCAGTGTCAAATTTCTGTGCAGAAGTGAAAGAAGAAATGTAGAACAATTGAAGACAGGCAATGAAAATAAAGAAATGACGACATTGCAATCTGTTCAGATCAGTGGCTGACACATACAATATGGGAGTCAGATTACACGGTGTAACGTAAAAAATACAAAGAGATGTGGTGATCAGACAAGGCTGCATTATTCATTTGCTTCAAGCCCCAGTTCCTTCATTCAGGATTTCAGCAAAGATGAAGATACGGCTTCCTCCAAAGCCTTCTGGATTGTTGTTCTGCAGGTACAGTCCAGTCCCAAAAATGCAGGGAAAGCACATCCTGGGAATTTGGGTCTCACCCTGTATTTACATGACTATGAACTACTTTATGGCTCCTTCTAAAAGCTAGAGGCTTCTGCACACTTTGCTAATAGCTTTGGTTTAGGCGAGGCTAACATTGGTATTACAGTGTTTACTTCAGGCAGGTGTAACCAGGAACAAAGTAATGTGGCATTATTGCAGGTAGAATGATTTGCCTTTGGACAACCAGCTATGATAAAATGCCAAAAAGTGTCCAAAATAGTCCTGCCCCCCAAAATTAAACCACTTGTTTCCACTTATGCCTTCACAGGACAGATCTTTACGATTCCTTCCTGGTTTTGTGAAATTACCATCAGCCTAGATTTTCAAAAGACAGGTGCCTGAGATAGATAGGCAAATATCTCCAGGAAGTGGATTGAAATGAAAGTTAGGCACTTTAAAAAATCTGTTAGAAAGCTCACCTAAATATTTCAATATCTAAATTATTTTCCAAATCTGGATCATGATCCCTAAATTCATTTGAGAAGATGCCCATGTAGTCATTCGCACAGTTGCATGTGTTCATTTTTAAGGTAGGTGGGGCAGGAAGCCACCAGTGCATCTCCCAGCACCCCTGAACTTTGCTTGTTACTAAAGGTTTTCCAGCTGACCACAGTTCTCTTTACACACTGTCATAAAACATTCGCTACAAGGTCTTCTTACTATGTGGCCTCTAACTAATCAGATCTATCCTAATTTCTCATCAAGATAATGGCTTATTTTGGTTTAATGAGAATAGTCAGAGATTCAACAAGGGCCTTACTTCCACTGTTAGAGAGAACTTCCATCAAAATGTAACGTTAAGAAAACAGTCAGTAAAGTGCTTACCATCTCCTTCAATTACACGATTGCAATGGAAACAAACATCACCGAACAGCTGAAGAGGAAGGAGAAATAATGAATTTTTAATGGAATGATTTTATCAAAGGTAGCTTCTCAAAATAACAAAACATTCTATTTTGGCTTAAGGGCACAGTAGCTTTACTGTTTATTTCAGTAAAAAAAAAAAAAAAAGAGAAAATCAGCAGGTCTGCTTTTGTTTTCCAATTAAGTTTCGCATTCATCTTATCAGAAAAAGTCTCTGTAATGCTGAAGGTGAAAACATCTGTTTGCATCTGCATGACCCTCTAAAAATGTTGTGTTGTTTTGTTTTGCTATTTCTCTAACCCTGAACATTTAAAATACAGCAAAGTCACATACAGATCTTTAGCAATCATCCAATTTAACGTTTGGACTTACAAGAGCATACCACTTTTTCTGGCAAAAGCTGTAAGGAAATGCTATGTTTATTTATTTTTCTTAAAATCAATTGATCAATAAATAAAAGGCCAGAAATCCTTCATTCCATGGCATTTATTGCCTACAAGTGTGCCAGCAACATTTCAATCATCTGCTCTTCATCGCTGACCAATTAAGAATCCAACTGTAATTAGAAGATGCCTTACAACTCCCAGAGATAATTCGTCCTCTTTACTTAGCCAAGCAAAGGTGTGTACGTGACACCTTGTGGTTGGCTTCCAAATAAAAATGGTTTACACCTTGCAGTGCTGGAATGCACAATTAAGGGAGTCTGCAGGGAACTGTATGTAGCTCTTATTTAAATGCAAGCGGTCACTAGGTGGTGTCCTCTGACAAATTAAGTCTTTGTAGTCTTAGGCAGCTGAATGAATGAGCTGGGTGATGCTGTGTATCCTAACACAGATCATCTTAGAGTAGCAGAAAAAAACACGCTACTCACTAAGGCTTCGTGTTAAACCACAGCTCCTGAATCGCAAATCTTCTTTAACTTCTTGGGAAAGATTGGGTGTCATTAGCTGCTCTCATCTCACAGACAAGCAAAAGCTTCAAACAGCTCTACATAAGCGCCACTAAGCTTGAAGAGCAACTCGATACTGATTAGCCCATCTAGTCTTTGTGAAATCCCTGAAGTTTTCTTTTTCAATGCCAGATTTATAATTAGAGAAAACGATAAAAATTAACTGCAACAGAGCATCTGCTAATTAGCTTTATGCCCACAGGTGATTATGAGAAAACAGAATAATGCCTATGGTCTTCCACCTCCTTTAATAAAATTGATTCATGAGTTTAACAACACAATTTTGAAAAATATGCAACCTTACCTGATTGTAGTGGGTTTCACAATATGCCAAGCCTTTTCTCTCATAATGACGATGACCCAGGAATGGCTTCTCACATTTCGCACACACAAAATGCTATGAAGAAAATTATATACATTTTTTGATTACTTGGAAGCAATTGTAGTTTTTTGGAAAGCAAATTAAATGATGTGATAAAGCAAATTAAACTGATTAAACATCACGTCTACTGAGCTAGCTGTGCCATCTTGCAAAGGAGAATTAAAACTTGTCTTCAACATTTCAATCCAAAAGTTACAAAAAAAGCAAGCAAAGTGATGTGATATCAATTAATAGAATGAATGGAGATTAAATAATAAGCACCATCATTACACTCTTGTGAAGAAAGCTCTTGCTGGAGGAGATTTTCAAAACAAAAGGAATAGGCTGCTTATCTTCCTAATTCAAAAGGAAGATATGGAACTAAGTCTTGTACGTGCCCTTGAAATATGAAACCTTCCCATGAAGTGCTTTAACTGTGGCAGGTAACTGTGAAAGACTTAAGAATATTATGGTGCCCAGTAGTACTACAGTTGTCACAGAACTTTACTGCCTTTCCATATATCCTCCTCTTCACTTTGTGAAATTTTCTTCTGTAAGGAGCTGGCAGTGCTTCCTCTGATTAATGATTTTAGCTTCACAGTCAAAGGTCTCTGCAAGGTTGGAAATAGCTCTCATTTCACAGTGAAAGACCAGACATAAGAAGGTTGAAAATGGAATTAGGAGAATGCATATACTAATTATTCCTGCATCCTTTTCTAATCCTTTCATGTAGACTGATCAGCAATATTCCAGCTATGTTAATATTTACACTTGTGAAAGACAATGTATCAGCTACTGTTTACCTCCACATGCCACTGTTTGCCCATAGCATTCACCACGCGCCCTTCAATTGGTCTTCTACATGCTCCACAGATGGGGACACCCATTTTGTCATGACAGGGTAAACAATATAATTCTCCCTTCAACTCACGAGCATCAGCAGTAAGCTCCTTCCTGTTCAAAAGTTAATTAATTGAGAGCATGAATAAAGGAACCGAATGATTTCAACTCTTGAGAGTTTCTGGAGATAACCTAATTTTTAGCATTTGTTTTAGAGATTGGATTTATACTACAATAATGGATCTAGCAGCATCAAATATGGCAATTTTTTTTTTTTTTTTTTTGAAACAAGGCTGATTCCATAGTAAACTGAGAAAACCCTGCTAAGTACAATGCATTAAGTCTCTCTGAAAATAGCTACTGAGCTGTTTTCAAACGTGTTTGAAAGCTGTAGTCATGCTTGGCTTCTATTCTGGTCCTCTTATCACCTGTTTATTTTAGATTTACATAAATGTAACTGAAAGGAAAATGCAATTCTTTACTTTTTCCCTATGGCATAAAACATCAGAGAAAGAAAAATATGAGCTGACACTGGCACTGACGCAATAGTACATGTGGCTTTTCAAATCAGCCTTTGTTATGGCACTGAAATGATAGCTTCCTTTATACCAAATATAAGCAACTAATAATGTGTTCTGTATCCTACAACGTCCCCTGATCTGTGCATCTGGGGATGTAGAAACACGAATCTATGTAGACTACAGTTGCAGAAGCTGATAACATGAGGTAAGGGAAAGCTTCTAAGAAAATGTCTTTAAAAGGAATGAACAAAGTTTTCATTTAACTCAGCTAGAAATAACATGGGCAAGATAATAAGCAGCTAAGGAGGATCACTTTTCTACCCTTTGTTGCGGAAGAAGCTATCAGTCATTTTGCTGCTACAGAAACATCTATCTGTGCCCAGACTTCATATTTCTTAAGGAAATGCTGAAAATTACAATCTTTCATTACTCCCCAACATATCGGCTGTTGTCTGAGCTAAAGGTCTAACTCCACCATCCCAAAAGCGATAACCAGACACACATCTGGCTATAAGGCACCCCAAACCTGTCCCTCTTGCCTGTGTAACAGGACTGGATTTCACTTTTAAATGTACATGGATGAAGCAAAGAAAAACAGCATTTTCTTGTCTTCCTTTGCAGAACTCAAGTTACCCGCAGTTTGCACAGTTGAAGTGATCAGGGTGGTAAGGATCATTTTTGAATATGAGAGGCTGTTCGTCAATAATGGCGTGGCACTTCTGGCAAATGTACTTTCCCAAGCCTCTGGCCTTTTCCCTGTTATGGCAAGGACGGCAGAGATGCCTGAAACAACATAAAAAACATAGGTAAGTACCAGCACCAGTTAGTACAGTGAAAAATATACATCAAACATCTATTAGAACTTCATTTCAATCAGCCTTTTTGAGCAGAAGGAGGGCTATCATATTTCCTATCATTTCAGGACTATAATTTCTTCAACTTGTTTGAGTTTAAGCTGTGTCAAAAACACAGAAAACAATGTTCACTACAGATTCTCACTGCTGAATATTTTATTCTCAAACTCTTAAAAATTTAGCTTGGAAGCTGGATCGCCACACAGGTCCTAATTCTATAAAAACAACTCCGTATGCCATATTAAACTTATGAAGTCAATGGCCATATAATCCACCTGCAAAACATCCCTGTGATCACAGCTGGTAAAAAAGGGAAGGCTCCCAATGAACTGAAAACATTTATTGATGAATAAGGTGCTGAACTGGACTCAAATTGGAAACCCATGTTGGAAAAACAAGAATTGATTTAAAAAAAATACAATACTTCTGCATCTGAATGTTGTCTCTCTTATCAGAATGTACCCTACCAATCCTGAAATGTCACCGAGTACAGACAAGACCTGGTGTTGACAAGTAATCTGGTGTTGAGGTAGATAAATGGTTAAGATTTTATGTGCATATTCTAAGATATCCATTTTTAATTTTGTGATGCACCCTCAGACCTTTTTCTCATAAAAGCCACTTCAGTTATTCCGCCTCAACTGGAAAGTTTTAAGGGCCATAACTGCTAAGTCCCACCTCTCATTTCATTTTATTCATGAGCAGTAACAGAAGGATGAAGACCTACCTCCCAGCATTCTTGACAAATCCAATATCTGCCAATACTTGTTGGCAGATGTCACAGCAGAAGCATTCTGGATGCCAACTGTTGTTCATAGCCTTAATAACACGACCAATAATGAACTCACCTGTAAGAAAGACAATACCAGGATTTACAATACCGTGCTAGACAAAGTTAAAAGAAACCCACAACCGAATCACTACAATTACATCAACATCCTCTCCTCATACACTGCCCACCTCCCCCCAAATCTGGTAGGATATATTATTTTCAGTATTGCAGTTCTGGTTCTAAACTCTGGAATTTGGGTTGTTTTTGTTTGTTTGTTTGTTTTTTGCTGTGGGTCAGAAGCAGATGTCCTTGCTGATGGACAACCTTCTGTTCTTTATATATAAGCCTTTCTCCACCTTCTCTCTGCAATTATCCCTTTCCAGTCCTATCTGTTTTTTCTTATCTGATCTCAAACTCTTGCAAAATATACAGAGTTCTTTTTATAATATGTCAGTCTTGTCTCCTTATCATCTTTGTCTTTCTCCTCTTTTAGAAGAGGGCAATTTTAATTTGTCATTTACACAGTAGTGACTTTTACACCACTAGGCCTGTAATCAAGCCTTGAAAGGGCTCTATACTCAAAGCACTACTGAACTGAGCTTGGGTGGCCTTGGACCTATTGAAAAAAAAAAAAAAAACAGAAAAGAAAAAGAAAAACAAAAACATGACGTCAAAGCGCAAAGATGCAATGGGAGAATGCACTTACTAAACAGTAAATCCGACACACACAACAACTCCTAACCTACCACAAGGAGTCCTGTCCTGCAAGGCATTGAAAAAGTGTTAAAATTACTGTTGTGCATGCACTGTGTGACTCCACTGCACAGGCAGTAGAGCCATGTCCACCACACAGGGGACACGTGTTTAGTTGTTCTCTACTGTGGACGTTGCAGCCAAGGCCCCTGAGCAGTGCCCCAGAGCACTCTGCCTAAAACGTGCTGGGAGCTCAGCTTCCTGGTGCTGAGGAAGGCTGAATCCTGGCTGCAAAGAGCCTGCAAATCAAACAGCTGTCAAAGAGAAGCGATCAGTCAGATAACAGATGTGAATGAAAGGAAGTCTAGCATGCAACTCTGTGGCATTCCCATGAAGTCATCGCTTTTCAAGAATAAAACCCAACGGACTCTAAAAATGTCAGGAAAGCTTGAGGCATCACTGCTGACAACAGCCCTGTTGATTTTGGCCACCCTTAGTAAATCCAAACGCTGGAAAAGCCCGGTTCCAGTTAGGACCCATGAGGTGCTGTAGGTAAAAGAGCAGAGTGACCTGGGAGGCCGCCCAGCCAGCCAGTCACACCCTCCAGCAAAGTCACTTACTTTCAACCCATCTGTCAGAACTAGTCAGTCCGCAAAACTGATGAAGTTTTAACAGAGCTGGTGCTATGAGGAGCCAGGGTAGGAGCAGCTGAAGCTGTTCTAGATGAGGAGCTGTGCCAGCTGGGCAGGAGAAACCCTGGAGACACATGGTGTAGCTCCTCCACAGCCCTCTGCCTGGGACCAGAACAGCTTCTGGATGCTGAAGAGGTAAGGGCTCCTCTGCCCAGCCCACCAAAGGCAAGTAACAGTGCTAACAGAGAGGAGCAGAGCTCAGCCGTGTGTGGACAATGCTGGTGTGCAGGAAGAGCAGCACTTTCTGTTTAAACAGGTTAGAGAGGAGGGCTTGCAAAAATCCTTTGCAGGCCAGAAGCAGGGATGCAGAAGGGGAAGCCCTGGCACAGAGGAGCAGGAAGGGGACAAAGGAAGGGGACTGCAGAGTGACAGGAGGAATACAACAATTCCTCATGCTTAGGAAGTGACTGGCCTGCCTGTAGAAGGAATGAAGTGAGACACTTTCTGGTTTGTCACATACTTCAGGTTTAGCTCAGATATCATCAGCAAGCCCTGTCTTCCTCTTCCCCTTCCCCTGCTTGCTGAAATCTGCAGCTTTAAATTCAAAGCTCCAGAACATCTGCTTCCCCCTTTCCCAGCACCCAGCCCCTCCCTCCGCACAAGGGAAAGGCCTTACTAAGATAAGCAAAAGTTGTAGCGGCTTGCCAAGGCACCACAGAAAAACAAGAGCTTCCAAACCAGCTCAAGCAGTGGTACAGTAATGACTTGGGCAGCCCTGCCCAAGCAAATGTGTCACACACAGAGAACACAGAGGAAAAAAAAACAACTTGCAATTGATTGCAGCATAGCAGACACGCAAACATTTACATCATCGGACAAATTGACAAAAGGCAGCCCTCGGCGTTACACAGGTTAGACATCAGATGCTGAAGGAATTTGTTTCAGAAGGATGAAAGGGGACCAGCTGACTTATCAGTTGGTGGTAAGAGGAGATGATAAAGACCGTCCATGGAGGAGGACAACATGGATGGGTTGCAATTGTCAAAAGAGGTGACAGACTCGCTGGAAGGTTTCAGCTGCATGAGAAGGGTTGAATATAAGCACATGCATGTAGATGCAGATAACCACGAATGGTCTGTTCATTGGGTCACTGGACCAACAGCTTAATTTTTCACTCAAATAATGCAAACCTTTTTTAAAAAAAAAAACCTACTGTTTGATGACCTTTAGGGAAAGTAGCTCCCCAAGTTCTCTGAAGCCTCCTTCCCGAGGCCACCTCCCCGAGTACATACAGAAGGGTTGCACATCTTCCCCCAGCAATATGTGCACTTCCCATTTGTGATCAGCATGAAGCACTTTGCCTCAGCGGAAAACTTACCACACTGATGGCAGCATGGGGCGAAAAGCATTTGGAAATCGTGTTCACAGTACTTCCTCCCTTCAAACTGCAAATGGAAAACAAGCCAAGAGTTAAGAGGGATGAGGAGCATGTCCTTGATATAAATACTGTCACATACCAGGCTGTTTCCAGATGCAACTGGGTAGTAGATGATGAGGAGTTGTACGAAAAACAAACCTGACCATCTGCTAGAAAAACAGGCACTAAATTCACCCACCTTAAGTCAGCACACGGCATTAAGAGAGTACTATTCCTTTAATACTGTTTAGAGCATGTGGCATTTTTCTGTCACCCCTTTACCTCACAGCGGATGCCTGAATTTTGACAGACTGATGACAATCTGATGCAACCGATAGGATTCTGGGCAGGAAATTAGCTTTCGAAAACCTTTCCTGGGGGGAAGCATTTTCTCTGAACCCATTTGATCCCTTCCCCACTCTGCATTTCCTGTAAGAATGGCCCAGCACACTGGAGGAAGTAAGTCTGGGGGGAGGAAGAACCCCCAGGGACTGAAATCCTCACAATTTATGGAGCAGTGCAGCCAAACATACAGAGAAATCATGCTTTTCCTTCACCATGGTGGTTTGAGGAAATTTTAAGGAACAAAATTCTCTAAATTGACTAGGTGAAATTGGGACATGATCTAAAGGGATTTGGAGCTGAATTTTTTCAAAGCTTAGAGAAGTTCAGCTGTAGTTCAAGCTCATAGAGAAAAAAACTATGGAAAAAAAAAAAGTTCAACAGCACTGCATTAGCAACCTAACCAAGGAATATGTAAAAACATGTAGGCGAGTATGTCCTGAAGTGAAGGGAAATGTTTAGATACCTCCAGGCACATCATTAGTAGACACAAATGCCAACTAGCATGTTAAAACCAGACAGACAATATCAGGTATGTTTGGATTTGAATGTCTCTGTTTAGTACACTGGAAAAGGGATAGCAGGAAAACCCCAATTCCTTCTTTGTACTGAGTCTAACACAAAACGAAGCAAATAGCATAAAATACTACCCACAAATTAAGTTTTGGTGCATGGATAGAGAATACAGCAATATCCCTTTACACTATGAAATTTCAAGAAGCAAATGCAACCTAGTAATTACTTGTGCAATATACAGAGCCATCGGCAGGGTGGTGATTTAATGAAATAGTCTAGAAGTCACTGGAAACTTGAGAGCAGAAACTTAATTCCTGTGCTCAACCTGAACTGCACCTACAAGGATCAGAGAGACACATGAGATACACACAGACTCTTCCAGAAGCCGATCCTAGCGATTTATCAAGGTCGTGTTTTTTTTCAGTGTAATACTCTAAAACAGATGAACTTTTAATTGGAGTTTTTTGTTGTTGTTGTTGTTTTTAAATTGAGAGACAGAGGACTGACTAATGAAAATTAATGAAAATTATTGGTTCGTTGAGAAGGGTGCTTGCTTCCTGCCAAATATAATCCTTTTTAAACTGAAGAAAAGCAGAAAGCTTCCAGCTTTGTGCAAACAGTTGGTAAAATGGAAGATGCACAGGCCTGCTTGGATTTCAGAGCTACCACATGTTGACCTGGGCAGACCAAACAGGTTTGTGTCAGGCAGGTTGGTTACTATTCCGTGTTGTTTGTGTATTCAACCTGCCTGACTCATTTGTGCTGCATTTGTGGATGACCCAGCAGCTCCCCCTCTTAAAGAAAGCCTTAAGCTTCTGTAACAGATCCCACAGCATGTGTTGGAAAGGCAAGGTCATTGAACTATTGCCTGGTGGAGGTCCATGGGTTAGCTGCATGGTTCTGTGCTTCATTTCAGAACATCTCACCACAACATTATCTCCATCTGATCTCCGCATCTTTACTAACTCAGGTCACGGGAAGACATGCCCAAAACCTGCTTCTTTAAAGACATTTCCTCTAAGGGAGCTTTTGGTAAAGCCCAATTTAAGAAAACACTCCAGGTGCAAATGGAATAGAAATAAATCTGAGAAGCTCACTGCAGCTGCACTTTCCTTTTATCTCACTATAGGTTGTTCGAAACAACTTCAAAAATAAACAAAAACTGAACGGAACTCTCCTCTCATTTAGGCCTCATAAAGCAAAAGTCATGCGTCTTTCTATTTCAGTGATAATTATAATAACAAAGCCATACAGATTCCCCAATTACAGGAGTACTCTTGGGAGTCTTTCGTAAGGATTTTGCTTTCTTTCTTTCTTTTCCTATGGGATGCACCTCTCTAAACTCTTTCATCTCCCCACCCCTCAGCATGGAGCAGGCTGGCCTTTTTCTGAAAGGGCACAGAAAGAGGCTCTTACTGCCCTCAAAGGGCTCTTAAGGGCCCCAAAGGGCTTTAAAGAAACACCTGCACTCCAGGTAGGCTTCATCTCTCCTGTTTTCTGTTGTCTGAAGGTGAAGTGCTCATGGTCCACAGTGGGACAGACCTCTAGGGAAGGAGAATTGCTGAACCCAGGAATAACACGGTCTTGAGGAAAAGCCACCGAGTACTTACAAGGGGAAGAGGGACAACCTGTCCCTCTGGGCACGGTGCCACCAAAGCTGCCCATGCAAGCAGGCTGTTCTGCTGTAAGTACAGGACTGCACGCTCTGCTGGGTTACCAAACTGTGGTGCAGCAGACCTACCCACCCCTGCATTTCTTCCAGCACAGCCCGACCAGTTCCACCCCACCACGGTGGAGCACGCAGCGTGGCAGCTTATCACACGGCAGCGTTTGAGTGCAAACGTGATAAGCGGCTTAATGACTAACTGGGGGAACTCTGCATCGCTCGTGATAGGCAGGGGGAGAATATTTGACTTCCCGAAATCATTTCCAAGGAACACTAGCTTAGCTGAATGGGGCACAGAACAAACACGAAGTGATGCAGGTCTACCAACAATGCCTGCGTTTACCCACAGGGAACCTGCTCTGAAAAACACGTTGCCTGGCCACACCTCCACATGCAACTCGTTAAAGGGTGCATTAAACCAGTCGGAAGAAGATAACCTTTCTGCCCTGTCACTGTTTCCCCGGAGTGATACAGATCATCTCAGAGCACTGGCAAACCTAAGACCACCCTCTACCTGCACAGGGCTGTTCCTGTTCCTCCCTCTCCCCCAAAATGCTGTCACCCATTGCACTCCCGACTTGCTAAACCAACTCACACGAAAGAAGAGCAAGCTCTGCCCTTGTCCCTCCTTCTCCCTAAGGAGCACCACCAGGAACTGTGCCAGGGCTTCCACTGCCATCATCTCACTGACCACTGAAGTGCTAGGCAGCACGGGACACATGTGGACACCCTAAAGGGTGCAGAGACAGAGGAGCGGGCCCTGCCAAAGATTTCCAAGTTGAAACAGCCCCAAAGGCACAAGGGCTGGCACAATATGGACCTTTGCTTTCTGTAGAAGGTGCCAAGTACAGGCCAATATAGACGGGGGAGGAAGCCTGGGTGAGATTTCTGAGCCATCATCTGAACCGTCATCTCTTCAACAGCGGCAGGCAGGCTTGCTGGTATGGAGAGAAACTGCAACATCTTGTGGTAGACACTGGGAGGACCAGAGGCAGAAGGGTGGCCTGAAGCTCAAGCCACACACAAATCTTTGGATATTCCCTTAATCCCAATCATCATTTTATCTCTACAGTAGCTGTGGCAAATGGTAGCTTTTCTTAACTGAGACTTTCCACTTTCTCTGTAACGTTTCTCAAGAACAACGTGGCAGTAGGAGGCAAAAGGCACACATCCAATATATTTAAACACCAGCAGGATGCTTTCCCCGGCCAAGGAGGTTCAGGTATGGCAACATGTGAGCAACAGGGAGGTGTAATATTCCTGGACTAGGTGCAAACATAGGACTTCCTTTCCACTGCAGTCCTCCTCCATCCTCTAGGAGATACAGGCTGCCTGGAGCAGTATTTCTCAAACTGTTACCTCAAACAGGACCATCCTATTTTCTGAAAGAGGTTTCATGAATAAAGCCCTCGTTATTTAGACAAAATACATTTTATTCCTTTAAGACAATTTTATTAACAAACGTTTTAGTTCTAAAATATTTCTATCACTTTACATTTGCCTCAGGTCTCAACACTCAGGGCAGGCAGTAACTCAGTGTATATTAACAATTATAATGCAATGTGTAAGTATCTAGGGGGTGTTTTGTTTGTGTTGCCTTTTCTTAATTGCAACCGTTTTGCAGCTCACCTTTTGATGTTTTGTGGACCACTAGTGGCTCATCTGCCACAAATTGTGCAACACTATCCCTACCTCACTGAAAAATCTTTTGATCCTCAAGCAAGGTGAGAGAAAGCAAAGGCAGGAATCCCTTTTGCCATTCTCTTTTCCAATCAACACTCCTCCCTCAGCCTCCTCCTCACTGTATAGCACAGCTCTGTAGAAATAAAAATACTACTGTGGAACATGAACTGTTGTGCTCTTGACACACTGGCAACACGCTCTGTGTGAAAGTGGATTAGAATAGGATTTTCAGATGCAACTGAAGAAATCTGATACTTTTGAGAACTCTGCCTTTATCTGCGTCAGCTTCTGCTCCCCATTCACAAACTTGAGGTAATAATTCCCTGTCTCCCATGATTTACCCTTCCTCACACCGATCGCTTCACATTTTATGAACTAGTCTAAAGCTTTCACTAAAACTATTTTGCACTTGAAATAGCTGAGCCATCTCTGAATCCCCATGGAAGGGGAAGACAGAAGAAAATTCTGATACCAAAACACACCTTGAGCTTAAGGGCAATCCAGATGGGGCTAAGAAAACTGAATGGGAGTGTTTTTGTTCCCTCAAAGGCACGTTAAACTCCAGGTTTACCTGATTCTAGGGTTGACCTGACTTAGGCCCCATCTGGTTTGGGCTGTCAACACACCTTGACCTCAGCATGTTGGCTTACAGGTCATCCCTACCAGCAATATTAGATGCTGTGCAGGCCTCACTCACTCCACAATAAACCTCCTGAGGACTGCAGGATGCTGGCATTTCCCTCTATATGAGTGCTCTCCTCTAAGAAGAATGCTTTCCCTCCGTTTCTGATACAATATATAGTGCTTACAGGTTTCAAGAAAAAAAAAATGTAGTGGGAGGGAAATCTCCAGTAGTTCTTTTCTCAACTGTGACACTGTTAGGCTACACGTTTAAATAAGGATATCCACACTGATGTCCTCCAAATGAGCACAAAAACATTTCTCCTTTTTTCTCCCTCTACTTTTTCTCCTCTCTCCCAATTTCTTTCACAGCACTTCCTAAGTTACTGATCTGCCTGGAGTTACTCCTCCCAGCTTACCTCGTAGAAGAGCCCTTCGGGGAACTGCTGGAAGCACTGGGCGCACACGAAGCACTGCTCGTGGTACAGCTCACCATTGCTGTTGACGATTTTCTCTGCTGGTGCAAAGCCGCCTCTACAGCGCTCACAGATGGCATTCGCGAGCGCATTCGCCATGTTGCTGCCATAAAAAAAAATAAAAAACAAAGGGAACAGAAAGAAAATTAGCCCCAAAAGGCAACACCACTGACTGTGACTCAAAGTAAGATTTTCCATGGACTTAATGTCTTGTGGTGTTCCCTTAGCAGTGGAACTTCCACCTGTCCCTAAACTCTTTAAAAACAAAAACCTTACAATACATTCTAATAATAATTAATTAAAAAAAAAACAAAAAACACAAACAAACACAGAAGCAGTGTTACAGATACATTTAGTGGCTTTTTACAACATGAAAAGGCAGGTAATTCAAAGAATTATTATAAAAAATGATAAAATACATTAGAATAACAGAAACCATGGGCAAATGTTAAGAACAATTGAGGACTGGCATCACATTGGAAAATATAAATGACAATTCTATAATAATTCACAGTTCTAAAATACGTAAAACACTGATTCAAAAGCCCTAAGCAAGCAATATGGAAGATTAGAAGGTGTTCAGTCTGGCAGATTACTGAAAACCAGAGCAGACAGCTTTTCCTTACATCATCTTTACATCTCTTGAAGTCATTTTATACATTTGGTTTAAAGTCAAGGGTTTTTGGGTTGTTTTGTTATGGCTCATCTGAGTTAGAGCAGCTCACAGCACCCCAGCATCAGGCCAGGGACAAGGTGGAAGGTGGAAATGCTCTTGGCTGCAGTGCTGGGATGCTCCATCGTGACCCAGGCATAGGTCAACACCAGGGAAAAAATACCCAAATAGCAACCTTGGCGACTTCTCAAAGAGCATAAAATGACAGTGTGCTAGCTGCAAAATAGCAGAGGAATTAGCAGCTTCACTGGGATCGTGTCCGTATCTGCAACAGTCAGCCCAACTGTGGTACAATTAATTAAGGCTCTAGTACTAGAAAAAGGCTCATTCAATTTTTCCTTTGTAAGTATTTTCTTACTTATTCCTGGACTCCCAAAGCTATGCCTTTCAGGATCACCTCTCTGCCCTGATATCATCTGATAGCAGATAGCAGATGATAGCAGATGATAGCAGAGCAAATACAGGGTGATGGTTTAGTTTCACGCAATGATAACACAGCTGATGAAAAGACTGCCTCGAACATCTATGTGGAAGCTTGTTAAGATGTTATTTTACATGTATGTGCACACAGGCACACGTTTTGATACAGAAATCTGTTGCATCTGTAAGTGCAGGGCACACGGTCCTGTGCAAGACGCCAAGCTTTCCCCCCCAAGGGGTTAACACCTCTTGGCTCCCACCAGCTTCAACAGGAATCAAACCCATTCCTTGCACAGCACCATGTACACCTATCACATGGTTCAAAAAGGAACGTGCTTTATCTATTTCTTACTCTGTGCCACAGAGGAACCCTACACAAGGTCACATCTGACCAGTTATTATTAGCTGGCTTTTTTTTTTTCCTCGCTCTCTGGAGCTCTCTGCAGAAGAGGCCAACAGTGACTGCTATCAAAATATTCACTGTCCTCGCAGTGAAACAATGACTGGGCAGATTTCACAGAGGAGGTCACACTGGGGAATGGTCTATTTCATGTGTAAGAGACAAGCACACTGAAAAAGTGCAGTGATTACACTATAAAATGCGCATAAGTATAAAGTTAGCCACACTAAATTGAGTGGGGAGGAAGAAAATCACTTCATCCATACTCTTTATTAATTTAAATGAGCGGTAATCATAATAAAAACTGTGACCCTTCATCATCGCCTCAACAGTTCCTGAGTACCAAGGATGTTATGCTGCAAAGTTACTTGATGTTAAGTGCTGTCAGAGACAAAACGCAAGCAAAAACATGAAACAAACTTTGAAGGCTAATGAAAGCACAAAGTTTGCCTCCTTGATATGCAAAAGCACTCGTATGCTTTGATTTGAAACACATGTGAGAAATCAGCAATGCACGCGACAGTTCGGCACTAGTGAGATAGATGGGCTATACGTTTGCCCCATATAAGCAACAGCCTAAAAATCTGAGACTACTTGGCAAACGCCAACCCCGTTTCAACTGCTGATAAAAATTTCTGACGCAATTACAGATTAAGTTCACAGCAACAGCTCAAATTTTCGCTGGTGATTACAACTGGCACCGTACCAAACACAGAGCAGCGGCAGAGAACGGCTCCTGCAGCCTGCCCAGAGCTCAGAGGGTAAAAGCCCTGGGTACCCTACGCCAACGGCATCACCGCAGTCACACCCCACAGGCGGACAGAGCCAACTTACAATCTTGCATAAAAGTCACAAAACTCTTTGTAGAGCTTTATGTCACTGTGCCTACGCTGCAGTTTTGACACTGGTTTCTCGCCTTCGTTTCCCGCAGGGTTGTGGCCATCGCGAGCGACCTCGTGGGCGATCTCCTCGTCCTCCGGGATCGCGTAGGGGTAAGCTCTGCGCTGGAAGTCCATGTCTCTCTAATTGTTGTCACAGGCGTGTATATTCTGTGCTTAGACTGCAAAGGAACTGGAGGCAAAGGCGGCTAAAGAATATGCTGGGCTTCCCCTTGTTCCCAGACGAAGCGATTGACTTTCACAGCTCTGTGTCTCTGAGCCAGACCTACCCAGAGCCCTGCCAGAGCTTCAAGTTAAAAGCTGGGCTGCGGAGAAGCAGCATTCCAGCGCCAGGCTGTCATGCAGCCCGGATGCTGGAAAGGGGCTTCGCCTGCTGCCTGATGATAGAAGAAATCTTTTCGGGCCCGGGAGAGCTGTTTTACGAGCAACCTATGTGAGCAAACATGTTCCCCGGTGTCCGCAGCTCCTGGCTGCTGAGGGGTGGATTCCAACAACACTTTATCATGGGCAAAACAGCAAGGTAAAGCACCAGGAGGAGACTGCTGTCGTTAGGTAAACATTGTTTTAACACCACGGCACAGTAATTACACTGTAAAAATGGCCTTTAATGCTACTCTTCCATCTTCTAAGTCGTATGTGCCGAATATATCTCTAGGCATCTCCCTTCTTGTCAGCACTTTGGAGAAGGCGTAGATACAGGGGGACAGTTTGTTTTCTGTTTTGCCTCGCAGGCCATTAGCTGAACTGCCAACTATGTTATAATGGGCAGCTGATGAAGGAGTTAAAATGGAGCTTGGTTTTCAGTGCTGTGTTCAGAGCAATCACCCAGTGCAAGAACGCTCCATAGGGTTGAACACCAAAAGTGCTTTATAGTGGGTATTAGGGAACGGAGAGAGCAAGACTGGGAAAAAAGGAGAAATCATGAAAATTCATCATTCCTTAACCACAGAATGCCCTGCTGATGTGGCAATTATTTTATGGCTGCACTCTCTTCACAAACCTATGGTGTGCTGCTTACTAGGGGAGGCACCGGCAGCCACGGGCCTGCACTCCCGAAATGCTTGGGGCAGGCAGCTTCCAGGAATGTGTAACGCCAAGCCAAAACGAAAAGGGGTTTTGGAAAGCGGTCTCTTGCGTGGAACTGACTCAGCCTCGTTAGCAATCGGTGAGGCAGCAAAGCCACATGCACTTTGTGCTGGTGACACACGGCGTCTTGGCAGGCAAGGAATTGCCGGCCTGAGAGGGAGCAGGGAAAGCGGAGGAGGGCAGGAAGAAGACTAGAGGGAACACGCAGAGAAATGAGAAACAGATGACAAAGGACATGACAGAAATCCCAGTCAAGGCTACTACGTGTTCATATGCCTTCAGCACCTAAATAAAAATCATCCTCGAGCCTCTAGCAGAGGGTTTATGTCATGACTACATTGCACCACACCTCTCAGCACTGGCTGAGGTGGCCGAGCTAGCACCCAGCAGAGGACAAGGCCGAGACCCCTCAGGGCTCACACCTCACTGTCTTCCCATCACCTGGCCACCACAACACCACAACTCTGCTGCTGAAAAGCAAACAGGCCAGATTTTGGGAATGGGTTTGGTCAGGTGTCTTCTGCTTCACTCCTCTTGGTAGCCCGCCACGTGCCACAGGACATGGCGGCCAGTGGGGCTGAGGCGGCTAGTGAGGAGGCTGTGCCCTCACCAGCTATAGGGCTTGGCTGGAGCTCAAGCCCTGTTTTTGTCTGCTCCAGGTGGAGCAAGAAGATGTCCATCCAAAAAGTCTGATTTCATCGCCCCAGTTTTGTCCAAGGGGCAGCCCTGTGAGGCACGGTGACTCCATACATGCAGTAAGCAGAAGCAGCCTTGTTCTCTAGGCCTCTGGCCACTGCTGCCAGCAGAGTTATTCCCGACTCGTTTCCCATTAGGGAAGAAAGGAGCGTGCCAGGAGTTTAAAAAGGGCCTTCCTGCTACTGAAACAAAACACAACTTCTACGGGGATGGTCTGGCAATCCACAAATGCAGAGCAGCTGGCCATCTTTCTCTCCTTTTTGTCATTTTACTGGAGACTTGCTGCCAAGATCTGAACTGGGCTGTTAAAAACGCTCTGTATTTCACCAGGAGCTCATAAGTTTCCCCACGGTGCAGCAGGGGAGAAAAGGTAGGCAGGAAGGAAGACGACAGAGCGGCTCCTCCTGGCACACGGGGATCTGCTCCGCAGCCAAAGGTGAGGTGACAAAGGAAGCAGCAGGGAGAGGAGGGGAAGTGTCCCGCTGCTGTTGTGAAAAACAGCAGCAAAACAAATGTGAAATGTGCTGCTTTATTGTCTTGGAGGGAAAACTGCCTCCTGTCTCCCTCCAGGAAAGCCCACACTGGTGGCAGCCCACGGGGACTCTTACCGAGACGGCTCAGTGACTGGTGAGCCTTGCTTCGTTCCCCAAATAGATGCGCCAAGCGGTCAGGGCTCCAAACAAGGTGCTTGGCAAAGGCAGCTGCCGCTTGGCAGCCTGCCCCCGTGCCCCCGAAATAACGCTGCCCGCCCCGTGCAAACCTGCTGCATCACCGCCACTTTCGGAGGCCACGCACCCCATCGGGACGTGCGGGGGATTCATGAACAGTCACGGTGCAGCCCTCCCCTTCCTGCAGAGGTAGGGATGATTTCATGTTCCCCCTATTGAACACGGATGGCACGCAGCGATCCTCACACGCGAAATGCAGAACAAGCAGAGTGGGAGCTTTGCTGCGAAATAGGCGTGAACCCGGAGCGCCTTGCGCCAAGTTCTGCACCAACCTTTTGAAGTGCTAACTGTTTTTTCGTGTCTTTTTTTTTTTTTTCCACTGGAATTGAAAACACTCTTGGGTTCTGGTTCCTGCCATCGCTCGATCGCTCGTCTCTTAAGCAATAAAATTCTTTCTGTGTTAAACGGGTCTCTTAAGGCAACTGGAAAGAAGGTATGCATGTAAATCTCTTCCGTAATAAAGATGTATGCTGTAGGTGGGATTTTCATGTGTGCTCAGCACTACCCTGATTCTGCTGAAAAGGATGGAAAACCATCTCGAAACCACTGCAATAAAAACCAGGTGAATTCCGAGTGCTCCTAAAAGTTTCATCCTTTACCTTTAGCCACAAGAAATATGATTAAGCTTCTGCGGTGGGAGTTTAAGCAGGGCAAACAAAAAGACAACTCTGGCTGTTTCAGATACTTCAATAGAAACGTATTCTAGTATAAACATGTCCAAAAAATGCTTTGGTCTCTGCAAGCAGAGAGGGTTCACATTCCATCACTTCATAAGGAAATGAATACGACTGCAATAAACAGGTACGCAGCACCTTCCCACACAACAGCTTTCATTGGTCATGGGAGCACAGTGAAAAAGCAGTCTCTAGCAGGATTCACAGAAAGGTAATGATAGTTAGCTCTGGGACTTCTCTGTTGTCTGCAATATTGAAAAAAATATGTTGTATTTTCTTCCTGCTAATTGCAAACGTTACCAAATGAAGCCATGTTTTGCGTCAAACAAGGGATGACTTCTTGTGTGTACAGATACTTGATCCTCTTTAAAACGGCCATCTCTTCCTCCCCCACTACTATTTTTGCAGCCTCTACAGACATGAAAATCAAAACAGAAATGTCACGCAGGAGAAGCTCACCAGTGCTCTAGCAAACCTGCATTACGTGAGATACGGCATCCTATCAGTTGTTCTTTAAAAACCTCTCCCTGTGCTGTTAGCCGTATGTGTACTTCCCCATGCTAAATGTGCTGTGCTCAGACTCTTCCAACTCAATCCATTTTAAAGCCTTTAAAGATGTAATTACACTAATGCATTTCATTTAACATCATTTCTATCCCCGTGGCTAATTTAAGACCAATAAAAAAGGTCAGCTACTCAGTGCTAGGGACTGCACATCTAACGTCTCGAAGAGACTCCCTCTAGGAAACACATCTTTTCGAGAATAATGAGTAATGAGACAAAATTCGCTCTCTACAGATACCTTAAAGGAGGCTGTAGTGAGGTGGGGGTTGGCCTGTTCTCCCACGTGCCTAGTGACAGGACGAGGGGGAATGGGCTAAAGTTGCGCCAGGGGAGTTTTAGGTTAGATGTTAGGAAGAACTTATTTACTGAAAGGGTTGTTAGGCACTGGAACAGGCTGCCCAGGGAGGCGGTGGAGTCACCATCCTTGGAAGTCTTCAAAAGACGTTTAGATGTAGAGCTTAGGGATATGGTTTAGTGGGGACTGTTAGTGTTAGGTTAGAGGTTGGACTCAATGATCTTGAGGTCTCTTCCAACCTAGAAATTCTGTGATTCTGTGATTCTGTGAAAATCAGGCCCACCAAGCTCAAAGGCCTCTTTCTGTTTGGGTATAGCACAGTGAACTTCACAATGAAGAGAATAGATTGTGGTCAGGCAATTGCAAGCAAATTACAGCTACGTGTATGTGTGCTCCTCATCCATTGCCTTAGGAACAAATCTAAAACCCAAACACATAAAAGTGTATGACGTTGATTTTTGCATCTTCTGACATTTGAAATCCTAGGAAGATGCTGCACTGCCGTGCTTCTCTCCAGAATACCCGTTTGCTGCCTCCAGTATTCAGTTCATGTCATCTCTCCCTGAAATTCACCAGAAATGCTTTCCTGAATGTGAAGGTAAGTGTCAGCCTCCCCTAGCTGGAACTGATGTTATGTTACAAGCCGAGCCCTCTGACCTGAACAGTTCACCCGGGAGCTATAATTAATACCTTGACTAAACATAACGCCCAGGCTACCAGGAAAGACGTCCAGAACGTCCACGAAGCTCCTTATAGGGCTGAGATAACTGTCAGCAGCAGGCTTTCTGGCTCTAGACAACGTTCTTATTATAGCAGCGTCTCCACTGGAGACACCGTGCCGAGGACTGACCTTCAGCCAAGCTGCCAAGGGGCAGCCCTCACCTCTCTCCCGAGTCCTCTTCAATGCTGCTGCCAACCTGCACCTTCAGCAGCGTAGCCTCTCTGGACATTTTTCACCTTCATTAAGTTTGTTTTTCTGGTCTCGGGCTTACAGCGATGACGTTTTTCACAGCCCGAATTAAACAATTTGTTTGGGGTAGAAGGCAGCATGTGGTAAAGGAAACATCTTTTCAGTTGCTGCTCTTTTAATTCTCTCATATACAAATTAAACCATAATCGTGAGTCATTCTGGGGTTTGGTTTCCCATTTTTTCTCTTCACATGCTCACTGCAGCATCACCTGGCTTTAAAAACAGCAGAAGGGAAGGCAGCTGAGCCATCTGCAGTCATTACAGCAAAAATTAAACACCAGCACTAATATTCAACAGCTGAAGGAGAATAACCAGAAGTGATTTGCACTCCTATGAGTCGAGCATGACTCATATATTGACAAATAAAGCTAATGCAGAATAACTGCACCTTTAGGCTCCATTATTATGGTCATAAAATTTTGGGTAATACTAAGGGAGGATCTTCACCTTGTAGCAGCCATTTCAGGGAAGGAAGAATAAAAGAATTTCAGTACCAGTTACTGAAAAGAATTACTTGGCAAGCATTTCCCAAACCAAAGCCTATGGTAAGCTTTTTTTTCTTTTAAAGTTTTCACCCCAGCAGTTGTCCAATCCTAAGTGAGTAAAGCAAGAGTGAATGAATCCAACACGTGCATGTGATGCCATGAGCAAGATTGTGAGGAAAGATGGAAAAAATTCACGCTCACAGCAGAATATTTCTGGGATTATCTGAGGGAGCGGAGCTGGGGATCACCCAGGTTATTTGGAAGTGAAGGGAAGGGTGAGCGAAGGCAGAGCTTTCTGCTTTGGACCAGACGGGCTCGAGCCCTGCCAAACCTCTCTCCTTTTGTTACATGACACTGAGTGTGTGGGTATGATGTGAGGATTAGCTAAAGAAAGGAATGCAGCTTAGAAGTAAGCAACTGCTTGTACACTTCAGGCAAAATTCACTACCCACAGCCTGGTCGCTCTTGGAGCTATCCCAAGGCTGCAGTGCTGGCATGCACTTCTGGAAAAGAAGAAAATATGTAAGGAACAGCTTCTAAACTGTAACAGAAATACAGTGTGCGCTTCAGTCTTTGAAATCAGTGAGGAGGAATGTACAAAACAACATTAACGAAAAGCCAAATATCAAGCCAGACAAAGAGCTTGCAATGCAAACTTTCCATACGGAACAAGAACTAGACCAGCCAGGGCAGTTTTGAGTCATAACTCTGAGTGGGTAACATTTTTCTAATAGCTGCATAGGAACAGAGTTCAAGAGGTATACCGAACCTGGAATGAAGAGCTTTATGACCTATGGATGGATGCATGGTGGCATGCATGGATCCAACATGCTGGAAAAGACAACATTTTCACCTTCATCCATTCATTCCCTGCTGGAAGAGCTTGAATCTTTTGGATCTTTTATGTAAAAAGGCACAGCTAGCAAATGCTGACAGGTATCACTGGCTTTGTGCCAACATGTTACCTACTTTTTATTTTGGTGAGGCTGATGGCTAATAGCTTTCACTTAATTTTCCTTGAGCTCTATCCTGGCCAGTAGAGCGGACAGAAAAAGCAGAAAAGCTACAGGGAAATGCCACGAAAGTCACAGAACAAGTCCCTCTTGTTGGGAAAAAAGCTCCACTCAGATAAATCACGAAGCTTCATCCTGTTGATATATAAAGGTGCATCCTAGGATGCCTTACAGTCTTCTGGCACACCTGCCATCCAGCAGCACTGTGCACGGGGCGTTGTATATGAAACCATCACTTCAAAATGCCACCAAGAACTACCTAAAATCATCTAAAAGGCCCACTTGCTCTGTCTGGCCCCATCAGAGGCAAGGTGCTTGGCAAGCTGGAGCTGCTCCTGAGCCCAGAGAGCAAGAGGCAAGAGGCATGCGGGTCTCCGGAGGTCACCGTGCCTGCCAGCGCTGCATTTTGTGGAGCAGCTGTGAGACCACAGGAGGAGAGAAACGGAAGGGCAACCCGCTCCTGCACCCTGTGAACTTTTCTCCCTGATGCCTGCACGTTGGCAATTTTTAGCGAGTGGTGGCACTCACGTGGGATTTAGCTTTCTCTCCCCTGCAGAAGTATTTCCACGAGTAAACTCAGTCCAGCGCGACAGACTGCACTCAAAGGAGAACCTAATTAGAAGGAGGAATAACGAGCGATCACATTACATTTTCTGTAAAGAACACCTTTGATAAGATGTTATCAAAACACGTGAAGTCAAAAGCAAAACTAAATCCACAACTTCTGTTTACCCAACCGATGCTGCCAGAGCAACCAAAATACTAATTGCTCTAATCATCGAAGCCGAACCAATTCATTGAAATCACAGATTATGGCAAGGAAGCAAGCGTAAGAGGAACACCAGTAACTGCTCAGTTTTCCGTCATGCAGGCAGCTACCTCCGGTAATTCAGAGTCACGGGAGGTGATAATCAGAGTGAGCAAGTCAAACCGAATTGCTCTGCAGCTATTACGCAATCTCGAAGACAAGGGGTGAGCGAGGAGGCATGAAAAAAAAAAAAGGGTGTGTTCATTGTGAGCTATTTTAACCCCTAAAGCAATGAAAAGTGCGGCACAATTGAAAAGCCAGGCCTCCAGTCATTTGGATATCTCCAACTAGGGTGCAACACAAATTCCAAGTATCGGAGTATTAAAATGTAAGCATGAGGCGTATTTTTGCTGGCTGGGAGTTGCTATAATTAATAACGTTAATAACGCAATGCTACATTTACATGGACAAATCCTCTCTTCAATTAGAGCACCTAGCAGATGAGCCAAAGTGTTTTTTTAATTGGGAGTTACAAAGCGTCTGATCCAAACAAATATTTCGAGGTCCCAACTCTTTATTATTCCAGCAGAGCTTCTAACCACAACAATGACGAACCGTACTTTTCTTGTGGCTGAACATTTATTTTCAAGCTCTTGCTGATTTAATACATTGGTCTATCTTTTTTTTTTTTTTTTTTTTTTTTTAACCAATATATTGAATAATTCCTGCTGGAGTTGCTGATACTGGCACCACAAGGAAGCAGAACATCTCCCTACAGACAGAGGTTAAGTAAATGTTATTGTTTGCGATGCTATTAAGAAATGCTGCCAGTGGAAATCAAATCTGCGGTGGCTTCCAGTTACAGAGCTTTTCTTTCTGCCTTTCCCAGTGCCCTGAGGGGGCTGAAAGCCCAACAGGGTCTCTAGTTCCCAAAACTGGAGGAGACCCGTGGCCTCGCACAACTCCCAAAATGTGGCAGCTCAAAAGCTGAGGCAGGCGCTCAGCCTTACCGCACTGCCGTTGTTTTGTTGTTTTTGTTTGTTTTTTTTTTTCATGTATTTCTTCTTATACTCACCTACGAGCTTTGCTGCGCGGAGCCTATCCCCCCAAGGCTCAGTGGGCCGTAGGAATGTGCTTATGTCTCCTGTTTTCATCTGCGAGGGAGTCTTTGTGCCTGAGATTTTGGGGCACATCCACATGCCTTCCAGCCGGGAGCCGGTGTGCACAGGCAGGCGGGAGCCTGAATGGACCCGGCAGAAGGCTGCCTGCACCTACCCACGCAGACGTACCCGTCAGCTTCGGCAGCACAGCCCAAAGGGGCCAAAAGGGTTTCTGCCAACATAGAAACCATCCACGGTGCTTTCTGCACAGGAGAACGGAGCAGTGAGCTGCCCGGGTGACTGACAGCCACCGCATGAACCTTGCCCATTGATCAAAGTAATTTTAAGTGTAGTTATTAGAAATATAATTGCCCCTGCTTTTCCCAATGCCTTGTTTTAGCTTGGAAATCGATATTATCAATTTTTCAGAGGAATCACCATATTTCTTATGAAGTGCATGAGAAAAGATGGGAAACGTGCAAAACCAGCGAGCATGCTGCCACTGCTAAGTGACTCCTAATGATTGATCAGAAATGTATGCCTACAATTTCCTTTGCATCCTGTTTGCTGAGAAAAGTGAGAAAGAGTAGCTCAGCACAGAGCTAGTTTTTTTTTTTTTTCAAAACCCCATTTCTAAAGACAGGGAGAGACAAGATTTATCAGCGATGTTTGCACCAGATCAATATAGCTGGAAAAGAACAAGTCTTTTCCTCTGTGCTGAAAACACAATAATAATAATAATAACAGCAGTAATGAAGCAGATGATTTCTCAGCTGGCATGCAGATCGATGAGGGCCACCTGTGCTCCAGGCAGGGCAGTGATGGTGCTCAGGGCGCTTCCAGCTCTGTGCCCAGGGAGCATCCTGGACAACCTCAGTTCAAGCCTCCATCAGGCAGGGAAGAGAGCATCCCTGCCCCAGCAGAGGCATAAACCAAGCACCTTCTTTCACTGTGTACATTCAAGGAAAGGGTGAGCTGTCAGACCAGCTTCGACATGAGGTGGCCAGGCTCCAGTTCCCTATAAAGCCATTAAAGCCACCAGGAGGAGGGGACGTGCCCTCAGAAGGCAATTCCTTCCATACAAGCTTTCTATGAGGGTGATGAGTGTGGGGCTTGCTATTTATGGCTGTGGGTGGCCTCAGTTTCCTCCATCGGATGTGCTGGTGCTCCCCAGCCCCCTCGTGTCCTCACTGCTGCTGGTGGGACAGCTCAGCTGCTGGGTCACTACGCTGCCAAAGCAGCTGACTAAGTGGGAACGAGCGAAACCATGCATTAAATCAAGCTCTGCTGCTTGTGAATTAGGCCCTGTATGTTGCCAGAGCTGTGTGAGATGAGTTCCTCTCAAGATGACCCTGGCACCTACTTGCTAAAGCAGGACTCTGCTGGAGAGACTCTGTGAGGTGTAAAAATGCATTTATCAGCTCTTACTCTACGCTGCAATCTGACAAACTAGGAAACCTAACAGCAAGAGCCAAACTGTATTGCTGTGCTCCTTCCTGGAAAACACCGAGGGAAACATGCTTAGAGACTGACTCATCATAAACCGAGTAGCAGACCTGAAAGACAGCAACGGGGGTCAAACCTTTGGCTGAAGCAACACCAATGGCCACAGATGCAGAAGCTGAAGATTGGCTTCCCGTTATGGAGCTCAGAATCCCACAGCACGCGACCTATCACGAAGTTATGTCAACATAAGACATTAGTTTTATACCTCAAAAGATCCAGAGCTGCAATTACAGCCGTATTTGCAGCACGGAGAGGCTGCAGACGTCATGTATGGCTTCAGCAGACGGTGATTTTAACTATTATTTTTTTAATACAGAAATTCTCAGAGGATGCCCTAAGAAGATGAGCAACTCAAGCACATTTTGACCCAAGATCAGAAAAATAGGATAGTTTAGGATAGTCAAACCGGGAAAGAAGCTTAGGGTAAACTGCTCCTCAGGGGGCTGATGTTACCTAGCACGTTTGGATTCATGTGCACCTTCCAGGAAGTAAAAAAAAGAAGCTAAACAAAGAGCTGGGGAGAAAAACTACAGGAGGGCAGGCAAAGCCAGGGAGGATGGCAAGCTGTATTCAGCAGAGATGAAAGAAACCTCCTGTCTTTCTTGTGGACTCTAGATACTCCGAAAGTATGTGCTAAGGACAGGCATCTAAGTGTCACTGGGCTGGGGGTGGACATGAAAAAAGCCAGATGTTTCCAGTTTTAGAAAATTAAAGGATTTTTCCTCTTCACTCCTTTTGCTCCTTGCCCTGTTGTTCTGTCATTGTTTTGTATTTACAGTGCCTCATCCTTTTGTCGTGGAGAATGCAGCAGAAACCATAAAACCAGGCTGCCTGGCAACACAGGCTGAAATATAACAAAACGGGTTAGGAAGAAGCAAGGTCCAGCTCGACCATGCACCCGCTGAGCTGCCAGCAGTACCAGAGGAGCCCTCTCCTCCGCGGCACCGTGCTGGCAGCATCCTCTCAGCCACGCTCTGCTCGCCTCCTGCACCTCACGCACCAGATCTGGGTTGTAAAGGCCTCGATTTGGCATTTCCTCTGCTTGCATTTTATTTCGTAAGACTGATCCTTGTCTCGTATTTGTCTTGAACAGGAAGAAGCTCAGGAAAGGATCAAAACACCCAGATTTACGCCACCGGTGCAAGGCAACCTCCCCCTGTCCACAAAGGGCTCCATTCCCACCTTGGCCACGCACACAGCAGGCGGCTGGAGGCAAGAGAAACACCAGGGCTTATTTTCATATGTAAGCTTTAAAAAGCAGCTTTCGCTTCCGTAACTAGAGTCTTCCTTACAGCTAGTTTTGCATAAAGGAAACTAAGCACAAATAGTCAAGAGTCTCTGCGCATCTTTCTCTAGCAAGTGTGAGTAGTCTTCAGTCTATAATCATATGAGTATGATACTATTAATGCTAGTGAAAGTCCATCTAAGCAATCAACTCAGAATTAATACTCTATATAGATGCCAAGGACACATATCAGAGCCACAAGGTGCCACATTCCTAGAAGTGACTCAATATTTCAGGTATATTGTGGCAAATAACCTCAATAGGCTACCATAATATATTTTGCCACAATATTTTTAAAGGGAGGTGCTCAGCAAATCCCCCAAATCTGACCTCCTGTCCTTCTGGAACTGCTAATCAGGGTAATGAGAGTGCAGTGCCAAAACCCATGTAAGTTACAAACCCCTCCAATGTGATGCATGAGTGTCAACAATGAAAAATAATCTATAAATAAACCCCAAGAAAAGGCACTAGGGGATAGGAAGCGCTTCCTCTGCGACGATGCTTTTGTTAGCATTTACACAACAATCCTTTTCCGGGGAGCCTGAAGTGGAAGCCGACGGCTTTTGCAGGGGTTGGGGGGAATTAAAAAGAAATTCAACCTCGCATTTTCACTTGCTCATGTTGTTCACAACCCCTCACCCTTTCTGCTCCGAGCAGAGGCTTTGTGAAAATTCCCCGCGCCGGCTCGCGAGGCGGGCAGCCCCGTGAGATAAGCCCAGCCACCGACCGAGCGAGCGGCTTTCCGATTTTCGGGTGCCCTTCCTGCCCCGAGGTCAGGCCTTCTTCACCTCCACAACCAAGGTGCCCGACCTCCCCAAAAGCCCTGGGGAGCTGCCCAACCCCTCTGCCCTCCCCGGCGTGGTGCCAAAATGGGTTTCACACCACACCAGGCCAGGTCCTGAGGTGACAACCTCTGGCTCCCTCCCGCCAGCCGACGCCACACCGCTGCTGCCCGGAGAGGAGGCACACCACCACCGGGACCCCGCGTGTCCCCTCTCGTCCCTCCTGTGCCTTTCCCCCGAGTGCTTCGGGGCTGTTTCTCCACACACGTGTGGAGCAGCGCTGGCATTTTGCTCTCTGCAAGCCCCGACGCCGTCGCCAGCCGGCCCTGCCCATGGCCCTGCACTCACCTCAGCTTCTCCTCCTGCCAGCCAGGCTGCCCCACGCTATCCGGACGATCCCGTCTCCTCCTGTACAGACCCGACTGTGACAGCTCTTTCAGCTGCAAGGCCGTCATATTCCTCTACCTGGAAGCTTGTTGCTTTTTTTTTTTTCCTTTTGGTAAGGGTTGGGGGGTTGGCTTCGGCTTGGATTTCTCCCCCCCTTCCAGATGTGGCTGCCAAGATGCCCGGAGAGAAGCGGCTCGGCGCCTGCACACCTGCACCCGCCGGAGCCGTGAAACCTCCGCAGGCAGGCAGGCAGGCAGGCAGGCAGCCGCTCGGCTTCCTGTTCCTCATAGGTACACACCCTCCTGCAGGGCACCACGTTTCCTTGATCACTTTATCACACCTCGGGGATGGCCGCCACAAGCTCACCGGGCGCCCCAAGGGGCTCTGCTGTGCTCCCACCCGGACAGGAGCAACTCCGGCATGCACCGTGAGAACACCGCAGCCCTTCCAGAGCTGTCTGGAAGTAGCCAAAAAAGAAAATCCACCGGGCTGTAATGAGCTAGAAAGTCTTCCCCACTGTAATTTACCACACAAAGGAGCTCATTAGTGCTATAAAAGTGCGGAGCTACTCAAGCATGCCAGCAAACTCCAGCACAGAGATTAATCCAGCAAAAAAAATTGTGCGGCAAGGAAACTTCAGAAATCAGCACTAAAACACTCTTTTGGAAACACAGCAACACTGTGCTTGTCAGACAATCACCTTTTTTTTTTTTTTTTTCTTTTTCTCCCCTGCTCCTGGCTACCAGAAGGTAGCCGACAGCTCTTTGTCACATTTTGCAGTGATGGAGCGTCCTGTGTCGCTTGCAAAGCAGGAATGAAAATGTTGAAGGTTTCCTGTGAGACAGGAAGGCGGCTAGCAGAGATTTGCAAGCTGCGTGCCTCATCTCGGTTAGTAATAAAAAAGTCTTCATTTGACTGGGAAGGTTTCAAAGAACCTTACTCCTATTTCAAAAAAAAAACAATTAATTCGAAGCTTCTTTGATTCTTGGCACATAGGAGTCCTGAATTCACCATGTTCACTTCTGCGATGAGTGTGGGGGAGGAGACGGGTTGGGTTTTTTCAAATCAACTCCCATTTAATAAAAGCAGAGAAACCTAACAATTTGCAATGAGTGTTGAGACCAGGACAGGAAACAAGATCTACATGGCGTCAATCTCACGGTTTATTGTTAAAGTGCTTATTTTGTAGTGGAATACACACAAGAGAGCATTACTGTAATTCTTGTAAGAGAGAAGTGCAAGGTGTGTACTAATGAGCATGTCACTCGCTATCAGTTTTGTCAAGATTACCAGACAGAACGCCAGCCCAGGAATTTTAGATAATATTTTCAATGTCAGTCTGGAATGTCATCAAAATATAATATAAAACACCACACAACGGAAAAATAATAGAAATTACTCTGGCATCATATAACATGCCAAATGGATGATAGTTAGAGAGATCCCAAGTGATTTATATGATGTTAGAAGGCTGCCCGCGTTGAAGTGTCAACAAGAGCTATATATCCGTACTCTTGTCCGCAGAAAATGAGAAGGATCGGTCACAATATTTGCCTAAACACGCTGCATTCCAGTTTCGAACAAAGTACTTAAAATTACTTCACAGTGCACACAATAGGATGAGCTTAAACATAATTAAACGACAGCTCCCTGCAGTCAGCCAGTGACTCAGTGAAAAGTTAATGCTGTTACAGGCGGATGTTCAGGATGGAGGATGACAGATGCCCGTGGCACAGCAACATTTACACGTTATCAACAGTTTTTACTGTGCTTTAAATACCAGTGTAGCAAAGACAGATCTTTGTCCAAACAATTTCAGGTAATAGCAATCTAAAAAGTGAAGACAGAGTAGGTTTTTGCTATGGAGAAGCTCTTTATAAACTAATAAAATTCAACTATTACCTAAATTTCTTCATAACATTTTATTGACTACAGTAGCAGTCTCTTCAGTGTACTTTTGTATTAATCATGATACGAGTCCATCAAAAAATAACAGAAAAATCTTCCCTGGCTTTGCTGCAAGTTGCATTAGTGTGAAGCAGCATTAAAATCCAGCTTTATCTGCGTGGACAGCCGCTGAAGCTGCATGGCCTACAGGACATCAGCTTTTACAAAATGTGCTTTGAAACCTCACTTGCACCAAACTGGTATTATCGAAATTTAAAATCTGTATCAGCAGAGAGAACACATAAATGAAAGGAATACAAGAAGTCCAGGCACAAAAATGAATTGTTTGTTACAGAGCTGCTTGAGATCAAATGGCCTCAATCCAAAGGAGGGCAAGATGGTTATTTTTTAAAACAGATGTGGTAGGCAACTCCACAGCATGCATTTTTAACCGGCTTCTTCAGCAAGCCTTGATAGGGGTCTAGGCTGCTTTAGAAAAGACTTTCTTCTTGGAGGACTTGAAGATAAGCTACAAGCTGTCTGCAAGAAGAAATCCAAGCGGAATTCCTTTTCTGCCCCGTGGGATCCTACACCAATTCTCACAGACAAGGCTTCAGATCTTAAATTACTCAACTGTTAAGTTCCGAATATCAAACACACATTGTAAGGGTGGTTGTCAGCGAGGTGCTGGAGAATGCAAATGACTTTTCTCCACTAACTTGCTGTAAGGTTTCCCAAAAGCAGTTCAGATGGAGCTAGCTCAGCAGGAAGAATTTCCCAAGCGAGTGCCTCCTGCTCCCCCCACCTTCTCTTACCTTCCAGCCTCTATCTCCTGTTTATAATTCAGTTTTAAGAGATTACATTCTTACATTCCTCCTGCATAGGATGGGGCTACTTGGATCTTGCACATTCCAGGGGAATTTTTGAGGACCAGCCAAGTTGCCACAGCTCCTCTTGTTACCAGCAACACACAGCCTCCTTTCATCTTCTGCACTTTGAAGATTCATCCTTCATTTCTGAGTGTGTGCCTCTTCACTCACGCAACCGGCCTTCCTCCCTCCCCCAAAAGAAAAAGTTCTGCCTACGTCGCTGCTGCAATCTGGTTGATAAGCACAATGCTGTCGATGTTTTGTTAGAGGAAAATATTCATCTGTGTCTAAGTACCAAAAGACAGAACCTAAAGTGAAACTATGCGCAAGTCCTTCATCCACCCCAAGCTATAAATGTCTTTTTGTTACGTGTTACAAGGGTCACCCTTGAGTTTTCACTTCAGTCCTACAAGGCATTTATCTTGATATGTCAAGCCTGAATTTCACTGATATCTCATGCCAGCGAAGTGTTTTGCAAGTGTTTGTGCTTGCAAGTGTTTTGAAACATCGCTCAAAATTCCGAGCAAGTGCCCTTGCTTTGGGGACTGTGGGTATTCAGCAGGACTTTGGAATTGAAAAATCATTTGAGACAGGCTGTGACTTGTTACTTTTCACTATGTTCAAAGGGACAATCTATGATGACCCCATGTTGTGAATTTAGGAATAATAACCATTTTTTAAAAGTACTTTTAATTCAGTGCATTTCCTCGTGAGTTCTCATTTGCAGAGTACACGTTAACTACAGAGATTAGGAAAGACAAGGCTTTAGTGTTCTTATTCCACACAGAGAAGCCTTTATCAATGTTATTGATCTTCTTTTTCCGCTTCAGTGGCACAGTCTTGTACTTTTTTTTAACTTTGAACAGACGACCCAACTTCAATTAAGTTTAGTTTGAAGATTTTCGAAGTGATAGAAAAAGCTGTTTACAGGGCAGAACAAAAGGTCAAAAAAATAAATCCAGAGAGCATCACGAGAAGAGCAAGCAGATGCCTGCACCCACAGTTAAAGGTGGCAGCTCACGGTTTGCTGCCTGGTGTTCCTCTGCCCATGGAGAGAACGGTGCCAGCAGCAAAGCCAGCATCAGGCCAGCATGAAGCATCCCTGCGGCAAGCAAAGGAAGATGTTGACAACTCTTCTGGCAGGTTTGTAGGAGCCAGCAAATTTTGTGATGCGCCAGCAGCAAGCGAGGTGCTGAATGACACTGTGGTGGCGAGCCCTGGGTGACAACGAATGCCTTGGGTCGCTGATGAAGCAGATGAAGATAAAAGGAAAGGAGCGGAGAGAAATCAAGCCACAGATCTACGCACGTGAACCTTGAAAAGGAAATTTCAAAGCTTCACAGGAGCCTAAATGGTTGATTCAAGGAGCTAAATAATTAACTAATTACATGTTTCCTTCCTTGTGCCTAATGGGACTCCCACATCTGTTTTGATGTCTCGTGCCCTGCTCCACTTTGCAATCAACCAATCCCAAAATGTGCATATTTAATCTGAGGATGGCACTAAGAGCTGAGGTGCTTTATCCACGTATGCTGCAAAGCACTGCTATGGATTTATGTCCAGTGATCAAGTGCTACTGCCATCATTTGCCAGCAGCTGCTGGTTTACCTTAACCTCTTCTAATTCTGAATACCATAGAAAACTACGTGGTGATGTGCAAGCGTGGGAAAAACCTTCTCTCCATCTGGACTCGAATCAAGTTATTTCAGCTGCCTCCTGCGAGCTCTGCACCCCCTGACCTTCTGCCCAAAGGATGCATAATCCAGGGCAGAACACATAATTTTCTCCAGCAAGTGGAAAGCTGCTCGAGGATGTGCTTAACAATAACTCCCTCTGCTGGGAAAACGCTGCCTTCTTGCTCAGTTCCAGCATTTCTCTCTCCAGCTGGAGGGATCGGAGTATTATCCCAAATTCACTTTAGTAATTCACACTGGGGCCAAGCTGAGGACAGAAGGGCATGACAGACCAGCAGCTGAAGAAGCAGGTTATTATTACAACCAGACATGTATGCTGTTAATCAGTTGATGATCAATGCATGAGTAAGAGTGCAAGGAAAACATGTGACATGGCATGAATCAGTCTTCCCTGCTGTTTGTAAATAAGCCTCTAAAAAAAAAAAAAGTGATAAACAAACTGGAAAGCAGTTGGAGGGTTCAGATGGACATAAATAGTCATACGGACCCTGACCTCACAGCATAAACATCTTAAAAAAAGGGCAAAGAAACAAAAGATAGGGAGGTGAGGGTAACAAAGCCAGCAAGTTCAGGATTTTAATCCATTTTAATAGGCTGGGATACGTGTCAAAACACAGGTAAGGCACGGATGCAATTCCGAATCTGCATTTCTAGAAAGAGAACCTTCCCTTCGGGAGCATTTTACTGTCTCAGTATTAAAAGCCTCTTCCCAAAAGAGATTTTATTTTCAAACCTTCTCAGGAGGACAACCTGAGAAGTCTTATTTTTAAGACTTCCACCAGCACCCTGCTACCATAGATCTATCCAGAATCTCTCTTCTATTGTCATGAGATAAAACACCACTGAAAACGGGGTTAAAAGCCCCTGAAGCCAGCTGGTTCCCCAGGTACACCCTACAAAAGGCCAAGAAAGCCTCAACAACAACAACAACAAAAAAAGACAACAGAAGTAGAACCATAAAATGGGTGGCAAGTGAAGGAAGCACTCCGTGTTTCAGCACTTTGATGGCTGGTTTTGTGCCCCAAAAGCCAGCGAGCCCCTCGGGAACCACAGAAAGGATGGATGATCCAGTCCAGGAGGGCATCTAACAAGACCTGGTTTTGCAGGACAGTGAGGGAGAGATCTCAAAACAGGCCCTGGCTGACTTTTCCCCTTTGCTGAAAGAATGGGAGCATTAAGGATTTCTTCATTTTTCTCCAAAATGCCACCAATCGAAGTTAAATAAACAGGAACAAAAAAAAAAAAAACAGCTGCCTAAAAACTGGTTCCTCTTTTGATTGCCCAGTAATGAATTCTCCTCGGCCCTTTGATTTCTGTCTAACAAATAATTTTCAAATGACTAATGCTGCACTGCAAGCAGAGAAAGACAAAGTTCTCATCGAGATTTCATAACTTTTACACTGAAATGAAAAGAAACCGGCAAAGGCGGAAGATTGTGTGCTCCCTTTGAGAAGGACAGAAGAGCTCCTGGTGGCCCTCACAACACGGACATGCTTGAAGACACCACCACCACCACCACATAGGCACCACCACCATAAACACCACCACATAGACAGGCAGGGTGCAATGTTCAGTCACTCAAGAAAATCTTAAGTTTTAAGTATACACATTTGGGTTTCAAGGTTATTTGAACTTGTAATTGTTATCCATGAAAAAAAAAATCCATACAGGAAAATAAATTCACAGTGTGAAAGAAACAAAACTAATTCGTCCTGAAAATTATGAATAATGGAAAATGGAAACACTCACCCTTTAACACTGCAAACATTACTTTGAGATTCAGCAGAGAAAATAAAAATATAACCTCATACAGATTTTTCAAAACATTTTAAAGCACATGAAAAGCATTCTTAAGACTTCTATATTACAGGAAATGTCTTACATCCAAAAAGCATCAATGCCCCACCTGAGAAGGTTTACTTCACTGGCAAAGTGACTGACTTTTGAACATAAAGAACTCCCTCAAATTGCACCAGAAGAGACACAATTTTGGCACCAGGGCGGACAAATCCATTCCTTCCACTGAAATTACACTTTCAGATTCAGCTCGTCTGTGGTGGTCTTTCCAAAACACATCCTCTTCACCACCCTGATTGGCACAACCAACACCCCACTGCTCAGTACGGTCAGAGACGGCATAGATCTGCAAACCAGCCCTGAATCCTCTTTCTGCGAGCCTGCATGAGGACAAAACAGTTTCCCTAAAATCCTTCCAGATGAGCAACAGCAAAAAGCGTACTGGGAACACCACGGCACCTCTGTATATTTTGAGAACGACGAAGGACTCTGTTCAAACCTCTATGAACAGTGCCACTCGCTTCTAGTAGAAAGTCAACCCAGCAAGCTGAACTATTACTTATCCTCCTCCTAATTTCATTTATCACTGTTCCCATACATGGCTCCTGCTCAAAGCAATTTCCCTGCAAACAACTGAGAGACCGTATAACGTGTAGCCAAACTTTTGGCTCTAAAAACAGCGTGGCTTGCATTCCAGCAAAAAGCAGAGACAGACCCAAGAAGATACGGGTGGGCACTTACTGACAGGGTGTATCCTCGCCGGCGGCAGGTTCACAATAAGCAGCCCTTCCCATATATAGCTTTACAATGAATACCCACTGTTTGCACGTTTTCCCCGTGGTTATTACTGGTAGTTGTGATAAAGAAGAAAAAAAAAAGTGACTTAGCAAACCACTTCCTTTTTTCACGCTGTAAAAAAAAAAAGTGATGCAGCGAAGAAGACAACAAATACATCAAAGCTCACAGTTTAGGCTCCACAAAATCCATCGCACAAATTGTCCACCTGAAAACAACCAAGGAGAGAGAATCAAGCAAATCCTTCCCCCAAAAGGAATAGTATAGCTTAATTTTATCACCTGCATTTTTAAAATGACAAAAGTACTAAAGCCTGGAGAGGGAACAGCCAACAGCTGTAGGTCCACTTCTTGGGATCATTCAAGTATTCTCATCTTATATGTTTCCTGATGCTCCAGGGACTGAACATGAATGTGGTGACTTCTGTCCCTTCTGTGGTTTACCTTAACTTGTGGCTTTCTGTGCTCTCACAGCAGTCCTCGGGTTGATCAGCTCATGCTTAGAGGGCAAACTGTGGCTGATTCCAGCACAGGGTTTCAGAAGGGGACCATGTGTCTGCTGCATGGTTGTCTCCAAGGGTTTCCTCATTTAGGAGTTAAAAAGCAAAGGAACAGGCAACAACACCATGCATAAATCCAGAAATCTTAAGAGATATGAGTCACAGCTGGGAGTAGCAACACCTAAGGTCACGGGTGAGCACTGAGCAGCAGCGCAGTGGCACCCTACACCACAAACACCTCTGCCAACGTCAAAGGGAAGGAGAGAACTTCTCTCCCCACTCTCCCACCCACTTCAAAATGAGGAAAACCCTTTGACTTTCTTCTTTTCTGAGGTGAAGGCAGACAGCTTCACTCCATCTCTTGGAAGACCACCTCCTTCTCTGCTAGCCTCAGCACTGGGCAAGGACTAACTGGGAATGGAAAACAACCACTGCCTCCTAAAGCAGCTCACAACCTACATGGCTGAGCAGGAGCTGAGCTGCAGCTCTGTTGTGCTGACACTGCCCAAGTGCAGTTTTCCTAAAGCACTCTGAATCTGTTGAAACCATTTCAAAGACCCCAGGCAATCCTTTACAGGTCCAAGCAGCAGTCCCCCCACGACACACAACATTTCCCTGCCACCTGCTGTACACCCAAGAGCACCTGCCAGTGATGGGGATGCAGAAGCAGGATGACAAAAACTGCGTATGGGGAAGGTTCATGAGGCCACAGCCTCCACAGAGGACATGCATCTGGGCAGAGCTTCCCCTGAGCTCGACTCACACAGCAGTATGGCTCCAGGACACATGCCAGAGGAGATCTAACAAGCAGCAAAGTCCACTGCATGCTCTTAATGGAGTGACTTGTGGCCTGCTTACAGAGAACAAACCGTGAAGAATACATTTTCATATGCTTTCTTCCATTTAATAGTGGGTTGGACAGAGCAAGTCAAACAGTTTCTAAAGGTTTCATATTTTCTAACCACAAGTATCTAACCCTCCTCACACTATTCAACCACATACTGACAATAGGGGTTGCAAAATATTCTTGTTTAGCTTATAAAGGAATTGAAGAAAATTGCTGTTCTTTTCTTGATTGCTCAGAAGGGTATTTATCAATTGGTGCGTTTATGGACAAGACTGCTAACATTCCTGTCCTTTTCAGATCAGTGCTTGTTTTACAAAACAGAAGTTAAAAGTAAGTACAGAATGGGAAAACATGACTTTGATTCTCCAAAGCAGTGAAACTGAGCAGGGCCAGTCTTTGATTTACAGCAGCATTTAATGGAGAAACTGATGTGCTGCTTTGAGACACAACATTTGTGCTGGGATTTGACAGTGGCCCTAAATAAATAGGTCTATTTGGGTATTTAAAACTGTACTTAGTATACTGTTGTGTATTTATCTGCAATATTCAATGAATTTCTGAAGTCTGTTGCACAATGCCTTGCCTTTTAGGGCCTTCTTGCAAGATTTTTGTCAGAAAATGCATTTATCTCATTAACCTTTCCTGAATATTTTGTTTCCATGCACCAAAAAATACTATTCTATAACAACAGATACTAAATTTGCTTTTTCTTCTCCACTATGTTTCTCTACACTCTCCTTCTTGCTATTTCTGTCTTTAGGCCACTTAACCTTATCAGTAACCCTTTTCTCTGGACAAATTAACAATGTAAGTTATCTTTCCAAGCTGCTGTTTCCTATAACACCGCATAGTGCTTCCTCATTTGAACTCCTTATCTCTTCCTGTGAAGTCCCGCCAGCACAGAAACAGCGGCGAAGTCGTATTAAATTTATCACCAGACAGTTTACCAGACTAGGAGAAAGAATGCACCGCAGCTTTGTCTCTCAAAAGCAGCATGGCAAATGTCAAGGTAAGTGCAGTTTGTTCCTGAGGATACAAAAAAAAAAAAAAATATCACAATAAAGCAGTTGCAGCGCGGAATGAAAGAGAGGCCACTTGCTATTCCAGTGCGTGTTATTTCATATATTGCTCGTACGCCAGCAGGCCCACTTGCAAAGGAAGCCAAGGACAGTTGGTTGATTCATGGTGACTGTAAAAGCTGCATGACTGCATGGAAAATGCCAATAAGCATCTGTTAAAAGGGAACTAGGAAAACGCGCGTTAACTTTTAAATTAACACTTTTTTAAAAAAGAAACAAGCCTGAGTCACTTATTAAGGAATTTGGCCTGGGTAAACACGATTTTTCAGCTTTGTTTACTTCAGGGTAGGTGGTCCTATTGTATAACCAAGCCAAAACGTTGTGCTAAAAGAAAACTTGCAAACGACTTTACAGCAGGGAGCAGGATGAGGCCAGCCCTTGCTAACGTGCACTGCCCTGTCTCTGCGGTCTCTGCTTGCACAGACCAGGCATATAATGGGGAAGTGCAGCACGGAGCCACTGCAACCACCCCAGACGACCTCACGAGGTTGTGGCACTGAGCTTCCAGCACGAGCAGAAGAGGGGGTGGCAGGCCCTAAGGGAGAGGAGTGGGGCTGAGCATGGGCTAGGCCTGGAATTAGGCCGGTGTTGTAAAGCAAAGGTTGCTGATGGGAGGGAACTGCTTCAGTCCCACATTTCCCATAGGATTTCCCTTTGCTCTTTGAAGCAGAGCAGCAGCAGGTCCTCACAGCAGCTCCCCGCTAAGCTCTCAGAGGTGCTGGCATTGCCAGGGGCTGGTGGAGAAGGCAGGCAGACGCACCCTGCAGCTGCCAGCCCTGCCACCCCGAGGGGTCACCGCTCACAGAGCAAAGCAGAAGGAAGCACTTACTCATGTCTCAGCTGTTGCAGTCAGACATGAGATGACTGGGCTGGTCTAGGAGCTCACCACCACTGAAAAGGCAAAGTCTGGTTCCTTTTCTTAGGTTCCCCTGCTCTTCCTCCCGCAACCACCACGCTCCTTCCTCACCTCCAGCCCCAGCTGCAGGGAGCAGTGCCCTCCTTCGGGCCATCTCTTGCTCTCCCCGAGCTGATGCAACCCACCAGAAGATGACCTTTTTATGGGGGCATCTCCCCTGAGGTGGAGGGGTGACCCCATCCCTGCACCCCGCAGAGCTCCCCGCAGATGGAGCTGGAGAGCTGCGCACCACTGCGGGCTGCACTCCTCTCTCCTCCTCCTCCTCAGCCCTGCCCTGCTTGCTGCTCCCCCATCACATCATGATGCCGAGCAAGTATTTCGTGTCAGGAGCTGTCAAAAGCTTCCTCTTCTCTAACATGGATAGGAATAACAGGAGAGAAGCTTGACCTTTCCACCAGCTCCTGGAAGATGTGAAAGCTGCATTTCCCCCATTGAGCCCGGCAGTGAAACCACAGAATTTGCCCCAAAGCTAATGCAGTTTTGAATCCCTGAAGGCATTTATGTTCACCTAGCTGCCTACTTTGAATCTGCCCGTGGTCCTGCTTACTGTTACAATTCCCTTATAACGCCCAGGACTGCGTCAACCAGACCCTGAAGAGCCAGGATCCTCGTGGCCAGAAAGGGAAGAGATCCTCACCGTCATTTGTACCTCCTGCCTCCTTCTCGGTATGTGATGGGGGAAACCAAACAGCGGGGCTACAGCTGCCCAGCATGGCTGGATCGCTCCTCGTGGCCAGATCCTGACACTCGGGGAGGCACACGCGTGCAGGCAGCACGGCCGTCAGGGCAGGGTCCCACTTCTCCTCTGACTGCACCTCCCTGCCTGGCCACACCATCTCCTTTCTGGAGGACAAGCACACAGGAGGAGGCGATGCTGTTCGGTGAGAAGAGGGACTCTAGCTCCCGGATAGGGCTATCACGTTTCTCCTAATTCGCTCACGGAGACTGCAGACACATTAACTCACAACCAAAATAGATCTGCCATTCGTGGAAGCAATCCCATTCCCATGTTTCAGGAAAGCAGAGTGCACCAACTAGTGGATGCTGTGCTCTCTCTGGTCTTTTCCAAGTGCTTTTTAGGCTTTAACAAGGCCTCTCTGTTGTCCTCCTCTGGCAGGCCTGCTCTCAGGCTGTCTCAGTCATGAATACGCAGCCCTTTCAAACAAATCTAGGTCGGCCACCCTTTGTTTTTTGCATACAACATTTCCAAAAGACGATCTGCTTTTCAGTGCAAGCACATCATAATGCTAGGTCCTTTCAATACACCCTCCAGATCCCCTTTTTAGCATGCCACGGCCATTTGAATTCTCCTTCACAAGTGCTTCTCTTACCACTTCTCTTTGTGACACTTCAGCCTCTTCCTTGTGGAGCTCTCTCCAGCCTGCCACGACCACTCTGAATGCCTCTCCTGTGCCCGCCGAGGCTGTTGCAACCCCTCCTAGGTCAAGGGCACCTGTAGACTTCACAAGCTGTGTCCGGGTCACTGATCGAGTTATTGAATGCCAGTGGGAAATATTTTGGCTATGGAACTATAGCCATAGCCATGCACTGCCATAGCCATACATTGCTAGGGATCAAAGTTAGGCTTACTGGTCTTAAATCCTCCAGCAGTCTGTTTTTGCCACCTTTTTCAGATATAAATCGTGCATTCACTCTTCTGCTAGCCCTCTGGGGCCTTTTATATAGGCTCTCAAAAAGCATCACTAACAAGCATTACTGTGGTCTCTGTACTACTGCTGGCACCACAGGCACATGATTAAGCCAAAATATTACAGAAATTGTATCACACTGACATTAATGTTGAGAAAAGCATTCTTCCTGACCATTACTGCTGCACATTGCTATTATCTTTAAGGATTAAATGGTAACAGTGACAGCCAGGGGAAAATAAACAAAATTCAGTGCAAAAGGAAAGGCTATGTCTGTGGAATGGTATGGAGAGAGCAGAAGATAAATCCCCTTTAGGAACTTATTTACACATTTCATACTGCTCCTAGCTGCACTCACTGCCAGCTGTGTGAAGCTGGAAGCAGGCTGCACAACCAGCATCATGCTGTGAAACTGAAGCCCATGATGGAGAATGTCATTTATGGGCTCCCCTGTCCCCATCGAGACTTGGAAGAGGAAATGAGATAGTGCTGAATCCATGGCTCTTGCAGAACATCCAGCAGTAATACTCTGCTTAACACTATCCTTAACCACTTTCCTCCCAAGCTCTCTGGCCCCAGAGCTTGGAAGTTTCTCACATGGCACTGCAAGAGCTGTCCCATTATGCTTTTGCAAAAAGGACAGCAGCTTGGCTGGTAAAGGCAGAGCATGGACACTACCAGGTGACATTTATTATTTATGTGAATCTCACTGCATCTAACAGGTTTCTTGCTGAAGCATCAGCCAAGACAACATCTCTCTGGACCTGACTACTCATCCTGGGCTGCGCTACAGAACAGAAAAGAGAGCTAGAGCATGAATGCCTGCCTGGCAAAACAGCAACAAGCCAGAAAACTTACTGACTGCAAAGCCTGGATTTCGTTCAAGAAGGATTTGCTCGATGCCTGGATTAAGAAACTGCACAGAATTATGGCGTAATTCAGATATCTGTGGCAATCCTACTTGCAGATGTGAACTTCTCAGTTACTGATTGACTGCGCCATAAAAAATCATTAAAAAGGTTTACGTTTAACAAGACTAGAAGAATAAATTTAGGCAGCAGAAATGGGAAAAACAAGTTATTACAAATCAGACCAGTGAAGATGAACTCAGCTTAATTGTTTGGAGGGGAAAATACAGTGAGTCACCCTTTAAAATTTCAAGCGTTCCCAACACAACCTCTGACAAGACTGTAAATTACTTTAAAGATTCAGAAAGGGACTGTAGGCTCTCTGATTCAGATGACCTACCTACAAATAACTTTTTTGACTGTTGAACATCATTCACATTATTACCCGGGTTTTGATTTTTGAATAAATGTGTCAACATCAAACTTCCTTGAAGCTTTTTATTACCTGCTGTTTAGAATATTTGCATACTAGCAACAGAAATCATTACTATGTGTGTAACAAAAGATTTCTGTGCTCATCCTTCTGCCTTACCCACCACGCTGCTTTCCTCTCTTGCCCTTTTCCCATCCTATTGAGGGAGATGAGAAACTGAAGAGTGCAAAGATGTGTAAAGATATATCTTCTCCAGACTTTCTAATCGACTGGAAATGCACACAACATGCTTTCTGTCACAGCAGACTGAAAATTGTCTTTTCACAGGCTGGCCCATTCCAATCCACATGTCTATGTTGTATGTTAGGGCTTTAATGCTCAGGAACTCCTCCACCCCTTCAGGCCAGCAGCATTAGGGTCCTACATCTGCAGAAATCATACCAGAACCTTGGCCAGCTTCATTACCCAAGATTTGCAGTCCCTGCCCAGAATCCTCCTCCCCTCACCTAGAAGCTTATCCAAGGACTTATTTTCTGGATCAGTGCTTTTATAGCAGTACAGTTGGAAGGTGCAGGGTTACATACCATAACAAAGAGGCAGGATTGTGTGTTGAATGTTTAAGCTGGTAAGAAGCAAAAAGGTATTCTTCAGAAGACAAAAACAAACAAAAAAAAATCCATAATCATTCACAGTTAAAGTCTTATTTTAAAGCTCTGACAATTAATTCTGCTTTATGTGACAACAGCTATGCACAAACTTTCTAAGCTGCTGCTATCATCTGATTCTTTTTTCCCCTGAAAAATGGGGACACCTTACTGCAAAGCAGGGCAGTCATAGTTACAGGATGAGCTGAGGTACTACTCCATCCTGCTGGCTGTAACAAAGCACATTGCCTTTTTTTTTCACCTGTGGAATTTTAAATGCACTGTAACCCTAGAATTGTATTCCTCTGGCAGTATTTTTTTTCTTATTTTAGGTAGGAAGGGGGGTGTCAAGGCAGACACATTCTCCAGATGACTGATGTCTTTACATACCACAGTCCTCCGCTGCCTGCTTCCCTCTGCTATGTACAGACCTGACTCTTGTGTTTGAGCATCTCATGGTCCCTAAATTATTTTCCCTCAAGCACTCCTGCAAACTTAGGAACTGCTACGCAGCTCAGCTTGTAGCCTGGGAATTTAGGGCAGGGGCAGCATCACTTACATTGGGTCAAAAAGGAGAGGGTGCAGGGCAGGGCTCTGAGCTTGCATACTCACTTCAGGCCACCTGGAGCCTGGAAGCACACTCCAGCAGGAGTTAAAAAGGGAAAAAAAAAATATCACAACAGTTTAACTCCAGCAAGAGGGAAGGGTTTCAGGGCTTGAACTCCTGCGCAAAGCATTCATTAGTGGTAAGCTCCAACCTCAGCTGCCAGCAGGGCTAGCATTCAAAAACCCTCTCTCAAAGCATCGGGTGGAGACACAACTGGGCAGGGGACATCCGGCGGCACACTCATTTCTTACACCACTGCAAGCTATTTTTTTTTATTTTTGTCTTTGAGAGGGGCGGGGAAGTGTTTTTCAAAGAGCGAAGGAGCAGCCGGAGGAATCCGGGCCCGGAGGCGCGGCCGGGCCGGGAGGGGCTGACGGGTCCCGCCCGAGCCCGCCCGCCGGGCCCGCGCTCCAGGAGCCCGCGCTGCTGCCGCCGCCCGCCCGCCCCGGGGGCTCCGCGTCCTTTCCGCGGTGCTGGGCCGCAGCCCCTCCGCCTCCATCCCTTCCAACAGCGCCCCTGGGCCCGGCGCGGCACCCCGTCACCACCAGCCTCCCTTCAAGATAAATTAATAAATAAACAGACCACACTCACGTGAATGCACTGAAATTTAACTGCTCCCAACACGTTTTTGCGTTTAGCCCGGCCCGTGCACTTAGGACACGTCTTCCGCTGGAGAAGGGGTGGTATTCAGAGGAATTACTTGTGGGATTAGTTTTGTTACATAGCGTCTGCAAGCTGGGGCAAGGCTGTATTTGCAGAAGGCTGAATTTAGCAGAGACATCATGAAGTGGCAAATAAAGGGAAGTAAAAAAAAAGAAAAAAAAAAAAAAACAAAAAACTTACCACCTGGCTACAGCAGTGGTCTCCAAACTATTTTGATCACATACCCCCTATCAATAAAAACACTAAGCACACGCCCCCAATTTATGTTTATTTATTTATAAATCATGTACATATCCTACTGAAGGTTTAATATTCCCATACCTCAATGCACTGTCATGTATCCAGCTTTGGAGACCTCTGTGCTAGATATAACATGAGGACAGTGGCTGCTGTGTGACAGAAGCAGGACGCCTACAGACAATGAGCAGACGACTGCTGAAACCCAATCGCTTCAATCTGAGGCCAGCAGACATGATTTACAGACAAATTACACAAGAGACAGGAAATGAAAACTAGAGTGGGGGAATGGAAGGTCATATATTTACGTGCCCCTTATTCCCCCCCTTCTCTTTCTTCTAGTCTTTCCCCAAATCCACTTCCACTGCCCCCAGGCAGCTCCTCCACAGCCTGTTTTCCTTGGTAGGGACTAAAATAAGGATCGCCTCAAGTTTCACCTTTCTGCAGTTCTACGTCCTCAGGGCACCACCACAAGCACAAAAAGGTTGCTTGTGGGCTCTGCTGGGGGAAAGTTAATGACAAAAATTATGGGTAGATGAACAACCAGATGAACAGAGGAAGTGCATTTGTTCACACATGAAGACTGAGGTGGTTTATGAGCCATTTCAAATTGACTTGCATAAACTCTGACAGCTATCATTGTTTAGATTGAAGGGAGATGATTTTTTGGGTTTAAAGATGATCCCATGCACAACTCAACACTAATTTAAGGAATATGGATACATCAGTCGTTATCTGCTCTCTGGTACCCGTCTCTGGCCCACCATTACAGGTTCTAATGCCACTACTACCATAAAATATTCCAGTGCAACTTTCAGATAACATGTATCTCAGGAAACAAAAAAAGAATAAAAAGAAATACAAGCAAAAGAAAGACAGCACAAGACCTCTTTGGACTAACAAACAGGGTGTGGTATTTCTCATATTTTTTTCCATTAAAAGTACTTTTAAGTGCCTCTCCAGACACACACCCTGCATGAAAGAATGTGAGAAAGTAGCATTCACAGGGACCTTAAAACCAATCTAAATATGGCTTTAATAATAAATCCCCTATGAAGTGTGTAATGTATATAGATGATCATGTTAAGATAAAGAATTACTGTCATGGTGTATCCTTAACAAGCAGTTAGAAACCAAGGTCTAAATTCAGGGCTAATCCACAGTTGGTTTTAGGTACATCATTTGTGCTTCCTCTGACAACAGACATTCCAGCTTCTACTTCCATTTACTTTCACTGCCATAAAAAGAGACAGTCATGAAGTTCAGCTGCATAGTCAGGAGCTCAGAACAGCACATACATACTAACTTTTCCCACAACTTAAGCTATGGTGTGAGGTCATTTGCCCAATTTTATTTGTGGGAAAATTTGTGAAAATGGAGAAAAGTAGCACTAGAACTCATCCTAGAATAATATGCTTATTTTTCCTTTAATTCAAGTTACGTGCTTATAATAATGACAGGAATAAATGAGAAATGTGTAAGCATTTTTCTAGAAAGAAATGTGCTTTACCTGGGACTTCCATAAATACTCAAAACTTACAATGAATTAATTTGAAAATACCACAACCGTACAGATCCAAAAGATCCCTGATGTACTCCTTTCAAAACAGAAACCAAATCCGAACAAAAGACATCAGAATCCCCAGATGTTGTGTGGGACAAAAAGGAAACACTAGTTTTGTGCCTGGGGTATTCCAATGAAAGAAAGGAGTTCCAAAATTTATTTTCCTGCTTTCTAAGTAATACAGAGCTGCAAGGATGCCAAGTTATTTTGAACACACTGCATAACAAAATTCCACTGGGACAGCAAAAAAGCACCAGCTCACAGTATCTCTATTTCATTAACATTTCTAGATCATGACAATGTCAATAACATGCAACCACTGAACCCATATTTATGCATAAGGTGTTTCCCTTTTGGTAAGGTATAAAAAGAGTACTAAATTAATTTTTAAAAAGTTACTTTGCTTCTCTTGTGGATGCCTATTTTAGTAGCTATCATCTGCTACTGAAAAACGAGGCATCAGTCCAAAGTAAAGAGCAAGCCTAGGAAGAAAAATAAAGTTTTTGAATAATACTCCACAATTTTTCCACTAGTTCTTTTGACAGAAAGAAAAAGAGGAAGAAAAGTATTTTCATCTGAAACCACACATGGAAAAATAATTTGGCTTGCCTCAATGTTAGGGGGGAAAAAAGCTCAGAGGAAGTTTTTTTTTTTTTAAAGCACAAAAAATCCCAATGCAGCACTGGGCAGAGGAAGCTCAGCTGTGGGATCCCTCGTGGGATCTGCGGGCCCCAGTCTTGGTCCTATGTGCACAGGGGCAGCAGCAGTGGTCGTGCCTGGCTTGGTGGCTCCACAGGAGATCCCCCATGCTGCAGTTCATAACCTGCAGGCAGCGATAACCCAGAGAAAGGTGGAGGCACTTTGTCACTTTTTATTCTCACCTGACTGTGAACTTAGAAATGGGGAAGGAAAAGTGCCCTGCAATAGCTTGGAGTGCTAGTGGAGGCCAGCCTGCTGCAACGAAACCCGCTACTTAATGCCACAGTGCCTGTTTTTGCTACAACCAGGGATTCAAGAGACATTTCAGATTAGTTTTTCTTTATGTAAGAGATTCAAAATACACTGGGCAGTGACAGAAACACAACAATCTTCCCCATCCTCAATGCTCAAAACAAAAAGAATGGTGAAAAAGAATTAAGCAGAAGATGGGATGTCGCGCATCTCTCCTAATTTATTTCAGATCTCATCCTTCATGCCAGGCCTCTGGCTGCTCTTCTGAGCCATTTCAAATTACTTAAACTTCTTGCTGTCACTGCAGACAAAATGGTTCAAATGGGATTTGCGTGAGGGGGGAGACAAAGACAATAATGAACAGGGACAGCTCTGGTAGAAAAAGCTGGTACAGCAAGAAAGGAGTTGAAACAGCTGAGGGTGGGAGGTAGGGAGGGGAAGGCAATAGCCAGCCACAGCTAATAAAGGGGAACAATGAATCCTTGAAAACACAACATCCCACCAAGTCCCAATATGTTCCAGATTTATTAGTGGTTAGCAGTGAATGCTTGGAAAGAAAGCACAGGATTCCCAGTAAATGGATTTAAGACAGATACAGCCAGAGGAGATGATACACACCAATGTCA